TTCCCGTCTCCACGATTCGTGTGCTACTGTTGGTTCTATTGTCACAATTCGTACTGTAGGTTCTTCCACGGGTTTTGTCTCGTCTCCTCTTTGGTTCACGTCGCCTGGATAGGTCTTTGCTGTTATATCTCTGTCATCCATACCACACTGTGGACACGGCCGGCGCGAGAGACCATCCGCGTTTCCATGGGAACGTCCTGCCCTGTGAACTATGGTGATATCGTACTCGCTGAGTACTTGTAGCCAACGTGCTATTTGGCCCAGTGGATCACGGAAGTTGAGTATCCACCGGAGTGCCCCGTGGTCAGTTCTTATGGTGATTTTCTGTCCGTAAATGTAAGGCCTATACTGCTTCAAAAAGACCACAACTGCCAAAAGCTCTTTGCGTGTAACGCAATAGTTCTTCTCTGGTTTGCTCAGGGCCCTGCTTCCATAGGCAATGACTCTTTCCTGTCCATCCACCAACTGAGAAAGAACAGCACCTATGCCTACGTTGCTGGCGTCTGTATCAAGGATGTAATCTTCTTCAGGGTTAGGGTAAGCCAATATAGGTGCCGCTTGGAGCAGTCCCTTGAGCCGTTGAAACGATGTTTCACAATCGTCGTCCCACATAAACTGCCTTCCTTTCTCCGTCAAGCGATGCAGGGGTCGGGCTATGTCGGCGAATCCCTTTACGAAACGCCTATAATATGACGCCAATCCTATGAAACTTTGCACCTCGGTTACAGTTGTTGGAGTCGGCCAGTCGCGTACTACCCGTATCTTCTCTGGATCCGTAGCAACGCCCTCGCTTGATACGACATGCCCTAGGTACAACACCTGCTGCTTGAACAACTCACACTTTTTTGGCTTAAGTTTCAAACCCGCGCCACGAAGGCGTTGAAAGACCACCTCAAGGCGTCTTAGCTCTTCTTCTACAGTCTTGGCAAAGATGATTACGTCATCGAGATACACTAGGAGCATGTCCCATTGGAGGCCCGCCAAAACCCGCTCCATTAACCTCTCAAATGTGGAGGGGGCATTGCAGAGGCCGAATGGCATGACCCGCCAGCAGTACAGACCACCGCGGACCACAAATGCAGATTTCTTCTTGGCCTCATCGTCCAGCTCTACCTGCCAATACCCCGCAGCGAGATCCAAAGTGGAAAACCACTTGGCCCCTGCCAAGGTGTCTAGTGTATCATCGATACGCGGTATTGGGTATGCGTCCTTTATTGTCAATGAGTTCAGGCGGCGATAGTCAATACAGAATCTCTTTGTCCCGTCTTTCTTGTTTACAAGCACGACGTTTGATGCCCATGGACTGTCTGATTGTTCTATCTGTCCACCAGCAAGCAACTTCTGCACTTGACGTGTTATCTCATCTTGTTCTTTTGGCGAATATCTTCTCGGTCTTTGCTTCACAGGCGCTGCATCGCCCGTTTCAATGTGATGCTTGACACAGTCTGTCCTACCAATGTCCTCATCGCCTCTGGAGAACACATCTTGGTTTTTCTGCAATAACTTAGCAATGTCGTTGTGGTATTTTTGGTCCACTCCCTGCTTGCATCTGCTAAATAAATCTGCAAGGTGATCAGGAACGTCTTGTGATCCAGCCGCTAGAGAATGTGCGCCTTGTGTCTCCTCTATCTCGTCCACCTCTACAGGCGTAAGGTAGCCAGCCATAGTCCCTCTACGGACTACGCATTCACGCCTACCCGGGTTAAACACACGGATCGGCAGAACACCCTGTTCTGCAGTCACGACTGTCCGTGCCACAAGCATTCCCCTGTCGGAAATATCATTCCGGTCAGCCGGTTCGATTACTCCAATGCCGTTAACCTGCACCTTTCCAGTTACGTGCCCTTGCAAAATTGCTTCGTGTCCAGCAGGCACCCTTGTAGTCCGTCCAATGACGATTCTTGCACAAAAAGCTGACCCCATTCCATCACTACACTGCACCCGCTCGCCATTGACGGATAGTTCTAGTGTTCTGAAGTTAAGTGTTCCACACGTCGGTAGCAAAAAATCCATGCCCAAGATGCCATCCATTGTCGGACAGGCTCCAAATGTTGCATATACAGCGTGCGTCGTCTTTCCTACCTGCACCTCCATCCAGGCGCTGCCCAGTGTCGCTATAACTGACCCATCAGCATTCTTAATGTGCGTTCCATCTGCTTGAAGGTGGGGTCTTCGTTCGGGTGAGATTTTGTAGTACAATGCGGATGAAAGGAATGTGTCCGTGGCTCCGGTGTCTATCAGCAGTTTCGCATGCTGCCCCCGTATCACTGCAGGAACATACATGCCTCCCTTTGCGCTCGCCTTTGGCAATATTGTGTTTTTGTCTGCGCGCTCGCCTGTTACTGGTCGTGCGTCTTGTTGTTTTGGCCCTCGTCTCCAGGCAGCTTTCCCTCGGGCCTCTGGGTCGGCTGCAGCCCGTTTCCCGACTTCTTCCCCTCTTCCGCAGTGGCTCTGCAATTTCGTGCGAAGTGCCCGTTTCTACCACACCTGTAGCACACTATGTCCGCCATAAATCGCCGTCTATGATAAGTGTTACTGTCTTTGTCTTGTTTCTCCTTCCGTAGTCCGTCCGTAGATGTTGCCTTGGCAAGCTGGTGTGTCACCCAAGCTCTTGTTGCGACTTGCGCCTCTTGTATGGCCTGAGTTGTTCTCCGGTAAATGTCATCGGCAATCCCCTCCAGCCCATGCTGCAGCGTGTCTGTCTCCCCACCGAGAACTCGAGCGTGTTTCTGTCTATGACCACTCCGTTGTTCCTCTATTTTCAAGAAACTCTCCGTCGCCATGGCCGCTCTGATTGCCTCATCGAGCGTATTCGGCCTCGCCCGAAAAATCCCCTCCCGTATGGCTTGGTCCTCAATTGCATCGGAAAAATGGCCTCTCGCTAGGCGGTCTTTCCCCTCATCTGCAATCTCTGGATAGGCTAGTGTAGCCAGCTCCCTTATCGCCTGACCAAGTTCCCTTAAGGTCTCTCTCGGGCCTTGTCGCCTACAACGAAGTTCCATCAGATGATTTTCGGACAACTGCCCCGGACCAAATCTCCTTTCTAGTCTGTCTTTCATGTCTTCATATGTCATTTCTTCACCAGCCGGTCCGTTACTCAGCACCTTTACGGCTGTCCCCTGCAGACTGGCAGCTAAGAAAACTTTCGCCTGTTTGTCATCCCATTGATTAGCAAGTTTGCAAGCCTCAAAGTGGTGCAAAAAATCTCTCCATGAGGTTTTCCCGTTGTATCTATCCGGCACAATATTTGGGCGGCGAATTGTCGTAGTCGTCCGGCTCTCATCTTTCCCCTGATTTCCCTCGTGTCTCCCTTCAAGCTTCAAATCTTTTCTAACTAAAGGCTTCTCTAATTGGTCGGTCGTTCTTTCTGTTAGCTGCAAGGAAGAACTCCTCTCCATCGACGAACCAATGTTCATGATGTCTTCACAGCCTACTCCGTCGACATCAATTACTGCGCCCATCGCTGTAGATGATGAAACTGGTGAATTAACTGGCGCCATCATCACCAATGAAGGTACACGACGACTTGTTCTCGGTTTAGGTGTCGGCCTGCTCCTTGGCACAGGTGTAGGTGATGAACTGCTCCCCGTGTCTCCATAGTTCGCCAGCGTCGAGGCCCTTCCGGTATAATCATCATTATACCCTCCTCTTGAAGGTGGTGATTCAAACTTCATCGTCCCTTCCGGTACTCGTGGCCTCTTGACATCTATTTCACCTAACTGCACCCGTAGTTGGTCTAACTCTGAGTGGAGCTGGGCATACAACTTCTCCAACTGCCGTCTCTCTTCAAGGGACCGTTGGCTAATCTCCAACCCCTCAGCCCGTCGCCTCTCATCCAGCGACGCCGTCAGTGGTCCTTCCGCCCTCTGCTGCTGCTGCTGCTGTTGTTCCATAACTCGCTAGTGTCTAATGTAGGTCCTTAACAGGCGATTGATTTAATTTGTCCTATGCAGGTGAAGTAATATTGTGTGTCCTATACAGGTGAAAATGATTGTGTCCTATGCAGGTGAAGTAAAATGTGTCCTATGCAGGTGAAGTAAACCCAACGCCTATCCCACTTCTGACACCAATTTGTAGCGGACTTTACCAGGCGGCGTCTGCCGCTGACTAAATAATGGGCTTCGGCCTCCACGACGAGCGGTAACCGCAGAGGCCTGAGGGGCGGACTCGTTTGGGGGAAGTCTACCTCCAGGCGCCTAGGTCTGCACACCACGCACACACGCTCACCACACAAGGGTAGACACGTCAACGATTATGCACCACACCAGGCTTATATACTTGAACTGGTTGATTTATTCAAAGTAATACACAGGTTCCTATATAGGCGCTAATTACAGGGTTGATTCGTACACCAATGACGATTATCTCTTGGGGACTTTATAATTAAGAATCACAAACAATCACCACTCGGGTAACTACAATAGACATCGGGACCGATAAGCCTAAGACGCAGCTACTCACCCCGCAACTAGGGTTCACGGGGTACAGCCTAATCCCACCAATCCAACAGCCAGCGAGCAACGGCAGAGCGTACTTGCTTTCGTCCGCACGGAGCAAGAGCAAGCAGCGGAAAGACGCCCGCGACGCACGTGCAGCGCGCTTATATACACTACACGCAGAGCACCAGCGACGCGCACTGCCGCACGGAACGCAGCCTGCGCACCAGCGCTCAGCAGCTACGGAAGCCCAGTGCGCGAAGCAATATTTCGTTACAATATCGTATAAATTAGGCCTAAATCGTAAATGTTGGCATCTCTGGATCGATGTGCACTCACAAGGTCCCCTTCAATGGTGAAAGCATTGTGTATGCTATTGTGAAAAGCTACTGCCCCGTGAAGGATTATCTGAACAATAGATACTTTCACCATTGAGCCTTCATGATAGAATTGATAGCATGTCGGATTGGTCTACAGACACCTCCATTCACATTCCTATAACAGTGGCAAGCGATGAGATGTTGCTCGTTACGTTTTGGTCAATCTTGTATTTTATTTTCCCACCTGTTGAGTTTTCTAAAGTCTGAGAATATGGCATTCCGTCGCCGTTTCATCTTCCCGTGCAGGGAGAGTATGGTGGTCTTCTTGAGTATCTCACTCAGTGCCTTGGAGAAATAGTCCACGCAGTGGCAGGTACTGAAGAAGATCATGTGCTTCTCATCCTATTCAATATCAAGAGACAAAAAAACACAAATTCAAGTCCATCACACATAAATCATAAATTGTCTAATCCCAATTCAAGTCCCAAGCTATTGAAACGTACTCTGAAAAAGATATTCCTTTGGACCAAAGATGTGATATTCGACGACTGATTGACTTGTTAATGGACTGACTTCAACTCCGGAAACAAGGAGTCTGTTTCATTAAACACAACAACTGAAGGACCTTCAAAAGTAGATTTTATCACTTTACTACACATTTTTGTAAGTTTATATCAGTTTTTATGGTATTAATGGTAATAAACAAAACAAACGATCGCAAACAAATAACGAAAAGGATGCACATTTTTCTCTTTGCTTAAATCTTTTAAAAAAAATTCAATTTCATTTTCTCTGATCATGAGCAACGAAAGCATACCTACCCTATGTTTTCGTAGGAATGCTACCAACAAGTTGAATTTCTCGTCACTCTCACATATCTGCAATAGTGGAAAGTCACATGAATAACGAGAAACACAACATGGGGGACAAAAGAACAGTCCATGCAAACAATAGCAAGATTGTTAATTTTATTTTGCATAACTGACAAAATGCATATTATAACTAATTATGTTTTTGAAATGTGGGTTATGCGCATATAATTTTCAAAAGATGAGCTTACCGGTGTATTTTTTAAAAACTTACCAGATAGTAATTTTTCAGTGTTATAGGTGTTCTCTGAACAGCCTGAAGAGGAATGAGACCGAAAAAAATCATGACTAACAGCAATGGACAGAAATTGTCATGCTAAGTTTACATTAAATGTTAACTCTTTCACTATGGCGAACCGCTGACGGCGGCACACAAAAATTGTACATGTCGTACGGCAAGCCGCTGGCAGCGGCTCGGTGACGTCGCTGTGAATAAACAGGGTATCCCATGACGTGTGCCTTATCTACATAATTTATATTGTATAACCTCTGACCCTAGTTTGAGCCGCTGCCAGCGGCTCTCTGTCTCGCCAGGGTCTGTTGCAGGTTATTGTGAGCAGTTTGTTTACAGAGAGACATTTAAAGATGGCGGCGTCCACATCGACACACGGCGGAATTTCAAGCGATTTATTACATCCAAACGTGAGTAAATCGGGAAATTAAATTCCGTAGTGAAAGAGTTAAAGAGTAACCATTCATTTCTCAAAATGCATCGGTACAGGAGCAAGATTTTTAATCACTTATTTTTTTTAAATCATCTGTTATTTCTTGAACTTGTTCATTGGAGGGGTGACCACTGCCTCAATCCTTCAAAATCAATTAGCAATTACCAGGGGTGTGAGTGACCACTGATAAAAATAGCTGAAAACAGCTGAAAAAGGTGTAAAATAGCTGAACTTTGGAAATCTCCTATACTTTTGTACACAGCCAGTGAGGGTAAAAAGCTGAATTCCAAAACAAAAACAGCTGAAATCAGCTTTAAAGCTGAGATTTCACACCCCTGAATTACTATTCATACCTTGAGGCAGTGCCGATGATATCCAGAAGCAGTGCGGATGATTTCAAGTATAATCCAGGCCTAAATGTATGCACGGCAAAGCATAAACAACACAAGGTATACAGCCTGAAACCTTGACACGCTATTTGCTTCCTTCAAAATTAACTGACACATTTGTAATACATCCTCAATCCTTTAAAATCCTCCACTTGTGCAAAGAGGATTTTGGAGGACTTTGGAGGAGTTTGGAAGGTTAGGGTTAAAGAAAGCCTTAACCCTAACCGAACCCAACCCATCAAAGTTCAACAGCAGGTTTTGTTTAAATCTGTTGGGATAGGTACAGTACCCCTAAACTGATGGTCTTTTACACTGGGGATGCATACCTCCAGAAACTAAGTCCAACAGCGTGTGTGTACAATTTCCCATGTGGGTGTTGGAATTTGCCTGAATGGGTATGGTTCCTAATCAATTATGCTGGGGAGTTGGGGTTAAGTGAGAAACTTGTCTGACTCACATTAGCCGACGTCTTCTTTTCCTTGACCGTGATACGGACTGGATTTCTCAATCCAGCACGGATCAACGCCTCCACTTCGTCAGTCTGTGTCGCTGAGAAGAGACCCGTCCTGCGCTGCTTGGGCAAGTAGCTCAGGATCATATTGATGCTGAAATACACAATTATTTAATTGTGAAAAATGTGGTTATTATTTCATTTACATTCGCTTTTCTAGCACTCATTGCTAACATATTTGCTCTCTGCTATCTTCTACCAGTGTGTATCACTATAACGCTCATTTTCTAGTGCTGAGGTATTTTGAAAGGAATTTTAATTTTTTTGCTGTCAGAGAATAAAATGAGAAGGATCACATTTTGGCAAAAACACTGTAGACAACCCTGATATATTGAAATTAAACATGTAATTTTAACAATTTTAATTTTCAGGGCATGGACACTGCGGACAGAGGGGGCCAAATTTTTGAAAATAAAAACCAGTGTGTACCTAGTTTTGAAGCCCATGTCTAGTAGTCTATCAGCCTCGTCCAGCACCAGAACCTCTAGGGATCTGACCATGGATGGAAGATTCAGACCAAAATCCTTACGTTGGAAGAGATCCTCCAAGCGACCGGGGGTAGCAACGAGAATGTTGGCTCTAGGTGGTGGAAAGTAAAGTAACACAGTCATGACAATCACAAGAATGAATATTGCAGCTAGGTATAATCAAGACCATCAAGTCAAATCACATGAATTACAAGTCACACCACAAGCCCATCACAAGTCAAATCATAAGCCCATCACAAGTCAAATCATAAGCCCATCACAAGTCAAATCATAAGCCCATCACAAGTCAAATCACAATCTATTGCAAGTCAAACCATAAGCCCATCACAAGTCAACTCAATCGTCCATCACAAGTCAAATCACAAACCCATCACAAGTCAAATCACAAGCCCATCACAAGTCAAATCATAAGCCCATCACAAGTCAAATCAGAAGTCTGTCACAAGTCAGATCACAAGTCCGTCACAAGTCAAATCACAAGTCCATCACAAGTCAAATCACAAGTCAGTCACAAGTCAAATCACAAGTCCGTCACAAGTCAAATCACAAGTCTGTCGCGTACGAGTTAAATCACAACTCAAATCACAGGCCCATCACAAGTCAAATCTCAAGCCCATCGCAAGTCAAATCATAAACCCATCACAAGTCTAATCATAAGCCCATCACAAGTCCAATCAGAAGTCTATCGCAAGTCAAATCACAGGCCCATCACAAGTCAAATCACAAATGTATCAATCACAGGTAATGTCACAAATGACAAGTGAGTGAACTAAAAAAAATGTCTTTGTCACTGTCCCTTTTAAATAGCCTTGACTTGACTTAAAAGACCAAAATCATAACGACATCATGCTTTGCGTTTACATGTGAGCTTCCTTTCTTTAAATTCCTATGGGAGCCAGGTGGGACGAGAGCCACCGAGCTCCCATACAAAGGCGCACATATAAACAAAGCACGACGTCATTGCGTGTCAGGTCTGCTGAGAGTAAATGACTAGTGATTGACTTGTGATGACCTGTGCGAACTTGAATACAACTGTGACTGGCACTACCAGCCACTTTGAAGAGAACCACAAAAATATCCTAGGACCGAAATGATAAAACACAAGAGTACCAGCATGACCAGTGCCTTAAAACTGACCACATTTTGAGCAGGGATGAATTTACTTGCGTCACCATGGGCAACCAGCTTGGTTAATGTTGTCGAGCTGAACAACAAATACATCCAAAATTTATCAAGTCCTGAGGTCGCAGGTTCAAACCCCGCTCCAGTCAATTTCTTTGTTCAACTTTAGAATTATTATAATGCACCTAGTCAATTTCCCTTTGTGGTTTGTTCGAAAATTTGCAATAAAAAAACCATATACTCTCAAAAAAATAAAGAGATCGACAAAATGGGGTACAGCCAACATAGGTCTGGACAGCTCAGTTGGTAGAGCACTGGAACGGCAATCAGGAGGTCACGGGTTCAAACTCTGTTCCAGTCAATTTCTAGGTTAAACTTCACAACTGCAGTCACAGACTGATGAAAAATGTTTGAGAAATGGCCCCAGTTCAAACAAACAGCTATCTCACCCTTTTTCTTGTATTTGTTTGATGTCGTTGGTCAGGTTGCTTCCACCGATCACTAACTGCTGGGTAAACGGCAGCAAGGCCGTAAAGTCTGACAAGACTTCATCTATCTGCAAGGCCAGCTCCCTGGTAGGGGTTAAAATAATGGCACCAACCTGGACAAAAATTGCAAAGTGAAGTCATTAAATCCTTTATAAAGTTGAAGAACCATTCTAAATCTAAATCTTATAGAAGTCTTTCCAGTCACCTCTTTTTTCTTGAGCGGCGTTTCTTGTCTCAGCAGAATTTCCAAGATGGGAATGACGAAAGCCAACGTCTTGCCACTTCCAGTCACCTGAAAGGAATGTTTTGGATGTAATTTTTTCCAGGATGAACACTGAAATTCAGTTCCCATTCATCAATAAAATGCTAAAAGTACAACAAAATGTGTGCACAAAAAGTGAAAAATCATTTTAAACCAGTTCACGCCGGGATTATTTTGATATGACCGGACCGAGGCACGGGATTATTTTTCACTCGACTTCAATGCTAGGCGGGTTGAAGCCATCACCCTCGGGCAGGACACTCATATTTCTGGCCTCAGTCGTTGTCTACGGGTCGCTGACAGATATCTTCCGGCCTCGCTCGTTACGTGTTTTAGGGCTGTGCCGAATATTCGGATATTCGGTTATTCGATCGATAAACGAATATTCGAATATTTATTTTCGAATAAGAATATTCGGTGGTGATATGCAATGAAATAAAAAGGTGGAAAAAACTTTTTTTTTAACAACAAAAGTGTATTCTCAAAGTTAAGTTTCAAGTTGCTGCCAAAAACCCCATAAAAGTAGCTTGTATATATGCCAAGCAATAATGCCATACATATATTACTTCTGCTTTGGGAGTGCTTGCAGTAAAGCCAACCCATTTTTTTAACGCCGGACTGCAACACCAATCGCTGATGCTTCCGACAAGATAAACAAGATTTTGTCTTCACAAAACACTTCCTGACACCTTTTCATATCAAACTTCTAGCATGAGTTGTAACGTTTCCGTTGTCCGTATTTTTGTTTGTTGTTGTCCTACTTACAATCCCTACTTTCAAAAGAAAACCGCCGCTGTTTTTCCCCGATGCGATCCTGGCAAGTTTCTCCGCGCGTTGGTGTTACATGTACATGTGTGCAGCATAGGAAAATGCAGCGTGGCATTGGAGAGGAGCACGTGCTAATTTGCCCACGTGCGCAGTGGGAGGGGCTTACTGGATCGGCTATTGACATCGCGAAAATGGCATGCCAACATCGATGTAGGAGACCTCTGCAATCTCATGCAAAGAACTTGATTTCTTTTTTTCTGTGTGGGCCTTTGTATTTTCCGTTTTCATGTACTTATTTTGAGGACGTACTGCTCGCACAGGGTCGCACAAGAAGCGGTACATTACACTGATACAGCGAAGCCAATTCCCCCCAAAGTTTTCCATCGCCTGTTCAATCGTGTCGAATGCACGTGGTTATAGGGAATCGCCATGCACGCAGTATGCTGCTCACAGCACATGGCGGTGTTGTAGAAAATTTGTCATGAACCCCAACATTACATTAAAACGTTTTGAAAACCTTGGTTCATTTACATTACGGACTCTGGGATTTTTCTAAAAGAATTTCTTGTTTACTTTTAGGGGTAAATTTATTATGGCTGTTAGATGTTCGCCTCAATGCCTCCGTAATTATATACAGTTCTCTCAACTGATCAGAGCACCCTTTTATCGAACACATTTTCGTTCGCTGTCCGTCAGCTTTGTTCGCTGGGTTAGTCTGCTAATTGCACCCAATATTTGCACAAATAAAACATACATAAACACTTCAAAAAGTAGTTCAGCAATTATACACTCAGTAATAATAGCGGGAAACTCTGGCTTATGTCCTCCAAGTCGAGCAAAACGCACGAAAAAGGGCAGACAACAGAGAGGATTTCAAACTCAAAAGAGCTCTCATTTATTTCGCCAGACAGACTTTGCGGTCAACTCACCGCACCGTACCCCTGATTCCCAGCATAGAAAACCACAGCTAGACAAAACGTATCAAAATGTTGCAAGTTGGAATATCCAAACCTTTTAGTGGCCTATTTGTTAGAAAGTTATCTCCAGAGCACGCACTTAGCCAGACAAAAGAACCGGGTCAGCGCACCTGTGCCCTAATTAGCCCGCCAACAATGCGCCCGCCGGAGCTCGGCTGGCGATTTTTTTTTTTTTTTTGGCTGAAATGTCACCCTTCATGTTTTGGGTACACAGCTTATAATACATCCCCTGTGGGCAAACAAGGAAATACTGCTTTGCACGTGTCAAGCTGGGGCGTGTGTATGCCGCGCCCACGCCCATTATTTGCATAAACTTAAATATGCATTTACAATTCAAAGACCCATATTTCATTGAATAAAGACATTAAATATCATAGGTTTTTTTCTTGGAGTTTTTGGTTGTTGAGAATAAGTTTATTTAAAATGATATAAAATCATTTCCTCAATTCTTGGTGACAAAAGTGCGAGTTATTATTATAAAAGTGATTTTTTTCCCCTCAATACTGTGACTAGGAAGTACACCATTTTGTAGACTTCAAGAAGCTTCCAGTAATAGATATGCTCGGTTCCTGTTTGCGAGTTAAGGGTCGGAGAGTCACAATAGCTGACGCCACCCGCTGTGTTTGGGGTTCACGGCTTAATACATTGTACGTCCCCCATGCAAACAAGGAATCCTTCACTCTAGCTTCTCTGGTTATTGTTAATCTTTAAATTACTGACGACTGAAGAACAACTGATTGTTGTCAAATACCTGACTTACATGTGAAGAAATCATGCATGGCATGCTGACGTGCGCACGTACGTTGACTACATGTACATGTATGGCATATTTTTGCTTTTGAGGGAATTTGGAATGGCCAAATAACCGAATATTCGATCGATTTGAAGGTCGAATATTCGAATATTCAATTATTCGAATTGACTCAGCCCTAACGTGTTTACCAATCATCCGTTCCGAATACCGCAAAACCTTTGCGTGTATTCATGTCATCCGACGCGAGCTGGTTTACAAATATCAGAAGAATAAATAGCAAAGGTACTGGAGGAAGAAAAGATGTACGTGCAAATATGTACAATATTCCAGTCAACATCTCTGAATCAACTGAAAGGTTTCGCTCACCGCCTCAGCTGCCACATCCTTGTTGTTCATGAAGAGAGGGATCGCTGCTGCCTGAAAATCAAATCATGTGAACAAACGGTAAATAACAACAACAAAAGAAATGGTAAACAGAGTAGTTCTGACCTTGCATTATTGCCTGCCATTCAGTATTGGTCAAAAGTGCATGCATGCGGGTGCATGACAGGCAACAGCCATGGGCAAGTTTGTGCAACAACTATTGTCGACCATTGGTTAACCATAGTTTAACTAAAGTTAGCCCGAAACTCTGTATCGACCGGGCTGGTTGCAATAGCCGCGCGCATTCATAACGTACAGCGGGGAGCCAGGATCCAGAAGTTTTGCAATGACATTTTGACCAGCGTTTGACTAGAGACGTTCGCACGTTGCTAGTGCGCAGGCGTAAGGTACGTCACAAATCAACCACTACTAGTCGACTAATGGTCCTTGCCCGAACTTGGCCCACACTGATACACTTTGTCAAAATTTGACGCAAGGTAGACGACATCGAGTGATGAACATGACTAGGCCTACACAAACATGACAAACACAATGACAATCATGACAATCATGACAATCCCCCACAAACGAAAATCAAGCCTACCCTAACCACAATTAATTCTTTCCGCTAATTCCATCGATAACATGAGTAAGTAGTAAGTTACCTGCACAGGTGTCATGCGATCAAAGCCCATTTTCTCCAGCGATTTGTGGGTTGATTTGCTGAGAGAAACGGGAAGCGTTTCCCACTTGTCCTCCATCTTGACTACACGTGCAATCTGTTTTGGTTACAGCGCCCTCTTCTGACACGGGGTTTCCAAACATCGGCTTCGTTCTGTTCCTTGCTCTAGCTCTATGGTTCTGGCATTCACTTCATTTTTGCCTCCGGGGTTCAAAAATAAATTCAGAGCCTCACCTAATGCCCATAACTCTAAAATCTTGGCTAATAGTTATGAAGACTTGATGTTCATTAGCAGGAAAATAAACCGTAGACTCGGCATTTGTGTACAACGTTGTTTGGGGGGGGGGGGGGGGGGGGGGGGGCGCAATTATGATTTTGGGGCTTGAACCCTACCGCAACTATAAATCCGGGGATTGGGTTGAACTCCATCCACTGATTCCAGGTGAGGGGTGGGGGCACAACTTTTTGGTTTAATTTGGGCAGTTATTTTGGGTATCTTCAGTGGTGAATTGAAACAATTTGTCATCTTTTAACAAGGAGTGCCATTTGGGTTTTCCTGCTTTTCTGTACACATGTGCAGCCCCCACAAACCAACTACCCATTCCGAGTGCTTTGTGAAATCCAGGCATTTCAAATTCCTGATTAAAATATCCCCCCCCCCAAATAAAAAAAATTCAAAAAAACATCATCAATTCACACCACCTCTCCCCCCCCCCCCCCCCCCCCTTGTGCACCGTTTTTAAAAAAAACTTCCATACAAATTCTATGTACTGATTTTCAAAACGATCCTCCATTTCCACATTGTAACCCTAACCTCCTCAACTCCATCCCCCCATTTTTGTGGTTTTGGTCTTGCGGGCTAGGTCTGGTTTGAATATTGATGGATTATGTAGGATTTGGGCCTAGCTGGAGGCCTGAAGCATGCAGTGCTAGGGGTATCCGATAGATTTTGCGTTGCATCCTGCACTGCTGTTCTATAAGCCATGTGTACCTAGTCCATGAATATCCACCAGTACTTCAGTGGTGGATTCCATATGTACTGGAAGCAGTGCAAGATTTGGCGGACGAGGCCCAGGGCCAATTTCATAGAGCTGCTGAAGCACAAAATTTGCTTAAAATGTCTTGCTTAATAAAATCAGGTTACCGGCCAAAACTCCATGCGATTGTTATGCTCAGTAAACAACAGCTAAATACCAGTCACAAGCAATGTACATCAAAATGGAGTTTTGGCCGGTAACCTAGTTTTACTAAGCAATGTTTTTTCGTACTTAAGCAAATTTTCTGCTTAAGCAGCTCTATGAATTTGGGCCCAGTACTCCAAGACATTAGGGAGGTAGGGTTAACCCTAACAGAACTCAACCCATCAAACCACAACGGCATGTTTTGTTGAAATCTGCCAGGATGGGTACAGTACCCCTAAACTGACAGTCTTTTACATTGGGTTGGTACACCCCCAGAATCAAAGTCAGAAATATGTGTGTGCAGTTTTCCATATGGCGTTGGAATTTGCCCAGATGGGTATAGTTCCTAGTAAATCATGCTAGGGAGTTGGGGTTAATATATTTGATTCATTCATACACACCCTGGGTAAGTTACATGTCAACTGGATCCTATGGTTGATTATAAACAGAAACATTGAAGAAAAAAAAAACACATCACACATCAACATTTGTTTTACTTAAAAATCAACAGATGATTTTTGTTGTTTTATTTTTGTCCTGTTTTTTTTGCCACACTTGCTAGAAATGCACGGAAAAGCTGCACAACCTAGATTGGAATTTATGAAGAAAAGGTGTTCTTTTTCAGTTTTTTCCTCTTAAAGGGGGATCATTTTGACCCCAAAAATGCTCATCTCTGATAAAATTGTTGTAGAACAACATGATAAAGCTTTTAAAAACTAAAAATAATACCCCATGGTGTTGAGAAAGGTTTTCTATGACCAGTTGCTAGTTTTCACCAAAAAGAAAAAAAATCAAAATTGAAAGGGATGGCATCCCATTTCAAGTCATCTTTTGCGTTGATGAAATGAACAGGCCATAAGCAACGACAGGGGTTTTGTTTTGAACTTCCACGGCAGCGTGATGTAGCAGTGATAGTGGGTTTTTTTCAGGAGTGCGGGCCCGTCTTTAGTCAAAGAGACCGAAGCCCATATCGTCGTCAGATTCCTCCTCCGACTCTTCTTTCTTCTTCTCTTCCTCCTCGGCTGCTGCTCCTGCTGCCTCCCCGCCTCCGCCACCTCCAGCTGCTGCTGCCACGCCTCCTGTGGGTACAGAGGCCAACAAGGATTGGCCTGTGGAATGGAGACAAAATACAAAGAGGAAGTGAACAAACGCAGCACTTTAAAACTACCGTTCAGCACCCAAACTGGTTCAAAAACATGAAACATTGGAATTATAAGCTTCTTAATCTTATTTTGTATTGGGATTTTGGGAAGATGTGCATTGAGTTGTTAGCCTAAAGCCCAGTGCGCACTTTTCTGATTTCACCGGTTTACCGGATCATTGGGCCATCGTACAGAGGTGTTCACTGAAAATCTGGACAGATCTGACTGTATACCAGGCTATCGGATGAAATCAAACATGGACCCGATGTCAATTTAAAGGTGTGCGGGCAACAATTCCATTTCACCAGACGCGATGAAACCAATCAGATTGGTTTGCCAATCACTATCAGATTCACGAAGGAAGTCACATGATTCAAAAGTTGACGGCTGCCATTTTGTCAACATGTGACTGGTCATCATAAGACCGATTATGGATTGGAATCGGGCATGTGTGCGGGTAACGTGATGGGTACCAGTGAACCAGTAAAATCGGGAAGGTGTGCTCAGGAGCAGTAAGCCTGCACATTATTCAAACTCTTAGACTATCGTCTAATGACAGACAAATATTTGTGTTCTCAGTCAAAATAACAATATAATCACTGCTTTTCAGCCGAAAGATGGTGTTGTTTTGATCATCACAGAACACAACTCATATTTATGCTTTCCAATTCAGTTCCTGAATGTGTAATTAAATTTTGTTTTGTTCACAACTCACAAAGATCCTAATTCCACAAGGGCGGTTCAGAAGATTTTGGAGGATTGAAAAAAAAGTTCAAGGAAACATTCCGAGAATGATTGGTTCAATAAAGTTTTGAGATTTTCAATGCACAGCAATGAGAGTCCCGAATGTTAAAACTAGTGTAAAAAAAATGTTGGCAATTCTGAGGTACATCACTAGTTCTACGAATCATGAAAACAAAACAAAACAAAACAACTGAGTTTCAAGAACTCTTGGAGACAAACACCAATGCATGAAACATCCAAAATGCAATCAGAGATGGCACGCATGAGCTTTGCTGGTACCTTCGGCAACGACTTCGTCAATGTTCTTGCCAGACAGCTGTTCGATGACCTTGTTCAGCTGCTCGTCCTCGACTCCAACAGCCACTGTCTCAAGGATCTTCTTGATGTCTTTGGCAGAGGGGGATGCATTGCCGCCCAAGACGGCCAGCAGGTAAGCGGCCACGTAACGCATTCTGATAAAATACATTAAAAAAGACATGGGTAAAGTAAAGCACAAGTTAACCCTGCCTCTCTGGCTGGCAATTTTAGCTACCCCATCACGGCAGTCAAAATCTACCAAGGGACATTTTTTAACCCCAACTCCCTACGGCTTTTTGCTAGGATGTAGCCTCAATCCTGCAAAATCCTCCAATTGGCCTCATGGCAAAAAAGCATATAGTCCTCAATCCTGCAAATTCCTGCATTATTTCTTGAATATGGTCCGTGGAGGGGTGACCACTGCCTGAATCCTGCAAAATCCTGCAGCAGTGACTGTCAGTATGTGGAGGCTTGGCCAGTGACATCCTGGAGCAGTGCGGAGGATTTCAAGCATAATCCAGGCCTATATCTATGCATGGCTGAGCAAACACAACACAAGGTCCGGCCCAAGACCTTGACAAAGTGCATCCTACGAAATCAGTAACGCACTTTTGCCATGTAACCTCAATCCTCCAAATTCCTCCACTTTGGCAGAGAGGATTTTGAAGGATTCAGGGCAGTTAGGGTTAAAAGTTAAGAATTCCATTGTGAATTCGATAAAAATGTAGCCATGCTTTAAATGGAGGACAGCTTTTCTTGCCAGTTACCTCCTATGTCTATCGATGGAATTTGACTAGTCGCAGTGTTTGCCTAATATTTTCACGAATGCTCCTCTCTTCATTTTTACTGCAAAAAAAGTGCAAGGCAAGTCTGGATTTTATTTCTCACAGTAAAAAGGCAATTTTTCAAGTACCCCCAAGGAATACACAAAATGTAACAATTTTAATTTTGTTTTTTTGTCTGAACTTGCATGAGGCTTGTGTTCTCAGGCCAATGTGTCCAATCGTCACAGCTTTTTCAGCCGAAAGATGGTGTTGGGTATTTGAGATCATCATAGAACACAAAACACTCAAGATGGAAAAACACACAGCAAATAATGAACACCTTTACGGATTGTGTCATACATGCCGAAAGATGTGTAAAGTTAGTCACGACAATACCAAAACATGTTTATTGTTTACTGTCAAGGTAAAATATTATATAATAGTTAATGACGGAATAATTACTCAAAAGGCAACCTTCCTATGTGTTCAGATATCTGTCAATGATTTATTGGGTTACCCAGGTGGATTACAATAAACTTGACCGTTTGCCGTTTGTCAACTTGACCGTTTGCCAACTGGTCAGTTGTTGCAACTTGACCACTGTGATTGTGAACTTAACTGGAGAGTCAAGTCATTTTGCCCCAAATAAATATAAGGCCTTATTCCATTTCAACTGAAATGAAACAAATGGGCATGATAGGGAAAAACACCCGGAAATAGGTAAATTGGGTTGAAACGGGCATAAAGGGCCAAGGCCTACAGCTTGAACTCGGCACAATTACTATTGTCTATCCACCTAGTATCCGGATACACGAATAGGATGTATCATTATCAAGGTTGATTGCCCACATACACAATGAATGTACACCCTCACAATAACGTCCCGACTCAATCATCTCTCTGTAGATTATCCACATATCCCTGTATCCACTTCGTGGGACCTGCATTGGTTTTTGGACTTGGACTTTTTTACGACGATCCTCCCCATTCAATTTACAGGAAAAATTTTTGCAACCTGACGCCACTTCTGTGATTTTGTACAAAGTTTATGGAGAGTCCGGAAAATTGTCTAAGAGTAAGACCAGTAGTCTAAGTTAAAAAGTATGCCTATTTCCTAACAAAATTGGAAATGTTTCTCAGTCCCAGATTCATGTCTCAAGTCGGTACAACTATAGAATGCAGGGCCACTTCACTCTACATCCGCGCCTCTGTACGGCTGCGTGGAGGCATGGAGCCGCAGTCGACCTACCTCCGAGAATTGCGCCCTCTATCGGCGCGCGTCTCTGCGAATCCCCGACTCCAGTGCCCCGCGTCTCCGCGACTCCAGTGCCCCGTCGCCCTCCTCCCTTCCTTTGCGAGGAAATTAAAAATGGATATGGATGCTTCTTCTCAAAAAAATACCGCCGAGAATTGCGCCCTCTATCGGCGCGCGTCTCCGCGACTCCATGCCCCGACACATTTACAAGCGCGACCTCCCTTCCGATCCTTGATGAGAAGACAAGTGCATTCGCTGTACATAGCACTTTTTGCAGGTTTGCATATTATTATATTGTAGCCTAGTATTACTCCTATCCTCACATCGCCAGCCTCGTCTCGATCCACGCCTCCAAGCAGAAACAGGTAATCCTTACTTTTAGGACCCCGTTCCTATATAGGAAGGGAAAGACTCACCAAAACAGTTGACTAAATGACACTCAAAATTGACATTCTGATACTTCTTGGCACATCTGAACAATTGGCAATGACACCTTCTTGAATATCAGCAGGTTTAATTTTGTGGAAAGAGGGCAGGGCTTTGATATATGAGGGAAATTCAGGGGTAAAAGACGACGATGACAACCAGAAAACAGACTCAAAAACCAAGATGGCAAATGTGAAAGCTCCATGCGATGAAAGCTCGATGCTGATTGGCTGATAAAAAATAAACATCTTATTTATTTTTAGTCTGGTTCTCAGACCAAAATATTCAGGAATAGTCAGAATCTTTTGGTCTGAGAACCAGACTAATACATTTATTTTTAGTCTGGTTCCCAGACCAAAAGATTCAGGAGTAGTCAGAATCTTTTGGTCTGGGAACCAGACTAATTAATTTTGTTAGCAGCCAATCAGCATCGGGCTTTCATTATGTAGGGCTTTCACGCGTGTGAGAACTACAACATGCACGTCTGACTGCAAAAAAAGGTAGGAAAGTCACATTTTCTTCGAAAGTGCTTTCAAAACTACAACTAACATGAGTTTATATGAAGAAAAAAGACTGCTTCAGCCTGCAAAAGTCACTTTGGTACTGGACAGTCATCTGCAAAAGTCAGTTTTGAACAGAACTTGTAAAAAATAGAGGTGTCCTAAAAGTAAGGATTACCCAGAAACAAAACCCTTGCCTTGGCCTTGCTCCGGCGTGGTCCTGCATTCTATAGTTGCTCCCTCAAGTCTTAATCATCATTTTTGCAATGAATTGAATGACCTTCATTGAGATGATGTATGAAAAAAAAAGTGGCGTCAGGTTGCAACATTTTTTCCATGGATAAATTTTATTCAGTTCACTGTGGCGCAAAACACGTGCGGTTCCCTTTCCAACATTTAATTGCCGCGCACAAAACACTCGTGTTATTTCACACACGCGTTAGCGCACCAGCCTAATTTTCTACACGACCGTGTTCAGGGTTTTTCAATTGCTGTTCCCACCACAAAATAATGATTTGAACAATTTGATCAAAGAAAAACGGCATTTTAAAAGAGTATATCATAATGACAAGTGATTACAGATAATATTACTTGAATAACAAAAGCAATAACTCGTTTCGAACATACTTACTTTAAGTCTTTTTTAGACACGAAACGAAGTGCTCGCTTTCCTCAAAATGTGTAACTTCTCGAAAGGCAGAGGTCACGGTGACGGGTCACCACCGGGTTTCCGGATGTATTTTCAGGGGCTTAAAGGAGCACACGCACACCAATCTTTTTAGCTAAATTCAGGTTTTATGATTCGGGAGGAAGAACATTTTCCAACCTTTATCGTCTGCAACAGGTTTTGGAACCGTGAGTGGATTGGGGGTGGGGGTGAGGGGGTGGGGGGGGGGGGGGGGGGGGGGGGGGGGGGTGGGGGTGGCGACGAGGTACAGTGTTTTGTATGATTGTATGGGGGCGAGGAAAGCTGTCTTCAAGTCCCCCCCCCCCCCCCCCCCCACCCCCACCCCACCATGGCCCCATGTATGGACAAATCGAACCAAAATAAAATATGCTCTGCTTGTGGTCTTTGTCGGGTTGAAAATTATTTCTTTTCTTTTTTCCTTAAAACTCGTAACAGGCCATGCGGTCAAACTCTAAGAAAGTGCTATTTTCTAGGTCTTTTAAAATAAGAACAAGTAGGGGGACGCAGCTGAAGCTGCTCGAATCGACAGTTTGGGAAAAGATCTGAATGTCATTATTTCAGACTCTGTCGGTTTGATGGACGAGCGCCCTCTTGTGTCGTTTCATGATCATTTCCTGTAAAGGAACACTGCGAGCACAAGTTATCCGTATTTCTGTGAAAATGTTATGAAATTTGGGCCCTAAAATTGCTCTGAGACGGGTAGTTAGCAGTGAATCATAAATACATTATCTCCAAATGCTGCAAATTATGCATGGGTCAGGTCGTGCATGTTCGGAACCAGCCTACAGTAAAATGGCAATTGCAAAATAAACCGTTAATAAAATGCTGCGCACGTGCAGAGCTAGAGGTGATCCAATCAATGGCTCAAATGGGAGCTAGCTACCTGTCCCCATATTTTAGGGTGGGGGTGTACAGTATATATCGTGGTTATATCTATTGTGTCCTCCGTAACGCAGGCGCGAGAACCTTGAAACCGGAATCGCCTAGTCCCCAGTTCCCGAAACTAACACTTAAATCTCAGACAGCCAAAAAGAGAAATAAGGGAAAATGTAAGACAACTCTACAGCACTGCAAACAAACATGACCGTGTACAAAACTGCTAAATGAAAGGCATGAGACACTTCACAATCCCACTTATAAAAATCAGTTGCATTTTATTTCTCAAAAGTCGGCGCATTTGACGGACACTATGATTATTTACACACATTTTGTGAATCATCGTTTATAATAGAAATTCCATTTAACTGAAAAATACATTGATCATGGCATTGAACCATCAGGTCTGATTTTCTTCATTATAAATGTCAGACCATCATGACTTTGTATGTCATTCTATGCCATGGATAACTTAAAAATAACACACTGCATTCCACCTTAGAAACATCTAAAACACAGAATTCTAGGTACTACAAACCATTACAATGACAAGGGCGGATCGAGAACAAATTTTTGGGGGGGAGGTTCAAAAAAATATTGGTCCCACAAAATGTGGGTCCAAAAATTACATCGAGGGGTTCGGGGCCCGCTTAAGGGCCCCGAAAAGTTGTTGGATTCTAGATGCACAATGGTGCGATCTGAGGCAATTTCTGACCACTTTAACCATTTTTTTTAAAGAAAAAGATGGTGGTGTACGTAGTGCCTGCCTTTATTGCGACGTCACTAATAATAATAAAAAAAAGGTTCTTTTTTTGGGGGGGGGGGGGCATGGCCCCCCGTTCCCCCTCCCCTGGATCCGCCCTTGTACAATGAAACTTAAAACGATCATAATAGTTGAAGGGCACACATGATTAAGAATATGGGAACTTGAAAGCTCACTATGATCTACATGATTATCTATCTACCATCTGACCATAAAAAGGCAAAGCGTCAACGTGGACATGTAGTCCACAAATCATCCGCTTTATTTACATATATAGCCTACGTGCAGACCTACATTTCTATAATCACGCAAATCCTTATTGTTTACTTTTGCACAAACAAAAGATCACACACAAGGCCACAAAACGGTTTGCAATGCAAGGTCATCTTCAAAGTATAATAATGCACAATACATATTGTGATGAGCCGAGCTCCGCATGCATCAGCTCGCCGGCGGCATGCAGGCCAGCCGCTATTAAAAGTTGGGACCAAGTTTGGCAGGGACCGTCCCACTTGGGTCTATTGGTATGGGGTGAAACAACATTGGCACTTCGCTGGTGCCCATGGCCAGTTACCATGTAACGGTTTAATACACTGGTGCCAAATCCCTCCATCATCCATTCTGATTTATATTTCGAATGTGGGGATTGGGAACAAGTCTAACAGTTAAACTCCTCACACGATTATTGTGAAGGAAACGCAAAGGTTTCTGGGTATACCTTATCGCGAACCTCAGAATTGACCCCGGCGGGTCCTCGTCGGTTCATCTATCCAATAAACTTTTATCATGCTGCCACCATTTCAGTCATGTTCCCTGTATCCAATAACATCATTGAATGACAATGTTTTTTGTGCAAGAATGAACCAGACTATTTTTCCTTCCAGCCTCGCTTTAGTTACGTTGATTTGAATGGGAAAACATCAAGATGGCCGCAACATGATAATGGTCTATAGACTTTTTTCACGAGTCGGCCATATTAAATTGCAAGCGATGTAAAATATCCATTTTTTGAAAACTTTCAAATAGAAATGAAAGAAATGACGTCGTCTGCTCTGATGAACAATTCAAAATTTGTGATTTTCTAATGTTTTAAGCCACATTAAAAAAATGACAGTGAGGCTTGTTACGCACTAGTAGTCTGGCACCACCATCCCAGTCAACAGATTACAATTTAGAAAATAGGCCTACATTTAGGGAACACGATCAAATATGGCTTCCTCGTGACGTCTATGGAGGGCAGTTTTATGAGCGAACAATATTATTTTGACTGTGCATGGCTCCCTGATTACCATAACATGACTGCATAAAACACTATACATAGAGGTTGATGCATGAATAATGGTAACGATCTAATATTATTAATACATAAAACAAAAATATGTACATGGTAGATAATTCTACTGCAGTATATATTTAAGTGCGCCTATTGAAAATACCGCACAAAATAATAAATAAAACTTCTCAAAATCTCACGGGGAGACATTTACGAAAAGTGATTTCAATTTGAATAAGGCAACAGCACGCAACACTAAGTCTTCAATAAACGATGCGGGATTGAATTACACAGTTTAAAAATTGTAGATGATCATTTGGTCATGAATTTAACATTATCAATGACAAGATGAAGAACGAAATCGTATTTTGTATTGACGGTCACAACCAGAACTCAATATACATACACTTGACTTATTTGATAATCAAGTTTTAATTGGTTACGACTGGGTCACAGACTTAACCCAGAAACGTCACAATCACTGACTTATCAATTATGACCTGGAATCATCGTGCACTATTGACCGGCACCCTGAGATATATTTTTTTTCACAATAGTAGGCATATAAAATTATGTTAGTCACCGTGCTTCTGACAGCTGCTAGGAGTGTTATACTAGGTTATCTCTTGAGCAATTATGTAGGATCACGTGGCAACATGCATGAGTCAGAATTAATAATTATGTGCATTGTGGCCAAACCTTGAGCATACAAAAAAAAAATTAATGCAAAACAGAGACTACTTCTTAGGTTTTGACTTCTCAATTCAAGAAGACATCTTCAATTAAGAGGTTTAACCTTTAAAGGCAAGGCATCAAACTATCGAAGCATAATAGCACCGCTGACCTCAATGGTATAATGTTGTACTTCTTCAAGTTTAATTCAGCTTTATGAGACAAGACATGACATCAAGCAAACAAATCCCGTGTCTTCGTGTGTTGCAGGTATCACAGAGAATCTTATTTGTTATTTTATTTAGTTAACACGATTAACAAACGGTTAATCATGCTATCCCCGCAATACAAAACCAATACCCCATGACCTCATGTGTTGCAGGTATCACAGGGAATCTGGTTTATTTTAATTTAGTTAACATGATTAACAAACGGTTAATCATGCCTATCCCCACAATACAAAACCATTGCCCTCTGACTTCGGTTAACGCATTAGGTCTTGGGGCGCAGCAAAACGATCAACATGTAACGGTACATGCATACAGCTTAAACCGAAACGGTTTCACGTCACAGGCTCATTATCAGCGATTAACACGCAATCCGATTAATGCCTAAACACTTTAGTTAAAGATTAACCTCAGCGCAGTGTGCCGAGAAGTTAGAACGACCAGGTGTACATACATTTAAAAAGAGGTGCTCAAATTTGTATCCTTGTGGAGACACGCACACAATAGGGAACAAAACATTGTAAAGGTCTCCACCAGGGCAATTTCTATAGATGAATAGGTCTCCACAAGGTTTTCACGAAATAGATATATGGATTAGTTACTCAAAAACTAGGAATTTTCAAGGTGGGTTGATCTGTCGCAAATGGAAGAGTTTTAGAAAAGGGATATTAAGTCCGAATTTCAACCAAGGAAATTAATTCTGGTTAAAATAACAGCATTTTGAAACTTCACTTTTAAAATCGAAAACTTTACTACACGAGAACAAAGAAATGTTTCCACAAGGATACAAATTCGAGAGTGTGTGATCTCACAATCTTGAATAGAACTGTTACTTGCAATTCCCAATTTGAATTTGCTAATGCCTAAAATGCCAAATCCAATTTTAAGGCAGTTTTGAATCAATGTAAAGTGCACAATGCTAATTATGATCCAGCGGGACAATACCAATTTTTTAATAGCAGGAATAAAAACTTGTCTTTTCGAGTCCGCTCCAACTTCTTGGCTGATCATATATGAGTTTTCAAATAAAACGCTGACTAAAATATCATTTTATTCAGTCGTCGATTATTACTGCAAATCGTTTTGTCTTTCACGAGACAAAATGTGACAATACATTTGGTGAACCTGAAAAAGTTTCTTGACCCTTGATATCCAAACTCAGGGCTGTTGACAAATCTACATCACATTGTTACGTAATCGGGTGGGTGCATATTAACTTTGTGTGTCCGCAAGATAATACGCTGTCAAATCGTGTTGTTTAGAAGATGCGGCTATCATTGTTTGCACTGATGATGTGCCAGCATTTGCATTTGGACAGAAATAAAGCTTTTCTCTCCAGTTTCGGGAACTCCGGCAGCGCTACCCAGGAAATTTCCAGCATACCTCATGCGCGAGCGTTAGCTCGATTACAGTGTGCGTAAGGTATAAAATGCTCGGAATTTCTCGGGACGTCGGCGGGCCAAAGTTCACATAACACTGGGTTGGATTCGCATCCCGTTCGGTTGAGAGCCCCTTCTACCGTACCACCGAAGCGACTTGACCGTGCTTGTTACAGGGACTGGCTGATAGTAGTCTGAGGATCATGCATTCAAGTGTTCAGAGCCATGGTCGAACGCAACATGCAAATTTTATGCGACCCCGCGCGTGATCAATCGACTTTACAAACTGTGACGTTATTTCGATCAAAAATATGGACTAAGCTGTGGATTGGTCAATTTGGATGCCATGTTTTTGTAGTGTTTTGCATAATCGCTGAATCCGCTCGCATCATGAGCTTTGCTGTGCAAGGGGATATTCCATAGTCTAGTGTTCTAGGGGAATAAGTCCAAATCCAGTCTTTGACCCAGAAAAAAATGACTCAAAACGCAACTTAAAACCGAGTTAAAATCGTTACTTGTCTTAGTCCGTCTACTGGTGACCCCCCCCCCCCCCTCAAGCAATGACAAGGAAAGATTATTTGGGGCTATATCAGAAGCCAACACTCTTCTGAACGGTGCGTACATTCAGTTACAGATTCGCCTTAATAACGCACCCTGCTGACCCACTGACTAAAGTTTACATATATTTATAAGGAATTATATTGACCTAGGGGATTGACATCTTAAATTATCACCATTTGGTTTCCGCAGCGACTATAGTAATTATGTCAGACAAGATGCGAGGCGGCACCTTGACTAAAAAAAGCCGCCTTTCCATATTGAGTGCGTTTCCAGTCCCTTTTTGTGTACGTTGCGTAGGTTTGGGCCTTATTTTAATAAGGGCCATGAGTATGCGTGCGAAGTCCACAACACGGACTCCGATAGACCATTATCATGTTGCGGCTATTTAGATTTTTCGGTTTTTCCCCATTCAAATCAACGTAACCAAAGCGACGCTGGAAGGAAAAAATAGTCTGGTTCCTTTTTGCACAAAACCCATTATTATTCAGAACTGTTACTGGATGCGGGGAACATGACTGAAATGGAGACAGCATGATAAAGGTCTATGGAGTGGGGACTTTTATTGTGAATGTGAAGAACTATGCAAAGTCCAGTGTGCATGCATAATGAGGTTGACCAACAAGAACCAGTTCCCATCAGAACACTAAGATTGTAATAGCTATGAAGGTCATGTGACTCTGATGAGTCAGATGCCGTTACCATCCCGCCGGAAGGTTGAAGTCCGCAACTTCAGATCGTTTGGCGGTATCGTGATTTCGAAATTAATGCCCAAAAAATCTACAAAAAAAAATTGGCTGGTTGATCACAAATGGGGCAAGGTCGGATAAGAACCCGCTTCATCGCGCGATCTTCGTGATAAATCATGCAGACCACCCCAGCGTCCCTTGACGAAAACCTCCTTTACATTTATCATTTTATCCAGCCACTGTTCAACCCAAAAACAAATCTTACAATCAGTTCTTCCTAAACGACAAAACTACAGCTCCTTCGGTTATCATTATTAAGCACCTGTAGAGTGTTTGACGAATCAAAGTACAAGTCCACTCTTAAGTCAACATCCCAGACATACCCGGCGTACGCTAAAATGAAGGCATAAGTTGCTCCTTTTTTAATGTGTGATCAAAAATCTAACTACACAATATGTCCCCCTTTTTCCCCCATTGTAATCCGTGTTGATATGGCAACACTTTTTATCAGTGCAGAATATACGAATCATCGTCCTTGGCAGATGTCTAATATAATCATGTGAAATAACTTTGATATTATTTTTTTAACCCAATTATTAAACCCCCAAATCCATCTACATCAGGTTTCGAAAGGCTTACACTTGACATGATTGAAGTAGCTATAGAATTAGACTGATCATAGTTACTACATGTATGACTTTATTTTCTTTTAAAATATGGCTTCTTGCCTTTTTCTGTACAAAGAAAGTGCCGTTTGGTACATGCAAGAGTTGTATATTTATAAAAATTCAGAATCATGCTCCTAGATAAACGTGAATATAAGACCCAGAATTAATTTATACTCCCGTATTATCACTGTATCATCCCAGAATATCCCACTTTTGAGGGCGGGACCTGGTCCACATACAAAACGGTAGAGAATAATGTTCTAGTTATAACTAAACTTAGTTTGTAATACATGTAGTAGTTTAGTTATACATGTAGTAGTTTAGTTATACATTCAGCCATCTCGGAGCAAAGCCACAAACTAAGTTGAAAGTATAATCATATCTATACCGATAGCCCAGTTAATTAACGCTCGGTCGTCGCCAAGGAAACAAATTCCTAGGTTCGGCATTGGCGTGAGAAGTTCACTTCATACGTCAGTGCGTCCCAATGACTCACGACACGCGGGTTTACCATTCACAAATAAACGTTTGATAATTAACTCCACATCGATTAGACCTCGGTTGATGTTTAACAGCCGAGATTATCCATTCAGTGGAGCATCATTTTACCATATAGGGGCACGCACCGACAATATATGTCGTTACATTTTACATTTGTATTTTTTATAGCACCTACAATAATACAAAGTTGGCCATAACCATAAAAAATATTTGAACGAAAGGAATTTCCCTAAAATTCACACTGAAACTAGTAATGAGAAAATACATGTAGTTTCATAATTAAGCTATATTATGGGCACTTAATTTATAAAGGGTAATTTATAAAGGCAACATAAGATGAAAAACAAATTCCTACTCACTAATAAATAAAGAAGTAAATGAATATTTTAAGATGACTTGATGGTCACTCTTAAACCGACTTAAAGCTTATATGCTTTAAAAATGTCATTAAGTGCCGTGAAATGTTTTTTTGCGTACTTGACTAAACCTTTCATAATATGAAAAAATAAGCTATATTTAAAAAGTTATCCTTGTTTTTGAAATTCAGCTGCGGTGATTGTCAGAATTATTTAAATGAAGGAATTGTGCTTACAAACAACTTTTCCCCCAGAATTTAGGCCAATTAATCAATTAACCCAATTAATTTTGACCGAATATACCTTTTTGTACACACAACTGTTTTTGTTAAACCTTCCTCAACAACCCCATGTATACAGTTATTCACAATAACTTTTTAATCAAGATATAGTAAACCGATTCAATGTTCTTTTACAGACTAACAATAATTATTTTAATTTTTCATTTTGTATATTTTTGTTTTTACAAAACTGACATTTCTTCTTCATATTTATATTTCCCCCTTTTTGCATACGGTGTAAGAACCCCAACACAGTTGCGATTATTGAAGCCCTTACAAGAATGTTTCCTATAGATAATTTCAAAAATCTATTTTTTTTCTTAGAAAAAAAATTAAGGCAGAATCTTTACACAGTAAGGTATCAATATTTCAATTATTATTTTGCACCCAGTTGCAGAGCCACACTTTGGGAACATCTGATTGTTGGGGTAATCGTCATCTTTATGCTTTTTTAATCCCACCGACAATTATTCGTCCAAAGGTGGGGAGAAAACGCCCCCATCTTCCAAAGCATGGATCCGCCACTGAGATAATTGTATTAATCAATTTTGAATGTATTCACCCCGTTGGCGTGTACCCCATTCGAGTGCTTAGCTCCGTTGGCGTGGACCCCGTTGGAGTACGCCACCCCATTGCTCTCCTTCTCCAGGGCCGGTTTAGGCGACGGCTTGGCCGGGGCCCGGACGAAGTAGGCTTGGTAGAAATAGTGAGCGAAGAGGAAGAAGTAGCTGGAGTACATCAGCAGGGCGACGTGGAGGTTGCGATCCGTGGTGGAGCAGAAGTCTCCATGGGAGCGGTAGTAGTAAGCCAAGGTGTTGACCACGACGCCCACGATCATCTGCGACATCTGGATGAGGGTGATGCTCACGTTGATAAAACGGGGTATACGAACCAGACGGGAGGCCCGCAGGGCGTAGTAGGTGTACATGATGGCGTGGACGGAGCAGTTGACGAGGATGAAGTACCTCCCCGGGGCGACCAGTAGCGGGTAGCTGTACCACGAGAAGACCATGACGGTGATGTGGTGGTACCAGTGAAGGAAGATGAGCTTCTGCTTACGCAGCACGATGAACAGGGTATCGCCGAGCTCAGGCAGCTTGGACAAGACGAAGAGTAGGGACCAGAATCCGTTGACGCCCGAGTAGCCAATGTCGGCCTCGCACATGGTGGACTTCCAGCCGTACAGGTTCTTGTAGAGAAAGAGCTCCTGCCATAATCTGAAGGCGCAGAGGTTGCTGAAGATGGCCAGGCCCAGGGACCATAGCACCAAGGGGCGGCGCAGGTCCAGCTTGGCCCGGTCTCTCATGAACCACTGGAGACCGAAGATGACCACCACGTAGATCATACTGGCGTAGATGGAGTCCACCCAGTGGGTCTCCATGATTTTGACCCATGGCCGGTGGTCGAAGTCTTCCTCGAAGGAGAAGACGGCTTGCTGGAAAACGGGATCAATATGGTCCAGCATGTTTGATACCACTTCCTCCCACGCCAAGAAAAAAACCCCCAGCAACCGTGCAGCCAACGAAATGAGCAACCGTAGATAGAGTCAAACGTGCTCGGCTGGATACGATGGCACACAGCCAACTCGAGAATAATTGGATCGGGTGAATTCAGTTTCACAGCACACAGTTGCCGCCAATTTATAGGGTCATATGCCTATTTTAATAGCAAAGTCCATTCAATATGTTCATTCATACACTGCCACTGCGCTGGTACGCATAGATTATGCAGTATAAAGTCCAAATCACGCGTGCTGCGGCTGCCAACGCCCTTCTCCTGGTGCTATAATGCCAAAAGCCTTTGAAATATTATCCCTCGGAATCCTTCACACAAAATGTGCGCGCTGTAAATGCCAAATCTTTGTCCTATAGCCAACAGTCCGTTTATGCAGTCCTTCCAGTTAAATTGTCTGGCCTAGTTTCGATCGGCTCCGAGTTAACAATTGGACCACCAACAGAAATAAAGAGCTTACGGTTGTCTATTTATCCAACCTGCCACACACAATCGTTCCATGGAAGCAGTGATGCGTGTTTGCATAATAATGCTCGCACTTGGGGCAGCCCTAGCGACAGTGAATCGAAGACGGGTTCAAAGGTCGGGCAAACGACGCATGGTATGCAGGCGGCTGAATAAAAACGGTAAAAGTACACTGGCTTGTGTTACCTCGATACCGAGGGGAATAAATATAGAATTTTGAGGAATAGAAACAAATTGCGAGAAAAAATGGCGCCAACGTTACATGTAAACTGATCAAGTCATGAGGTCAAAGATGTTTTGTGTGTACGTGTGTCTCTGACTCGTAAAATAGAAAAAGCATGCTGGTGTCTTGATTTAAAAAAATAGATAAAAATAAACATTGATTATTTCTAATAAAACATTGATTAATTTTTGCTTTACTCATTGTATTCAGATATTTATTCTTCCAATTGTTTCAACTAAACCACTTGTATTAAGTTCTATAAAATAGTGAGATCTTGATTGAAATTTGCTACCACGTAACTTTCTCCAAGCGCACGTTTTTCCGCAAAATCACGCGCACGTTTTTCCGCAAAATAGCGTAACTTTCCAAAGATTTTAATCGCCCGGCCCCTCCCCTAACCCCCAATAAAAACACTAGGGGTAAAAGCCTCAACGTAATAGCCGAATGTCGCCGAACAAATTATCCGCGGTTTTTTGTAGCCCAAAAGTCCACCAAAAACGTACTAGACCGAGAAAAGAAATCAGTCATAAATTAGCATGACAAAACGACAATTCATTATGTATATATTGTATCATCTTTATTAGATAGCGTTAGCTGTATATCATGCAATATTGGGGAAAAATGCTCATAGGCAGCGAAAGTAGAGCAGGAATACTGGGAACCACAACTGAAACTTGGTTGGCAAGCGTCTGACTAGTTGAGAATCCAGGAAACGTCTATGATTTTAAGTAAGATTTGAGGCTTTGCATGGCGGAGCCGATACTAAATGATGAAAGGTTTGCGGAAATACCATGTGCGAATAATTTCTCAACTAAGAGAATGGTTCTAAAAAGAACGAGAGGTATATGATTTCAATAGATAAATGATATCTTCTGAAAGGCCAGGTTTACATTTCGTTTAGATTTTGAAGTATAGCTAAGAACAATACCATCATTATTTAATAACGCAACCACGCTTTCCTGCAACTGGTTTTAACTGCATATACAATTTCTATCGTTTAATTATGTTTACTCAAAGGCATATAAGATCATTTTGCATGAGTCCCAAAAGTAACTACCTATATACCGACTTATTATCCAGAAGCTTACTTGAATTAAAGATCGTAGTGGTGCTAATTGGCACCCCGTGAAATTATTCCGTCTGTTTTGCTGTCATTTAGAAGATATCAAGGAATGTATGTAGGTGGTTTCCAACTCGGTCAAAATTATGACTGATTTTACCAGTGCTATGGACGAAATCGTATTTCGTGACTAATGGTTGTGCATTTTCTTCACTGTTTTCTCGAAAATTATAATATTCACTGAGTTGAAACTTCTTTGGATTTTGAGTGGTGTCACTGAAAGCGAACAAAATGCATGAAAGGCAAATGATCCTATATGCCTTTAATGAGAAACCACAAAAACCACTCGCCACGGATATACATTCCTGTCAGAATACTATATGCAGTACACACTTTATGTGAAATATTTACAATATTGTTTTCAAAGACAGCATTTAATATGGCATACTATATTCTCTTCATTAAATATTGTTTTCCAATTTGTAATTAGGATTGCTTTATTCAAATCAAGATTTGCATAAATAGTTAAAGAGTTTTTTGTCAGCATCTTACATATGAAGTACTTCCTCTTCGGTTGATTATATATTTAACCATGGAACACAGTTTTCAGTTCAGGTAATTAAAGTTCACTTAAAAATGTAACTATTTTTAAAGGTGCTTTCTTAATTATTCTTGACGTAAGATGACATTCTAAGTTGGAAAATGTTCAAAATTAATTAAATGAACAAAATATATGTCATGATTGAGCAAATTACAATATTTAATTTTGCTGTAATTTTCAGAAATGGATTGAATTGGGGGTTAGTATTTTATAGCAAATATTGTTACGCTGACTTGTTTAAAGTTTTGTTTTCATAGATGCTGGCAAAACCAAGAAAAAAATGCTGTTCTTATAGTCTGGTTCCCTGACCCTACTTCAGATGAAATTTACTTAGCAATTTATAGACATCATGAAATTGTCAGGTAAGGGGACCCGCCTAGTTGGCTTGCAACCATTCACGGATGTGCAACCGATTGCAAACAAATGTGGTCTAACTAAATTTGGTACATTGGGGGTTTTATTTGAAAAAAAGTGTCAGTTTTTTTTTCAATGATGGTTGGCCGACCATCATTGGAAATGGATACAAAAATACGAATTTTGTTAAACATGACAGCACACCAGGTGCCCTTATTTCACAGGATGCTTGAGACTATTATATTCACTTACAGTCAGGTAAGGTATTTCAAAATAATTTGGTAGTTTTGTTTTTTGATGTTTGCAAATGTTGTATATTACCTTTAACATGGGTTATAGGATGACGAGTGTACATGTTTCTTCTTGACAAGAGGGGTGATGGGAACTCAAATGAAATACTTTTCAAGGACCAGACACTGCAAATATTTAAGGACAAGATATTCAGAATTCACTAACCACACAGGAGGATATAAAATCACCCTGGCCCATGTTTGTCTGTGATATCAATACAGCGATAGGCACCTTCATTAGAATACAAAAACAATCTGAACAAAATCTGAGCCACAGGCAGAACAAAAAATTTGAGGAATCCAGGGTAAGCCGTCCTAGGCTAGGTTCAAAGATGATGTTTGCGCATGATAATAAGGCCTGCTTGTCCTATGCTAATGTGTGCGTCAAGGTTAATTTGTAAACTATCTCTTCAGGGAATGCTGGCTATCGGAGTAGCTGATACTTGTATTAATTCAAATCTCATTTATTTATCTTATCTGTTTTATTTGTGAGGTCCTTGTGGATTTTGCAATCACGTTTGTGGACTAGGGTGCTAGAGTGGCAGGCTTGACTTATGCAATAGTATACCACGCTATTTGGGAGCCTTTTGGTGTGGCTATTTGCTACTGTAAGGAGCGGCAGAGTCATCCTAGGGGGCAAGGTGGGGGCGGGGGGCTGGATGTTACAAGGGGAGGGGTTAGTTTTTTTTGACAATCATGGTCAATGTCAGACAATAGGTGTAGCTATTCTGGCGCAGGACCTTAAAACAAACAGCCAATTGCCAAAAACAGGATTTTAGTGAAAAAAAATTAATAGAAAACGTGAAAAAAGGCACCTTATGTTAAAACCGCTAATCACGTTAACTTATAGAAATGTGCTTTTCTCAAAGTTACCAAATTTCCGGTGGGGGGGGGGGGGGGGGGGCACTCGGGGGTTGACAATTTTTTTATGAGGGGGGGGGGCACACAGTTGTTTATCATATAAACTGGGTAAAACCATTTTGCTGCTATGAGGGGCTTTGGGATGTCTTTAAGAAGCAAGACCAGAACGCGGCCTTTAAAAAACAAGTCTCAAGGATTGTTTTAAAGGATTTATGACTCTGTAACACATTGACAGCCAGTGTATCACTCCAATTCAAGGTTCCCACAGAAAATCTCAAAATGAAAACCCATAACTTTTCCATGATTGCTTTAAGTTCCAGGATTTTCCGGGATTTTCCCATTGCTGTGGGAACCCTGAAATTGGCGCCTGCCGGAGAAAATGGGCTGACAATCATTGCAACGTGTTGCTGCGCATGGTTTTATTCTTTCTAATCCAGGCAATTAATTTTACATAAAAGTAGTCACGGAGTTAAATTTACATTGGAAAGAGCAGAATTAGGAATTCTTTTTTTAAACCACTCAGATCCCCACAATGTCAATGGAGGACATTATGGGCTCCGTACAGAAGTACCCCCTCACCGGCAAGAAAGGGGGAGTTGGGGGAGCCCATCAGGAGAGACAATCAAACGCATCGCCGAGACACCTAACGCTGTCACTAAGACGCTATGGCTTTGCGCACATTCAGAGTATAATCAGTCGTGTGTACTTCACGAGCCAGGACGCACACGCGGTGTGTTCCGTCCACAGGGCTCTCAAAAGTGGTAAAAAAGCGCCCTCTTTGTTGGCGCACGGAGCCCATATGGTGGTGAAAACTGAGACAGTTGATGTTGCGTGGCATTATAGACGAAATGGTTTAGACCTTTTAACTTGCAATTTAGCACAGATAATTTCAGACACACTTGAATTTCAGACTAATAGAAAGTGGGTCAGTTGGTAGTAGTGTCCAGCTCCAAGTCTGGGTAAAAACATTGCTCAGAGATTTTTCTAGCTCAGCTGAAACAGAATCAGCTGAGAACACAAGTGTAGATAGAAATCTCCAGGCGCGCACATCCACGCTATGAAATAGTACTCTTAGCACAATTTTTTGCTATAGTAAGCACAACTTTTCTGCTAACCGTTAAGCAGCGCCATGAAATTGGGCCCAGGTATATGCTCTTGGCCCTTTTTGGGAAATCTGGAATTAAAATATTCTACATTTTATGACACACTTTTGGTCCTGTTTACATGTCTACCAACAGTCCTCCTCATAGCACAGGATCTTCACGTAATCTGGTGTTTCTCTGCGCTGGTGTTCGCCTCTGTAGGACAAAAAAATCGAGAGCATAAATTTGAAAACTGTGGGCTCAGTTCAGTGAAAATAACTGATTTTTTTATGGACAAACTTTCTGGCTAGGACTGGCTTTAAATTGCTGTAAAACTAAAACTTGCATTGACTAGTTTTTTAAGCTTAACTTATCAATAGTACAGTATACTTTTCAGGCTTTGAAAAGGAGTCGACTGCATTACTGGTTTGTCGGTACATTGAAATCTATCTGGGTCTTCTACGAGTATTTTAGCCATATATGTATAGATAATGACAAAATGGGCTCCAAGCCTTTGGGGGATGGGTGAACAGGGGAGGGGTGAGCGGCGCAGGGGTGAGCGGGGGAGGGATGAGCGAGACCATTCCAACATCAACAGTCCCGTCAATTTACTGAATGCATACATACCCTCTGCCCCTGTTTCTGATTGGACGTCCTATGTGTATTGGGTTCCTCCTTGACCCGCAGAGGAGAAACCAGGCCATCAGGGTCAAGGGTCACGGTGGTAGATGCTGATGGTTGCCTGTCAATCAAGAGCACAACACTTTACATGAAAAAGTAAACATAGTGTTGCAGACAGCAGCCCTTGTAAATTGCTCGCTAATAACAGTGAGTGATAATTTCATTTCACATTTTCCAAATTAAACGTGGATACCCATTCCCAAACAGGATCCCCTTAACCTCAAATAGGGTTCCCACAGAAATCTTGAAAGGGAATTTCATGACTTTTCTGGACAAAATTAAGGTTTTCCAAGGCAAATTCTTGTTCTGGCATCTTAGGAGCCTGTTGCTCTGGAGGCTATAAGGGACACCACTGAGCACCACAAAAGCATCACAATGGTGCATTGAACGAACAAGTATAGAGCATACATGCATAAAGAGGAAGTATAATTAACTGGAATGCAAACTGGAAGACTGCCATAGCCAAACATTACACATCTTCATGTATAAGTTGTGCAGGATGTCTTGGCTTTTCCATGACCTTTCCATGATAGCTTTAAAATTTCAGGAATTTAGGAAACCCATCAACCTAGATCCGCCCAGGTCACGGCAAACATAATTGTTATATCAAGTGCTTGGATACCGTAATTTCACTGGTCTTGGACGAGCACGTGTCTGGACAATAAAAAGGCATGTCACACACACTAAGGGTGATAGCGCACTGCTTTCATCGGGCACGTTGCGTGTGGAACGTGCCAGTGCGCTAGCTTCGCGAAATGAGAACTGCACCATCAAATGCTCAGTCTCATGTCCGGCGGGACAAAACCTTCAGTCTTCAAGGGTTACATCGCAGTGATTTTATTTATTTCTCACACAGTGTTACAACATTTTATCTTTTAGAGTTATTGGCACGATTATCGGGGCGCATAGCACCAGAGGCGAAAAACGTCATATCCCACATCACAGCAGCCAACAATTGGTCACTATACTCACTTTGGTCTCCGTGTTCCACCGCTGTTGCCCCTCCTTTCTGAGTCCCCGCCCTTGCGTGGATTGGCCGCGTTGGGGAAGCTGGGATGGTAAGCCCCACCGTTCCCCCTGTTGCCGTCTTTGTGTTGATGGCGATCATGTCGGACCTTCTGCCTGGCACCAGAGCTTTGGTGTTGGTGCGGTGGGGGTCTGTCCTGGGCCACGGCTGGGTTGAATTGTGGCAGGAGGGCAGAGGGATGGTCGTCCATTTCCAATCCTGATGGTTGAGGGAAATTGGTCGTCTTTGGCTTACCTGTGGGAAAGGAGGTTTTTGAGCAGTTTTGACTAAAATCTGTACAGTCTTTTGTGCGGGATCTATCAAGAGGTTTGAATCACACAAATGGATATTTTTTACTTGAACTTTCAAACTCAATTTCAAGTAAAAACTCAATCCCATCACCAAGGGTCTAGTAATTTTTACACCATTTCCCCCCTCCAAAAAAAAAATAAAAAAAATTTGCATTAGTTTTCTTTAGGGATGCCAGTGGGTTTTTGCTCCAGGGCTGGAAAAATTTGACATGTGAAAGAAATGCACAAACGATTGCAATACACCATAAACACATTACAATACCACTAAACACATTACAATATGTTTACTCTGAATTAATACATTCGTGTATAGAGCTAGCATGGTAACTACCATTGAGCATTGCATGCACAATTTTGTTTCTGTGCGTGCTACAAGAGGATTTGCGTGCTGATGTCAGGATCCAGTTGCAGATTATGGAATTGAGTACCCGTAATTAACTATTTTGAATTTTCAAATTGAAAACCAGGCTACATGGAAAAACAAAACAGATTCACGTTCACGACACTTGCGAAAATGCATTTTTCACTGTCAAGCTAAAGAGCCCATATATACACTTGTACCGATGTGATAGTATTATCGCGGGGACCTTTATGAACAATATGAAAAGCAACTCCTGAGATTTAAATTTTTGGGGTTGGGTTTCTCCAACGGTTACCCGTGTCGTTTTTCAATTGGTTACTCGATTACCATAGCCCTTCAGGATAAGAACCCAGCCTATTGCAGGGAGCCAGAAAATTGAGGTTTTCTGATGAAATTTGATCCCATTTCAATAAGGGATCAAGCACACTTTGATATCAGAGAGCGCAGGTCATGGCATATATCAAACCACCAGACCTGAATATCGACCTACACTCAACCAAAAAGAGAAAGTCCCCCTTCCAATACTTTTTTGTCTAACTCAAAAACTACTGAGCACCTCTGGCTTAAATACAACTAATTAGTACAGGAATTCCTTAGCAATCCAGCCATACTCTTTGTTCGGCCTTAAGCAGTGATAATGTGTACGAATTTATGCAATTTGTAACAAATGATACCGAAAACAGTTGCACTTTTGTATACGTGCAAGTTGTGGTTCACACTCACCTTGCACGTATACAAAAGTGCAACTTTTTTTTAGGTACCATTTGTCATAAGTTGTTTATTTTTGTACACATTATCACTGTTTTGGGTCAAACAAAGAGTGTGGCTGGATTGCTGAGGAATTTCTGTACTGATCAGTCGTAATTTGAGCAAGATGTACCCAGTAGTTAGACAAAAAAGTATTAAGGGGGGACTTTCTTTTTTAGGTTGAGTGTAGTAAGCAATGACCCTTGATCAAATTCAATCACAAATTGACTGGAAGAATCCCCACTCACTAAAAGGATTGTACTTGACTTGCGTGTACGCGTACGTCTCCCCATCCGGCCCGGTCAACAGTTTGGTTCCCAGTAGCTTCTTCAGTCCCTCCTCGCTGTAGTCGTCAGGAGGTGCATCTTGGAGCCCCTGCAACGTCTCCTGCACCCTGGCGCTGCTCTTGCTCTGAGGACGCTCTTCGCGGTACCTGCTCTGACCTGAAGCAGCTGGGGGTCAATTGCGAAACAGAATATCGATTTCAGTCGCTAGCCCAGGTGGATTCAGGTCATTCGGGAGGGAAGCTTACCTTCTTGGAAGAGTACACCATTTGTCACTGGTGCATTTTTTTCTTTTTTGAAGCAACAAAAGCGCTCAAATCTAAAGTCGGTTGTCTAAAAACTAACCTGATGAAGCATTAGCTCTGTGAATGCTGTATATTTCGAGAAAACACAATATTCTGTATCTCGATTTCAATTCAAAAGTTGATAAGTCACGACATAATCCCGAAATCAGCATTCAGGACATGATTCTCATTCAGCCGATAGTTGCTACGTGATGCCACACACTGAACCGATGATTCTCCCTAATTATTGCAACAGCGCGCGAGTGTGTGTCGTGTCAACATGCTTCCACCCATTCACGAATTTGCCCAATGCAAACCAACTGCTAACGGAAATGTCCAAAAACGCGTCACTTGACACATCTTTAGGAATGTCTTTCTTTTATTGTTTTTTTTCTTCAAAATGACAGCATGCCAGAGGGAAAAATGTCACAGGGAGTTGAGTGCCATTACTATCTTTAAACCTTTTTAAATCTTTTTTTGTGTGATTGAGTTACAAATCTGGAAGAGAAATTTGGTATAGCAAAGCTAGGCACAACGATGTGACATCAACATGCCAACGATTACTTTCACAGCCATACCTGTGTTTTTGATCTTCGTTTCACGAACAGCGCCCCCGCTTGGCATGCTGGAGACAGTGGCAGTCGGCCTGGGGTTCCTGCTGGTGCCGTGTAGGTACTTCTCTGATGTCGACCGGGCAAACGAGGGCTGTTGGCCGGTTCCCTGTTGGCTGGCGTCCGATGGGAATTGAGGCGCCAGGGGGACGGTGTTCCTGGGGTGGCGAGACTTGGGCTGGGGCGGGTTTCTGGGCTTGGGCACTGGAGCTGGTATCGCGTCAACATCAATGTCATCATCGTCAATGCTGGGATCTAGTGGTAGGCAATTTCAGGACAAAAATGGGGGAAAATGTATTTACGTAGTTTCTGTTAGCAATACCAGAGTTACTCTCTTTTAAATGAGGCTTCAAATGGAAAATTTCACCCATGTTTAGTTACAGAAAAGTTTCAATTATTTGCAGCATGACAATTATAAGAGCTGTTTGTTAAGGTTGTAGACACCAAAAGTAAAACACAAAGAAGCGGTTTTTTTCATTTGATAAAACATAAAACTTGAAAATTTATACACGCACAAAAAAATTAAAATTTGTTGAAAAAGGATAGAATAGTGTCTTTAACTAGAGCCAAAAGATTCAATTACCAGTTCAATAAGTCTCTGTACTGATGATGTCACACTTTGTTTAAAGAGGTTGTGGAATGCTCAAAGACATTTCCGTCATTTTTCGGGTATATGTAGCCTAAGGTGTGATGAAATAAAAACGACTATTGTGTCTGTCATGAAATGAGTACAAAAGGTACTTTTGAGAGCTGTTTTTCAGGTCCTGTTTTGACCCGACTGTGCAATTTGTGTAAAAGTCGTTGTTGGGGCAGCAAACAAAACATAGTAAATCGTGACGTAATAAACAGGACTCGTTTATACTACGCTGCATCGGGAGTCCTGTTTATTACGTCACGATTTACTATGTTTTGTTTGCTGCCCCCAACGACGACTTTTACACAAATTGCACGTTCGGGTCGAAACAGGACCTGAAAAACAGCCCTCAAAAGTACCTTTTGTACTCATTTCATGACAGACACAATAGTCGTTTTTATTTCATCACACCTTAGGCTACATATACCCGAAAAATGACGGAAATATCTTCGAGCATTCCACAACCTCTTTAAGTGTGCGCTTTTCTATGGAGCTACGAAACCGTCGTCCCCACCAGGCTCCCATAAGAAAGCACATGTGTATAAAACAAAGTGTGACGTCATCAGTGCAGAGGCTTATTGTCCCTTTACTGACTGAATAACTGACTAGTCTGACTGTGAATAAATTATGTCCTAAACTGTGACTTCCTGTTCTAGTTCACCTAGGCAAGCCTACTCTGGTTTTTGTACAGGGTGAGTAAAAAAACCCCAAAAACCAAGATGTCAGGACCATTGTTTTAGTGATGTTCTAAATGTAGCACTTTCAAAATCTAGGATATGAAAGTTCTATTCATAAGCTTTCTTTTAGAACAAGAATCATTCAAATCACTTATGTACTTTTCAAGTTATGGACTTTTAACACAACAACAGTTTTAAAGCTCTGTCCACGAATCACAAAACAGTAAGTGTTCTTTTAGCAAAACGAAAACAAATCACATAGGGATGTGTGTGAATCGTTTTCGTTTTGCTGAAAGAACGCACACCTTTTGTGTGATCCGTGGACAGAACTTTAAAACGGTGGTTGTGTTTAAAAGTCCGTAACTTGAAAAGTACATAAGTGATTTGAATGATTCTTGCTCTAAAAGAAAGCTTATGAATAGAACTTTCATATCCTAGATTTTGAAAGTGCTACATTTAGAACATCACTAAAACAATAGTCCCGACATTTGAGTTTCATGTTTTTTGACTCACCCTGTATACACTGCATTGACATTTGCATAGAAAAAAGTAAGATGTTTATACTTGAATGCGAAAAAAAGAACCATGAAATGCCATCTATCCAGTTGGGTTTTCAAAGACAGCCTCTGGATTTCATCAGAATGAACGCACTCTACTTTTTGTCCATACCAGCAAAAGCCTGTTCGTCCTGATGCTTCCTCGGTCTGACAGGGAAGTCTTGAGGTCGTTGAACCCTGTGCGGTTTGGGTCTGATGGGACTCTCGTTTGACCCGCCCCTTCTGGTGGGGTACGACCCTGGGCTGGGGTCAAAGGTCGTGGGTGCTGGGGTCACGGTGCGGTTCTCACTACAGTTGACCTGGGTGAAGCGATAAAATAACTGAAATATATAGGGCTCAGGAAATTTTGGAAACAGTCAGAGATTAACCACTGGCATGTATTTGGTACCTTTAGATGAAGTTTTGATTTAAAACTCAGATGTTGTATCCGATCATTCCTTTCAGGGATTAACCCTAACCCTCCTCAATCCTCCAAAATCTTCCAGACAGTTTTGGAGGATTTTGGAGGATTGAGGCCAAAAGGCAAAAAAGTGTTGATTTTGGAGGATGCATTGTGTCGAGTTCGTAGGCTGTACCCAGCATTGTTCATGTTCAGTCATGCATAAGTGAGCCCTGCATTATGCCTGATATCATCCGCACTGCTTCTGAATGTCATCGGCACTGCCTCAACCTATAACAGTGATTGTTGGGGAATCTTGAAAGATTGAGGCAATTATGGTCACTCCTCTCCTGAACAAATTCAAGACATAACAGATGATTTTGGAGGATTGAGGCTGAATCCAATTTTTACATGGTGGCAATTGGAGGATGCTGCAGGATTGAGGATGGTTCCTAGCCAAAAGGGCCTAGGGGTTAGGATTAAGGTTTCAAAAACGTTCCTGATTTTATGAATTGTTACTTCAAGAAAAGAGAATAGTATACAGCTGAACAAATAATTCATCACAGTTTCCCTGTAAAAAACATTTGATAAACAATACTTTGAATTTAAGTAAAAAGGCTTATTCAAGTTTCATTCCTCTTCCGTTATCACCCATCAACAGCAGGTATTCCTTTATTAGAGACAGAAGAAACAACTGTTTACAACGTCTAGAGGGAGAAGTCATTTTATGAAGCTAGTGCACATACCTGATGCATTGGCAGGGCATCTGCTGGGAGAAGTATCTCACAGAATTCGCAGGGTAGCATCAGGAGATTGTCTTCGTCATAGTTATGAGGGCTGTCTGACCGGTCCAGAGAACTGTACCTGGTGATCAAAGACAGTTTGTGGTGTTGTGGTGTACATTGTGGAATATTACATTGACCTTCTAGTTTTTAAATGAAAAAGGAAAGTCAAGTCTGTCACGAGCCAATGTGGCCCATCAGGCTGGCGTTTATCTCTGGCTTCAGTGGCATGAAACGACTGAGAATATTTCTACTCCTCCTGGATGGGATGCTAGTCCATCGCAGGTTACTCCCCAGCTAATGCCGGTACCCATTTATACTCCTGGGTGGAGAGAGGCAAGTGAGGGTTAAGTGGCTTGCCCATGGACATAACGTATGGTCGGCGGTTGGATTCGAACCCCCGACTCTCTGATCATGACTCATGTATCGTAACCACTAGGTCACACTCCCCAAATTGAAATGAAATGCCACGTATTATATTTGTGCCAAATGACAAACATCCAGTCAAGCCACCCTCAGTTCGACCTTTTGACAACTCTGAACGGTTGGCGACTGACTTTTCAGGATCAAGCTGCGCCTGAGCTGCGACCATCGGCAACATATCATTCATTTGCGACCTGAGTGTAACTGCGACGATATTAAGACGATCGGCATCAGTCGGCACTCAAAAAAAAATCAACAGTCGCAAGAGTAGAAAAATCTCAACTTCTGCGCCACGATGGAACGGGTTCCCGAAAGGCAGGAATCAATCGCAGTCGACTTGGGTGAAGTGTCGCGACATCGGTAATGTGAGCAGGGTTGCGATTATGCTGCATCGAGATGCCACTTGTTCCACGATAATCTCACAATTTCTCAGTTTTTTTTTAACTTGAGCTTGAACTTTTGTGCTTGATGCCGACGGTACTGTTGCTGTGCAAGTAAATTGCAGGTTGACCGAGGCCGGCTTAATGCAATATATACAACACATGTAGACATTAAAAAGAGTACTGGACTCCAAGTTCAACAAAATGGCTTATTTTTTTTGGTAGACTGTGCCTTACCCTGGAAATGTTGAACCATAGTTGAAATTATTCAGTACTTCAGATGGTGGCTGTGGGTGGCTGGGACCTCTTGGCCTGCTGTTGTTGGTTTGAGCTGTCTCCTCCTTTGGATGGCATGCAAGGTCAGGACGGCAACCAGACTAGAGGTAGAAAGAAAAGGAATACACATGTATACACAATATCCAAGATGCTTCAACACATGCCCAATGAAAATGTTCCACATTTATTGAATGGACCTCCACCATCTGGTACATGATACGTAGGGGAAATTGCCACGCACTCCAGGAAATGCCCATTTTTATTTTATTTTATTTTACTGAACCAGACGGCTTATTCTGTCAAACAAAACAACAACAGACATCCTCTGATAATGCCTAATGCTCCATTTTGGTGTCTTTGCTGAGTCCAGTCCATGTGTGGGGTGCAAGAACAAACTTCCATTAAAATGCTCTCAGAAAGACAAAGGCTGTACAAAATGACATAATCGTCTCATTACCCCACCGATATATACCTTAATTAACAATTCAATAAACATTGGCAGCAAAATATATGGGAATCGTTCATCACAAGGCAAGAGGGCCACTTCAAGGTGTTTAGATTTAAGTTGGTTGAAAACAGGATTCAGGTATAAAGTTCCAAAGTGCAGCAGTACGAGGAAAAAAGCTAGAAGAACATCTCACAGTACTGGCCTATGGAACAGATACATTGAAGGGTTGAGTGGAGATTGCACAACGTGTGCTGCGAGTGAAGGTGCGAACAGAAGGGACAACAAGTGAGGGACCTTCTGAGCCCATGTAGAACAAGCTAAGAGAAGCAGCTGAACGTCTAACAGAAAGAGGTTCTAGAGATGATGCTGGGTCCAGTCCTCCCAAATGAATAGCCCGCTGTTGTATTCTGTCAAGAAGGGACAAGTAGGTACAAGGAGCAACGGCCCAGATATGACTGTGCAGTATTTGGAAATATCTAGTCATAGTCAGACCGATATCATTACCTGATGCTGTATAAGTGTCTCAGCTGGAATGGGTCGCTGGCAGAATTCACACGGTAATGTTAAGTCACCCAATGCTGTGTGGAAATAAAAGAAAATGAGGGGTATGTTGGTTTTCTCATCAGTGAAGTCACACATTATGCTAACAGCATGATCTATTGTCTCGGATATCACTTTCCCCCTAACCCTCCTCAATCATCCAAAGTCCTCCGGGCGGTTTTGGATGAATGCAACATACAATTTTGGAGGATTGTAGAGGATTGGGAGCACATGGACATTCGGTACCAGCTGATTTTGGAAGATCGAGGATGAATGGTGTTAGAAGAAGAGGAGGATTTTGGAGGATTGAGGTTGAAGGCATTTTGAAAGGCAGGGCTGTTGGAGAATTTTGAAGGATTGAGGCAGTGGGTAATTTTTGTATCCTTCATTTGAACATACATGTCAAGTGCAAAATTTTGGAGGATTTTGGAAGATTGAGGTTGGGTCCTAGCAAAAAGGGCATAGGGGGTTCAGGTTAATACCAGAGAATTCAATGGGACGAAACAAACTAGCGGCATCAATTTTGAGTTTATATTCAGCGTGCAGGCTTCTGCAATATTGGATTTTGTGAGTCTACGATTTACCGCCACAAGAACACGATGGTGTTCGGTGTTATAGGGTACTTTTCTGGGCAGGCTACTATGTTGTCCAAGTACAATGAGACAAGCAGTATTAGGGGAACTGCAAACAGGCAGCATGCATGGGCAGGACTTCAAAGGCTTTTCTGGATGACTAGTAAGCACAATTTTCACCTTATCTAGACAACTTGACCACAAGGAATTTTAACAATATACATGTACAGTGCAGTGCAGATCTCAGCCACTTGTTTCTGTCATCTTTTTTTTTTTTACAGGGCTTTTGTACAAATCTGGCCACATTTAAGAGAAAAATGGCACTATTGAAATTCCACACCGAGATTGTCAATATGTCGGTATTTTGACAACATCATTTGTTATTCCATATCAGGTTTTGCCCTTCACCGACGTATGAAGGGCAAAATGAAAATCTGTATGGAGAATATTTACCTGTACATAAATTTGCATTTTTACCGATAGTACTATTTCTGGTATATATGTCGGTGAAGGGCAAAACCTAAAATTAAATTTACATCACTCCAACGCAAACGTCCATCTTATCATTCCTTATTGTTTGGTACCAAAACAATACAGGGTGAGTCAAAAAAATGAAACCCCAATGTCAAGACCATTGTTTAGTGAAGTTCTAAATGTAACACTTTCAAAATCTAGGATATGAAAACTCAATTTATAAGCTTTCTTTTAGTACAAGAATCATTCAAATCACTCATGTACTTTTCAAGTTACGGACTTTTAAACACAACCACCGTTTTAAAGTTCTGTCCACGGATCACAAAACGGTATAAGTGTTTTTTCAGCAAAACGAAAAGAAATCACATAGGGATGTGTGTGAATTGTTTTCATTTTGCTGAAAGAACACACACCTTTTGTGTGATCCGTGGACCTAACTTTAAAACGGTGGTTGTGTTTAAAATTCCATAACTTGAAAAGTACTTGAGTGATTTGAATGATTCTTGTACTAAAAGAAAGCTTATGAACTGGGCTTTTATATTCTAGATTTTGAAAGTGCAACATGCAGAACTTCACTGAAACAACAGTCCAGACTTTTTGGGCTTCGTGTTTTTCGTCTCACCCTGTATTGTCACTACACACATGCTGTACTTTTTTGAAATTGAATTATAGCCTAGCCTAACAGAGCATCTGTTCCCCTCACTAGCCATTTTTGTTACGAAAATGACCAATTCCCATCTGTCACCCAACCTGTAGTCCCATTGTCTCTCACCTGTGCCCTGTTCTTGGAAGGTGTTGATGGCTGGAATGCTGTAGGAGTCTTTGATTAATTCCTGGATGGCAATATCGTCCTGGAACTCATCGTAAGCAGGAGGGGGCCCACTGCTTGGGTGAGCCACATCTTCGGAGAGGTCATCAGAATCATACCAAGAGTCATCGGGTAGGTCTTGGGCCAGGTGCTGGGCCAGGCGATGGTCTAGTTCTTCCTGGCTGGTAGCCGACTGAAGTAGGGCTCTCTCCTCTGTGAAATAAAAAGTTTACATTGATGGTCAATGGTAACAGTTGAAACAACTGGCAAACAATTAAGCCAATGAAAATTTGTATAAATGCATTTTTACCGGTAGTTTTATTTCTGGTATGTTGCGTAGTTAGACCTACAGTTTACAGTATATGTACAAATAATGAATGTTTATGTGTGCAATGGTAAGAATAATTTTATGAGGTGACAAATGGAATGTTCCATTCCATGAGGCGAAAATGGAACATTCCACCTGTCATTCTTTCCTTTCCATTGAACAAATGTGAGACATACATGATTTGTTTCATACAACACCTGAATAAATCCTCATCATCTGATTGGTTACAAACGAGGTCCCATTGTCATGCAAAGTTTGCAGTACACATTTGAATATGGTCCCAACCCACACCTGTGATTTTGGAATGTTACATTGGTCACACGACTGCAAATAGCCATCACTTGAGCTTGTGATTTGCTTGTTGACGGGACGATTGATTATGCATGCCCCAGGGCGAGGCTGGCTAGACTCACTAGGCTTTTTATGCGGTTCTTGTCAGAGGAGCTGGGTTTGGCTAGGATTTTCAGGGTCAATAGTTCCACCCATATAACTCATGTTATTTGGCTACAGGAGGAACTTCATGACATTTTTTGACCACAAATGTCAAGCTAACTAAAAATTAAGGTTTTAAGACTTCATTTTTAAGTACAATCCTTCAGCAAAGGGTTCACAAAAACTAAGTTGACTTAAGAAGCATTAAAGGGACCCCACATGAAATTTCATCTGAATTCATCAAAACCAATCCTCTTTCTTTAATCATACAGATTGTCATTTGAAGAAGCTTTACCGTTTTTCTCTCTTCCTCTGGCTGGGTTCCTTGTCATCACGTTCTGGACCCTGTCTTGGTTCTTCCGTTGTTTCCTGTCTCCGAATCCCCCATCAAACAAGCCCCTCCTGCCCTCCCCGGCCCCAAGGCCGCTCGGATAACCCTTCGTCCCCGGTCTCAGTAACGGGGGACCAGTGAACTGCCCTAGCAAGCCCGACGGCAACCGGTTGGACTTTGCCGACCGAAACAAGAGGTCGTTCTGGAGGTATGGGTCCCTAACGGCAGCGGTGGACTGGAAGGGGTTCGGCTTGACAGGCTTGACTTCTGGGTACTTGCAGTCTGTGGCCTCGTGGCGGACCTTGTCGCGGAAGTAGATGTAGCGGCTGCATTTGGGGCAGGGCTCAGTCCGGCTGCCGCAGAAATCCTTGTGCTCGGCGTGGTTTTTGAAGTCCATTCCCATCTCGCAGTATTCGCATGTGACTTGGCGCTGCGGGCAGTGCTCAGCCTAGTAGAAAGAAATGGAAGTCAATGGTTGTTGTACTCATTGCTTATCCCTCCTGCTATTTAAACAGTCGCAGACAGTCACAATTTTTCTTTGACTTCCCCTGCTATACGTTTAAAGCTACAGTCCATCATTTGTAATTTGTGCATTTTGTTCGTTTGAAGCAACAAAAGGGTTCAAAATCTAATGAAGGATACTGAGCAACTAACCTGATGAAGTTTCAGCTAAGCTTAAGCTGTACATTCCGAGAAAAACAGCATTCTAAGATCTCAATTTCAGATCAAAAGTTACTGAATCATGTTTTGAATTGTTTTGAATTGCAGCTATACGCGACGTAGCGCACTGATCCGACGAATTATAACAACCGCGTGCGCGTGTGCGTCGTTCCAATACTTGTGCGCGCTGCGCTGAATAACAAAACGAACTACTAATTTAAATTTTCCTACGGTGATTCTTAACAATCACCGTTGGAAATGCCTTCTTTCGTTGATTACTTCAAAATGACAGCTTGCCAGAACGAATGATTTCACAGGGAGTTTAGTTCCCTTACTATCTTTCAACCAAGTATGCTTTTCAACAATAATTACGCCAGTTACTTTTCGGATGGCTGCAAATGATGGACTATAGCTTTAACACAGGCTAGTCACCAGCAGTCAGATCTGATGTCAGGCAAGCACTGTGACTACTAGTCAAACTCAGTCCACAGACCATGAACAAACAATGCAGGCCAAGTTGTGGGCAGCTTATAGATTACCCACAGTCAAAGCCAAGCTGCGTCAAGTTACATGGGCTGTCACGGCCAGTCAATCCTGCTTTATGTAGGCTGGGAATTCGTAACTGTTTAAAACAATCACTTGATTGATTTGACTGACAGGACAACTTGGCACAAAATGTATGTTCGCATAGGAGGGTGAATGGCATTTTCATTTGCCAGCTGACCATGGCTAGTGTGATGGTTAAGTGGATCGATGCCTGTACTACTTTGCACATGGCTTTGTCTATCCACTGAACTTACGTCATGTTCTTCTTGTTGGCACTTCTCGACAGCCTCTCCACATTTGCAAGTCACCTGGTGAAACCAAAATTCCATAGAATGTGTATGGAGTGAGTACGATGCTCTGAAGTTTTTTCTAATAAATGGCAAGCAAATGTTCCCTTTTACAAAGAATTCAGAATTGTAAATTGTGACTTTCCACAGGAATTTGGCAACAATTCAAGTTTATCGAGACACGCGTTTTGTTCTGAATACTTTAAGTAAGATTTGAGGCTTTGCACGGTGGAGATACTTATGAATGAAAGGTTTGCGGAAACACCATGTGTGAATAATTTCTCAACTAAGAGAATGGTTCTACAGTCCTTCATTTTTAAGGAGCGCGATCGCGCAGGCGCTCCTACTGCGCTCCTCGACTGTCTCGAAGGAGCGCTAAAAATAGCGCTCCTCAGAAATCCAAAAGAGGGCTCGTCAAACACGGGAAGTTTAAAAATAAGAAGTGATAAAAACGCAAAGGATTTTAAGTCTTAAGCTACACGTATTTTTCGTTGGTATAATGCCCAAACTCACGTTAATATGCCGCTGGACATCGCTAAAAATGAACGAACACCGAGCTCGTACGTACTGTATAAGATCGTGTGTGTACAGCGGTTGTATACTGTGCGTGCACAATCTGCATATCGCGTAGAGCTGCATGAAAACACGTGGTCCCGTACGTGCAAGTGCAGCAATGACTGGTTCCCGCTGCGCCGCGCACTAAGTCCCAATGAAGGCATGATGAAAATGCGGTAACCAGTCAATGTAATAGTCCTGCGCGGTGCAATGCACTGCCTGCCGTACAGTGTTTTGCGTGCAGGCTGGACGGAATAGACGTCGTAAAAATGCCAAGAAAACAACGATTGAGAAGGACGATCTTTGCAAGCTTATTCACAAAACTTGATCTCTCTTGTCTGTGTATGTATTTCCCGTGTTCATGAATTTATTTTGAGGAAGTTTTACTGGTATGTGAAGTGAAACGATGCAGCGTGTTTCACCGAAATCCTATACCGTGAAACGAGTCTCATTGCCGGCCCACCACACACAGTGCATCACAAACGCTCGTACTAGTGCGAAGTTCAGATGTTGTTAGCCAGTTTCTCGTCGTGACTAGCATTGTGTATATGGCATACTTGACCTGCATTTTCCGTTATTTTTAAGATTATCGACGGCAGATATTTTCGATAAAACTTAAGGCAAGTTTGTGTCATTTTGAGGCCCTTTTTGTGAAGCTTTCGTAGAGCAATTGAAATAGTTCAGGCTGAAAATTTCATACAATTTTAACGAATCTGAAAGCAATTTTTCAGTTGCTTTATGTGCCGTTTATTAACTCTCCATTTTCCAAGTATAATCAAGTGATGAACCAACTGACACCTGTATTAAAAAATGAAAGCCTGAGCAGTAGTCAAACCTTTTATTAATCTCCATTTAGTTAGTTTTTTAAAATAAATTTTACCTTGTCTTACAGTTACAAAAACGAAAAAAGTAACGCAACTTGAGCATATGTTATTATGCAAAAACTAATAATAATGCAGCCCCTTGAATAAATCCTTATATTCAAATAAAACAAAAACAATGGTAACCCGTCGTTTTACCGCTGTTCATCCGTAGATTTTAAGGAGAGCGATTTGCTCTCCTCGAATATTTGAGGAGAGCGATTTATAGCTCTCCTGCATTTTCTTTAAATGAAGGACTGGTTCTAGAAAGAACGATAGGTATAAACTCGACGTTCCGGTCAGTATGCTCCGCGTCTCCTGAAGACGGTCAGAGCATACTGAATGGAACGTCGAGTTTTTACCTCTGGTTCTTTTCAGAACCATTCTCTTAGTTGAGAAATTATTCACACATGGTGTTTCTGCAAACCTGAATAACTTTAAGTTCATGAAGATACTAGAAAATGATGTAGGGAGTTATGGTCGAGGTAAATGACTGTACAGACAATCTGGTAGCCCTTTCCAGTAAAAGTTCAGTTTGTGATTGTCCACACATCTTAAGTCCCTTGCCCAGCCCAAGTTTCACTTTTCATCCCTGGTCCCACCCACCTTGACGTGATTCTCTTCATTGTGTTGGTCCATCTCCGTGCGGGGAACCGGCTCCTCGCATTTACTGCATAGCACGATGTTACGGCTGCAGTGGTTCTGATGCATGAGGTAGTTCACCGACGGAATGTCCCGTTTGCTAGGAAAACAATTATGCATGAATAGTAGCGACGAAACATAATGGGGAAAAAGTGCAGAACTTGTCAAACATTCATCAAATCCCACACATTTCACAATGCAAGCAAATTCACGTCATAAAATTGTGGGTGATGATCAGTGCAACAAGTAGCAGGGGGGAGTGTGAGTGACCACTGATCAAAATACCTGAAAACAGCTGAAAAAGGTGTAAAAAAGCTGAACTTTGCAAATCTCCTATTTTGTACACAGCAAATGAGGGGGAAAAAAGCTGAAATCCCCCCCTCCAAAAGAAGCTAAAATAAACTTTAAAGCTGAGATTTCACACCCCTGAAGTAGGGTTCTGTGATGTATTGATGTTACTCGATTATTCGATATTATCGATTTCGCTAATATTAATTTTTTAATCATATCAAAATATCGAGCCTCATTGATGAATGATATCAAAAATATCACAAAGGGTGTCTGGGTGTACTCAAAACAATGATCCAAAGACTGTATTTCTGTTGGCTTGTAGACATCAGAAATTCAGGAAACTTTTTGAAATACAGTTCAAATGTTTAATTTTGCCACCGAGTTTCCATTGAATGCACGATCTCTTTCGCACTTATTTTCATTTTCATAAATTTGATTTTGACATCGTGCACATTTACAAAAATGGCCGACCAATGTGCAACTCACACACAAAGTTTATCGGAAATTTCCAAATAAAAATGAAGTCACACGGTTGGTTTTTAAACCAATCATTATGCATGGAATCAGGAAATCAATTCTTTGGTTCTTTTCGTTTGTATTGCAATAGTCTGCGTGCTGTTCAGTGATTCCCACACAGAGGTAATGCGCTACAAATCTAGCGCCTTGTGTACTGCAGTGCATTTGTACAGGGGTGTGAGTGACCACTGATAAAAATAGCTGAAAACATCGGAACAAGGTGTAAAAAGCTGAACTTTAGAAATCTTCTATATTTTTGTACACAGCAAGTGAGGGAAAAAGCTGAAAAAAAACGCTGAATCCAAAACCAAAAAATCGCTGAAATCAGCTTTAAAGCTGAGATTTCACACCCCTGATTTGTAGCAATGATTTTAGAACATACTGTCCAATTTCGTTGATATTTTGGGGTTTTCTTTGGGGGGGGGGGGGAGATTACCCAGAGATATCAGAAATTATGACAGGTAAATTTCATTTTATAACTTGTGTAGTTTTTGAGTTACGATTTTATAAATTTTGGTGTCATGTTGCGATCCGTCGGTGTCTGCGGTTTTTGTCCAGCGGGAAGTCTCGTGACTGAACTGTCTTATTCATTCAGGCTTCCTTGATATCAAGCATGATCTTTAACGTTTTATGTTGTACATGGGGGATAACTGATATATCAAATATTCTCAACAATTGAGTTTTGATATATATTGATTATTGAAAAATCTGATATCGACAGACCCTAGCAACAAGAAACAAGATCATAAAGCAGTGTTATATTCAATACTGTCGACTTACCAGTTGCTGCAAAACTCAGTGGCCGAGGGATCTTGATCCTTTGCCATCATTATCAATTAGTGTGAATCTTTCTATGTAGCTCTGAAATTAGTTCTGTATGATTAAACATATTACAAAGAATATAATTTCGCAATCAATTAATTTAATATAGTTTCATGTCACTGTCAATAATAATTATCACTTATCAATTTAGCCCCAGTCTAGGCCCAGTCTACTGGACTAAAGTGTGTATCCAAAACACTAGCCTGAAAATTTGGGACTCTCAATACTGTGTATGAGAGTCCCAAAACTTAAAGCTATAGTCCATCATTTGCAGCCATCCGAAAAAGTAACTGGCGTATTATTGTTGAAAAACATACTTTTATTCTTTCTGGCAAGCTGTCATTTTGAAGTAATCAACGAAAGAAGGCCTTTCCAATTGTGCGTCTTAAGACGCACCGTAGGACAATTTAAATTAGTAGTTCGTTTTGTTATTCAGCGCAGCGCGCGCAAGCATTGGCACGACGCACAGGCGCGCGCATTTGCTATAAATTGACGGATCAGTGCGCGACATCGCGTATAGCTGCAATTCAAAACATGATTCAGAAACTTTTGATTTGAAATTGAGATCCTAGAATGCTGTTTTTCTCAGAATATACAGCTGAAGCTGAGCTGAAACTTCATCAGGTTAGTTGTTCAGTATCCTTCATTAGATTTTGAACACTTTTATTGCTTCAAACGAACAAAATGCACAAATTACAAATGATGGACTGTATCTTTAAGGTATTGAAAACATGGAACACAAAAAAATAGACTGGCACATGAAACAACCGATCCCCCTTCAGTATTGCATCAATCAACCTGTCAAATGTGTCAACAGAAGCATCAGTTACATAATCTCTATTTTTACAAATTCTCTCCACAGTCATGCTGCAGGACTAATTAAATAGTCAATCCTTTCAAAAATAATCTTGCTCAAAGTCGGTTGCAAATTCGCTACATGTACATCAGTTTCAGGCATCCAGGGGACGTTTGCTGCTCTGGCCGTACTAGAGCTTATGATAGTGTAAGGCCAGAGGCATCCAGGCTAATCATATGCCTGGATTAGCATGATTTAAGTGAAACTGCATGACCCATATGCAGAATAAAAGTGAACAAGAGAAGGGCAAACAAAGATGGAAAGAAATATTTGCATCTAATGCAGGCTAAAAACAAGCTCGAGTAAAGCAGGCAGCATCACAAAAAAACACCTTATTTAAGTTATTATTCTGTACTTAATAATGCCTAACCAACCATGTAACGTAACTTACATTTTTCGAAGTGGCTATCGTTACGGCACTCGTTGTTTAGCGCCCTCTACGATATTTTTTTGATACGCACGCAGGTATATAATTATTTGTTTCCACTCGTTTTATCGAGCAGTGCGCCAGCTCAGCCGATAGAGGGTAGGATTTTGCACCGCGAGGTTGCGGGTTCATATCTCAGTTTTGCACTCAAATTTTTTTCCTTTTCTAACCTGAGGCTTTGGAGGATTTTTTTTAAAAGGGAAATAAAGTCCGAATTTCATAAAGTTCAAATTCACTTTTTTCCTTCTAATTTTATATTTTCTTGTCATGTTTTTTTTATAAAAGTTGCCAGGTTGCAGTCTACCGTAACGATAGAAAATGGGAAATGCGTTACGGCTGCCGTAACAATAGCCACTGCGTACATTTTTCTGATGCTGACAAACTTGTCCAAAACATGACAATTGCTAGCAAACTTACCGAGAACATTACTAATAATACTTGATCATGCCAACCCATTTGCAAATAGACCTAAAAAGTACTATTATTAGTAATTATTAGTCATAGAAAAATCCCGTCCAAAACTGACGACACCCACCTATACAAAGCTATATTTCGTCTTCGGGGATTTCCCTCTCTGTGCAATGTGGCTGTGGCCTGCGCCTGTGCAGTGTGCGATCGCAAGACAAGAAACGGCAAGTGATTTCAACGCCAGTTAGATTCAACTGCGTGAACTTGGCAGAGAATTTTGACTACCCAGAAAATGACCAGAGCAGAAGTGGGGTTTACTACAACGATTACATCACCAGATTACTGAAATCAACGTTTACCGGTATTAAGCAACGACACCGAAATCAGGAAATCTGACCTGCTGCTGTCACTTTTCAAGTTGCTTGTAATCAAATAAAAATCAGGTTCTGTTTTTGTACAAAAATAACTCAACCTGAAAACGCAACACAAATGTCACTCACAGTCCAGGTACCACACTTGCATAGAGGGCGCTATTTAACGCCACCGGCGGCAAAAACTCCTGGTCTCTATCTCCAGCCGTCCTGCTACTTGAATGCGTGAATTGATAGGTACGGTGCCCTTGAAATGACAACTATAATATACAACGGTGGTATCGTCAACCAGAATAGCACCATTTCTCAGAATAATGAAATTTTACTAAATTCAAATTTCGCAAGCATGGAGAAAGTTTAAAAAGAGACAATACGTTTGGGGGGATTTTTTTTTTTGGGGGGGGGGGGTATCGAAAGACAATGTGGCGGAATTAAAACGAATTCTGACACCCATCCATAACCAGCCTCGTTCCCAGGGTTTACTGTATTTTCAACCTCGTTTCCCAATAGTAAGTGAGAGAGCAGGTAGTGGTGGGAGCGTACTGCTCGACACCGTGGGAACGAGGTTGATCTATAACGTCATGACACTGTTTAAAAAAAGGAATAACCAGACCTGAATTAAAAAAAGGGAAAAACAATTTACAAAATAATTATGTTTCAATATTTATTTCTTTATAAAAGCGTTCGCCAAACAGAAAAGAAGGCTTCCATTGCACCATCATTGAATATAAAAAAAAAATCGAAGCAGTTTGCAGCAGTTTTACTTTTTTTCATGTTTCAACTTCTCTGTTGCAGTATCCCTTCGTGGTGATCCTCCTTGCTGACATGTAAGTTTCATTGTGTTTTGTTTTGTTCCTTCTTTTGATCGTTTTACTGCTTTTGTTACATCAGTTATGTATACATGTACCTGTTTATGTTTATAGTCTTGTCATTTAGCCATCGAGAAAGACTCTGCTAGGGTCGAAACGTCAGGCCACATTAATTTTAAGAATTATATATTTCAGGTCCATCCAGTCAGTAAGCAGTTTGCAGCAGTTTTACTTTTTTTCATGTTTCAACTTCTCTGTTGCAGTATCCCTTCGTGGTGATCCTCCTTGCTGACATGTAAGTTTCATTGTGTTTTGTTTTGTTCCTTCTTTTGATCGTTTTACTGCTTTTGTTACATCAGTAATGTATACATGTACCTGTTTATGTTTATAGTCTTGTCATTTAGCCTTCGAGAAAGACTCTGCTAGGGTCGAAACGTCAGGCCACATTAATTTTAAGATTTATATATTTCAGGTCCATCCAGTCAGTAAGCAGTTTGCAGCAGTTTTACTATTTTTCATGTTTCAACTTCTCTGTTGCAGTATCCCTTCGTGGTGATCCTCCTTGCTGACATGTAAGTTTCATTGTGTTTTGTTTTGTTCCTTCTTTTGATCGTTTTACTGCTTTTGTTACATCAGTAATGTATACATGTACCTGTTTATGTTTATAGTCTTGTCATTTAGCCTTCGTGAAAGACTCTGCTAGGGTCGAAACGTCAGGCCACATTAATTTTAAGATTTATAAAAAAAAATCGTTACGATAAAAATGCGTTCACTGTGCACATAGCTTAAAAGTTCGTCTGCAGCCATACTGGATGTTTCTTTGGGCGGGAAATAAGTCTCTTTCTTACGAATCCGTTCGTGTTGTAAGGAAGAGATTTCCATTTTATCCAAGTTGAGATCACTGATCTCCACGTACACAAATCTGGATATCGTTGGCCATTTCGAACTGTACAAAACAGTGAAGCAACGCACTGGTTCCCGATGCCTCCATTCGAGTGTAATGGGGAAACCAGCCTCTACCAATCCCATTGTTCAAAATAATTAAAATAGAGTCGAGTAAAAATATACGAAACTGGTTTTTTTTCTAAACAGAAATGTATATAAAATAAATTTTGTTGCCAATTTTAATTATATTGAAAATACAACATAATAATTTGTTGAGTAAAAAGGGTACGCGTCAAGTAAATTAGATTATTATCTTTCTTAATCAAATGTTGTTTTGGCAGTAGTAACGTTTACAAGGCGGACGCGTGACGGTGACTTCACATCAGCCAATGGGCTATCAGATATTTCTATGGAGATCAGTGGTTTATAAACTTGGCAAACTGTATTTTTGCCAACCACGGGTTGCAAAACTATGGAAGGTCCAACACTGCAAAAATGAAGAAGAGTTATTACAGATAACCCAAATATTATTTGATAGTTGGAAATACAACATTGTCAACAAACATACAACATATTTTCTACACCTGCCTTTTGACTATGTTTTGAAGGCGTTATGAGGACGTTTTCTGGTAAAAAATAATGGTCAACCCTGGCTTCGATTTATGCGCTTGCGGCAGTCCATATAAAATGGTGTCAATGTTTACAAACAAAAGAAAGGTCTTATTACTCGCAAATGGCTGATGAAACTCGGTTTGTCTTGGTGTTGTTCCGTATCAACCAAGCGTAGAAAGGTCTATACCCTATGGGATTTACATTTGAACAACATCTGGTACACTGACTTGCTCAGAATGCTTGGCACATTTAACTTTGAATTCTCCAGACCAAAGACACATGATTGGGGGGGGGGGGGGGGCAAGCTCTTGCATAGTTACGTAAGAGACGCTCAGAAAAGTGGAGCTGCTAAGCGAAAAATTGTGCACTTTGTGGTAAAAGCATGAAATTCGGCATTTGGGGTCAAAATGGGCTAAAAATCATTTTAAGATCGGGACCCATCCTGGATCTTGCCCATTTTGGGGGCGGAGCTTGATTTTTCAAAAAAGGGGGTGCAAACAATACAAACTCATGAAAACTGTATTTAACATCAAATTTCCTTGGTTTTTTACGCTTTGAAATAAACTTAAACATGAAATAAGACATTCTAGCATTCTAACACCTGTTAATTTTCCACCCATTTTGTGGGCGTGGTCTAAATGGTAAAAGAGGCGGTATATATTAGCAGTTTGGTTCTAATATGGAAAACATCATCAATGAAAATTGGCATGTCCAATTGAAATGGGCGAACATAATTTTTAGAGGTGAACGCATCTTGGATCTTGCCCATTTGGGGGCGGAGCTTGATTTTTCAAAAAGGGGAGTGCAAAAAAAGAAAACTCAGAAAACTGTATTTTACATTCACTTTGTTTCTCATGCTTTGAAACAAAGTGGATGTAAATTTTAACATTCTAACGTGTTATTTTCACCCTTTTGCGGGCGTGGCCTAAATATGTAAAGAGGCGGTACATTGGAGCAGCTTGATTCAAACGAGGGAAAATCATCATTTTTGCTGGTAAAAACACAACTTTTCCATCGGTTAACTATGTTCACCATACACTATAAAGATAAGTTTAAACGGTTGCAAGACTAATTGTTGCCCTTTAGGGGTGGAGCTACATTTTAAAGTAGGCGGCTATAAAAAAAAATCATATCTAAATTGTTATGATTGTCTACAAGTAACTTACACAGGGTGAGTCAAAAAAAGGAAACCCAAATGGCAGGACAATTTTTTTTAATGAAGTTCTGCATGTAGCACTATCAAAATCATATGAACTTCAAATTTGGTTTGTGTATTTTTCTTGGTAATCCTAAGAAGCCTATTGCATTTGGGGCCGAAAGGTCAAGGGTCAAGGTCACAGTGGCTGAAACAATAGAAATTTTGTCAGCGCGATAACTTGAGAAATACTTTACATATGAACTTCAAATTTGGTTTGTGGATTGTCCTTGGCAATCCTAAGAAGCCTATTGCATTTTGGGCTAAAAGGTCAAGGGTCAAGGTCACAGTGGCTAAAACAACAGAAGTTTTGTCAGCGTGATAACTTGAGATATACTTTACATATGAACTTCAAATTTGGTTTGTAGATTGTCCTTGCAATCCAAAGAAGCCTATTGCATTTGGGGCCAAGAGGTCAAGGGTCAAGGTCACAGTGGCTAAAACAAAAGAAATTTTGTCAGCGCGATAACTTGAGAAATACTTTACATGTGAACTTCAAATTTGGTTTGTAGTGGATCGTTCTTAATCAAGGGTCAAGGTCACAGTGGCTAAACAATAGAAATCTTGTATTTATTCTGAGATCATAGGGATTAGGGATTAATTCATATAAAACCTACACGAACGTGTTTGCTTAATTTTCATGCATACAGATGCTAGTAAATGCTTCAAAATTGGAAGTAAAAGCAAATGCCATGTTTTATTCATACGAACATGGTATCATTTGTACACTATGAACTTTGTTAATATTAATTTTTCGCGATTAACATATAATAAATGCTGTAGCTTTTGCGCAGAATTATTTGCTTTATAATTTCAAGGTTGCCCCAACCCAGCCTTGTGAATGACAAGTGCATATTTGAAATCTGAAGCATTTACTCCTTTATATTCATACGAAACGTACAGATGGGAGTAATGCAAATGCCAGTTTTTATTCATACGAACTACCGTATGGTATTATTTGTACTTTTTCGCGATTAACATTAATAAATGCAGTAATTTTTGCGCAGAATTATGTGCTTTTATATTTTCAAGGTAGCCCCAACCCAACCTTGAAATATGACTAGTAAATATTTAAAATTTGTAGCATTTACTCCTTTTTATTCATAAGAAACGAAGTAAACGCTTATAGTGTAGCAAAAGCTTTAAAAAAGTAATTATTTTCAGAATTTAGCAAATGGTTTTTAGTAAAAGTGTTTGCTTAATTTTCATTCATACAGATGCGAGTAAATGCTTCAAAATGGTAGCAAAAGCAAATGCCATGTTTTATTCATACGAACATGGTATCATTTGTACTTTATGAACTTTAATAAATGCAGTAATTTTTGCGCAGAAGTATTTTACTTTATAATTTCAAGGTTGCCCCAAACCAGCCTTGTAAATGACAAGTGCATATTTAAAATCTGAAGCATTTACTCCTTTATATTCATACGAAACGAAGTAAACGATAAATATTTTTTTTTTCTGGTAATGAAACCAAGGATCCTCAAAAGTGCATGCCCCAGGCACTGTAGCTCGCAAACCCCGAAAAAAAAACGTAGAGAGAAGACAATGAGAAGAAATTACAGTTTTAGAGGTGGGAGGAAAACCCCAAAAGAATAGTCTGGGGAAAACCCACGGAATCAGGTAGGGACTGAAAACCCAATCCACATGTTGACCATGGGTGCCGATGCACAGCGCATTGTGCACGTAAACGGCATTGCGTTCGTCGCGTTTGATGCACTTTTTTTGTATCTGTCCTCCAGCACGTGACCCTCCCCGGTGCCGCTTTCCGTTTCGGTTACGATAGTTTTATTTTCTGCAAACTTATAAACGTGTAAAGCTTTACATTTTGCAGGCCATTTACTCAAGAGCAAATGGTTTTTAGTAAAAGTGTTTGCTTAATTTTCATTCATACAGATGCGAGTAAATGCTTCGAAAGTGGTAGAAAAAGCAAATGCCATGCTTTATTCATATCAATATCATTTGTACTTTATGAACTTTAATAAATGCAGTAGTTTTTGCGCAGAATTATTTTGCTTTATAATTTCAAGGTTGCCCCAACCCAGCCTTGTAAATGACAAGTGCATATTTGAAATCTGAAGCATTTACTCCTTTTTATTCATACGAAACGAAGAAAACGATTATTAGGCCAAAAAAGGCTCTGGTTTCTGGTATGCGCGCGCGTCGCCATAGCCATGCGCGTCGGCAATGTAAGATGATGTCTTTCAATGTAAGATGATGTCTCAAACCACCAAACTCACTGGTTCGACTGGAATCCTGCTGCTGCACAATTTTAACGTGTTATTTCTCATAAAGTTATTTCTCATGTCTAAGTTTATTTCAAGCATGAAGAACAAAGGAAAATGGATGTTAAATACAGTTTTTCTGAGTTTTTTTTTTTTTTGCACTCCCCTTTTTGAAAAATCAAGCTCCGCCCCCCAAAATTGTGCAAGATCCAAGATGTGTTCACCTCTTAAAATTATTTTCAGCCCATTTTAACTGGCCAATTTTCAGGATTTTACTACCAACCCGAATAATGTTTTCCATATTAGAACCAAACTGCTAATGTATACCGCCTTTTTTGTACATTTAGGCCACGCCCACAAAATGGTTGGAAATTAACTGGTGTTCGAATGCTAGAATGTTATATTTTATGTTTAAGTTTATTTCAAGCCATAGAAAAACAAGAAAAATGGATGTTAAATACGATTTTTATGAGTTTGTATTGTTTGCACCCCCTTTTAAAAAAAACTCAAGCTCCGCCCCAAAAATGGGCAAGATCCAGGATGGGTCCCGATCTTAAAATGAACTCTAGCCCATTTGGACCCCACCTGCCAAATTTCATGCTTTTACCACAAAGTGCACGATTTGGGCCAAAAATGGACCTAAGCAGCTCCACTATAAGCCCTAAAAATATACTTCACACACCTCTAAAAAACAACAAAAGCAAAACAAATATCACCCTCACCCCACCTGTTTTCTCACTACATCACTGCACAAGATTTTGTTTTCTGCAAAGAGTCAGACTGTAGGTCTTTCATCAATGCATGTTATACACTGCAAAAAGTGCGATGTTTTAAATCCAACACCTACAATCTAAGCCAAACAAATTCTACCCTCCAACACCTAAAATCTAAGCCCTAAATATATACTTCACACACCTCTAAAAAGAAAAAAGAAAAAAAATGCCAAACAAATATCACCCTCACCCACCTGTTTTCTCACTACTTCACTGCACAAGATTTTGTTTTCTGCGCAGAGTCAGACTTTACGTCTTTCATCAATGCATGTTATACACTGCAAACAAGTGCGATGTTATAAATACCGTGTGGTCGTATGCTGAACAAAATCGTCGTTTGAGATGGATACTTTAAAACTGCACTCTTTTACGGATAGAGATATCACTATGAATACAAAATACTGTTCATAAGAATCATTTCTAATTCAGCACCAATTTAGCAACACAGGAACTAGTATTCGTGTGTCGTTGCATTTTGATCAGCTAAACTAAAACACACCAAATATTGGCGTGATGTTAGCGTTAGTTGAGCGCGAACGGTATAGACTATATAGGTCTATACATATTACGCCACCATGCAAGGAAACAATTAACGTGGAAAGAAATAAGATTTGAAACTTTGCATGCAGGTTTGCGGTAACACCATGTGGGATAATCTAGCTCTTCTGAAATCGAAGTGTGGAAAGATATATCTTTCATGGTGTCCTAACACCGGATTTCCGTCATGTTTTTATCATTTTTTCCCAAAGGAAAATCGGGAAATCTACGGAACTGTACAATTTCAGCCTATATGAAAATTAGGCCTCTTGTAAAAATAGGAGTAGAAAAAAATATACACGTATGGGTAAATAAACCCAATATAAATATGTGGGTACAAAAATAGCAACTAGAGTTGAATGCAATGTGCGTAGAGTAAAGAGCATAGTTAAATACGTAATATTAATTATGTTATTGTACAGTTGTTTTCACGAAGATTATCGTCATACTTTAAATGTCAGATAATCGTCAGCATGGAACGAATCCCTCGAATAAGTAAATGAACTAACAGCATATGGAGCTATCGGTTTTTTCCCAAGCCTGTACGGTCATAGAAATTAAACTTTGTAAAAAAAATTAAAAACAATTGTTTAAAAGCTTTGCATAACGGCAAAGCTTTAAACAAAATTTCAATTTTTTGAAAAATAGTATTTTGTTATAATATTAATTGCCTCCATCCCTTTAAAAAAACCGCGCTATATAAATCTTGAAATTTCACGAACGAAGCTGCTATTAAAAAAACAAAAATAGTAGGCCTAATGTGCAAAGTGGTGTGCTGAGGTTAAATCAGTGCAGAACAGTCAATACACGTGCTATGTCATGTTGATAAGTATTCCTTTTCTTGATGAGTTACTGTCCTTAAAAGGATCCTTGGAGGATGATAGCATGATTGTGTTGCTATGATGATGTATTAATTAATTATTTGTTCTAGAATTGTAGTAATTTAATATTTATTTGGTGGCATTCAAACTGTATTACATTTGTTTTGTTGCTAAAGGAAATAGTGGCTAGTACGATGTCTTAAACATTTTAAACTATGCAAGGGGCGAGCAGTTTAACCCAATTGGGGCGAGCCGTTTAAGTTATGCAAATTAGAATGAACAATCGTTATACTTGGAGAGTGAGAAGACAGAATTTACGGCATGCATCGGGTGTGCCTGGAATGTTCGTCCCCGTATAAAGTGGATCGTCGAACTTTGGGGTGCGCCTTTACCATACCATCGGACGGAGAGGACCGTGAGTTTCACGACTGTGCCTACTGTGCCGGCTGTTGGGGAGTTTTCCCCGGGTCACGCGCCTGAAGACCGAGACCGGGAGTCTGCTGTCTGATGATCTCCCCATGGATGTCGCTCGGCGACTAAACAGCATATTGGAGCTTTAAACTTGGAGTTTGCACCGTTGGGGTGCTGCCTGGTTCGGTTTGGCCACTTCGTCTGACATTGTAGGGGTCCGAGTTACCGGATCCTAAAGTCACTGCACAGGGGTACTGATCCGACGTGCGTGAACTCACGGGCATTCACGTGCTGGCGGTGCTAACTGCCTAGCGGGAAGCCCGGAACCCGAGCAGCCCTCCCCCTCTCGGGCTCTCATCACCGGAGTCACCATGGAACACCAACCAAGACAAGCACTACGAACTTTTTGTGAGTCGTGCTGCTCGGCCCCACCACTCATACACCGGTAATCCATCACTGCAACTTGCTATTTCCTTGTACTGAATTATTGTGTAAAACTGCTTTGTATTGATTTTGCTCAAATAATAATATTAATTGAACGGGTTTGGCTTTGCTTATTCGTGTCCACTTTGTTTTTGGTTCCTTTTCTGGGGAGTAATTTTTGGGGCTGGTTTGGGGATCTTAACAGTGTGCTTATCAGCACAATGACATTGCACCCCAAATGTCTATCCATCTGGATTCCTATCTGTCCATGATAAAGGCCTCATCTTCATTCTTGTTGTTATTGTCCCTTCGGATAAAGTCGCTGTACACCACGCGACGGAACAACACGACATTGACAACGATGAGGGCAAAGTTGCACAGCCGCGTGATGACAGCCAAGATGGCGGCCAAGTCGTAGGTCAGGGTGCAGTAGAACGAGAACACAATGGGGATCAACCGGAAGATGACAAACGTCGCGAGGTTGACGACCTTGACGACGCGGAAGAGGATGGATTGTCTGGGGACTCCATGCATCAGGAGGAGCTGGCGGAGGTGTAAAAAGACGGCGCTGATCTCACATAACAAGGCGACGAGAATCACGCTCATGGCTTGTTTGTAAGCATGCAACATCCCCAACAGAAGCATACCCTATAGAGAAAAGCAAAACAATTATAGTTAAAGGCACATATAGGATCATTTGCTTTGCATGCATTTTGTTGTTTTCACAAAAGCACCCATCAAAATCTAAATAAGAATGTGCCAAACTTAATAACCCGATGAAGTTGCAGCTCAGTGGGTATTACACTTTTGAAAAAAAAAACCATGCACAACCATTTTATAACGTAACACAATTTCGTCTTTCCAAAAATCAGTCAATTGACTGATCGTTGGAGATCACCTACCTTTCTTCTAAATGACAGCAAGCTAGAGAGACTAATTTCACGGGGTGTTTAGTACAATACGATCTTTAATCCAAGTGAGCATTTTTGATAACAATTCGGAAGGTATACTTTTTGGATAAATGCAAATGATCCATATGCCTTTCAGACAAATCATATTAAATCACACGAGGTAAATACATTACGAGAATTGAAAAACAAAACGCATCTTAAAGCTGTACTTTTTGTCCGTCGATCGCTAAAATTGAGTGTTTAAGATTTTGTACCCCGAACTTCAATCGCGCTTAGACTACACGAAAACCGAAACAAAATGAAGTACAGCTGCATGTATATTATGCACTTTTATATGTTCCTCTTTTTTTTTTTTAGCGATCTTTCGAACTACATTTATCGTGGAAAACGCATTTTAGAGCACACATCGGCGCAATGAAGACGACGTCCCTTTTGTAAGATGCATCGGACCTTCACACGAACTGAAGGAGCACGGCTGCATAGTCTCGCCATTTATTTTCCTCATTTTCCATGTTTCTTTCCTTAAAATCAGCCGTTCCTTTCTTTTGTATAACCTAAACTTTGCCAATTGAACAACACCAAAAATAATTCTTTCTACACCAGAACTTAAAACTTGATTTTCTATAAAGAGATCCCCCCCCCCACATGGTGGCTGCATGGAAAATCTGAATGATTCTAGTGAAACGATAGCTGAAATCAAGGAAGTTGAGAATAATGCTATAGAAAAGCAAGTTATTTATTAGTTTTGTATTTAATGTGAAAAGCATGTGAAAGGCATGTGGAAAGCATGGCTGATTCGTTGGATAAATAAAATATGAACCTTATAAAGCAAAACGCAAGCACATCGCGACAACGATTAAGTCCGCCTTCATGTCAGAGTTTTTATTGACTCGGATAACAAAACAGACTGCAATGAATCTACCATTGATTTCCTATACGAGGTCAGAGAACTTGTTGTAGACAAAGTGTGCACCGACGACTGTCCCATGAAAAGGGGGAAAACACGCTGTATGACCGGACGGGTGTTTATAAAAACACGGTCTACACGACTACACGGACATGAACAAGTTATTTTCCTCACCGTAAGATGATGTCCTAAAACCGGCCATATTGCAGAGAACTTGTTGTAGATAACCATATCGTAGAAGTCATACATGTAGTAACCTGCAAGGGTAAATACAGAACTGAGGATGTGAGGATATTGGAACAGTCGTCGGTTGACATTTGCGTAATAAAAGTTCTTTGTGCATGACGCGTCTGCTTCGCTCACGAGTTGCATCACTTGTATTCCATGAGGGTCATCACGCTTGACGAGCACGGCCAGAATATTGCTCATTTTATGTTAATCACTTAATTTGGCTAGCGACTGATGCTAAACAACTATAGGTTTTCCCGGCCACTTTCACCAAGTTTTCATTCAATTTAACGCCTGGCTCATTCGATTCAGATTGAAATTGAAAGATCACGCAGATCGGCATTCGCCAATCAAAAAGAATCATTCAATTTCACTATCCGAGCATTCTATCGCCTTTTAGCTTCCCTCGTCCCTGTCAAAAATGCATTCACATTAAAAGTATCGCGTTGTTCATTCAATTTCGTCTAAACCAGCAGTAAGGGGTTGATCGGGCATTCGTTTTCATTAATGGGCAAACATATTTCACATTTTGTCAAACATCTTTTAAGACTTCATATACGTGTCCAAATTCCTTAGCGTATTAAAATCATATTTGATGTCTTCAATCCGTAGATACCTTTCTTTCTTTATTAAAGGGTATGTGCAATGAATTTTTCTCAGGATTTTTATTTTGTGCTTACTGCCATGTACTGACACATCATAGAATCACCAAAAATTTTTTTATGACAGCCAAATATCCAAAATAGCCACGTAACATTAATCATGCCCGGAATGCCATCATAGGTTTTCTAATGAATATGAAACTTTGCATTAGCATAAAAACAGAGAAGGCACAAACACCCCTCAAAATGGAAAATAAAACTTGCAAATAAGGTTAAATGTGACACAAAGATGTACATGTACATGTATTTTCAAGGTTTGCATTGAAAACTTACTTTGCATAATATGGGCCCTTTGAATACGGTAAGCGTTCGCTCAGACATATACGCAAGAAAACATTTAAGAAATAACGCAAGAGAAGTGTTCCTGATGGTACAACCATTGCCAAACGTACGTGTCCCGATGTCTTGCACGTCAAGAAATTTTCAACGTAAAGATGCCCCTTGCTCAAACGTTTAAACAAGTAGAAAAGATCAACCGTGAAAAAGAAATTATCTTAGTCCCTTTCAGTTAATTATTTCGTTAAGCCCCTGTCACACCTTTGCGTATCCTAATTCCTTATGAGTTCCTTATCAAAAATTTTCAATACGCAGCCGTACGCTCAATTAACGTCGAAATGTTTTGATCACTTTGACTTATGTGCGACGCACATCTAGCGTACAAGTAACGAATTCAGCGCATCCATTGCGTATGAGATGCGTATGAGTTGCGTATGCAGTGCACAACATTATTTTTCGGGCTGCGAATAGGTCAGTATGCAGTGCGCATGCCGAGCGTATTCCGGACGCACCCGACTTATGCCGACCGCATGCTTGACGCACTTCTGAGCGTATTCCCGCCGCATTTCCGCCGCTCGCCGTTCAGCGTGCGTTGCATCTGCGCTGCAAGTACGCTATGTATACGTCCAATACAGGCGGCTCATATGCTGACGGGGTGCGTCACGAACACATAGCGTACTCGTAACGCACTCGACCGATGCGGGACCGATGCGCTGCGTATTTATAACTTATGACCTGCGTAACAGCGTACGCAGCGTATATGCCCAAAACTATCCTGCGTACTTGGCCGTACCATGCGTATATCTGCGTACATAAAACCTACACAAAACGATAGAGATGCATATGAGGTGCGTATTGTGCGTACGACTGCGTATGAAAAAAAATAACAATGCGCAACTCATAAGGAATTAGGATACGCAGAAGTGTGACAGGGCCCTTACATCTTGTTTCCCTCATATCAGTTAATTTGTTACATTGTAAATTTTACAGTCATCAAGGGTTTTTTTTGGAGGGGGGGGGGGATGAACCTCGGAGGACAATGGGAAAATATATCGATTAAAAAAGGTTACTAATTTAAATGACCAAACGATGAAAGCAATTGCCCATAAACGAATAAGAAACAAAAAGCATGGTTATACGTTATAAGCGCACAGATGTTCGCTAATTTGAATGCATCAACCGTCAAAAGGTTGCAAAGACTTAATTTAAGACTGCTACAAGTTAAGTCTTGAATGCGCCAAAACGAAATAGGCTGCCCGAAAATGAAAACGAACATTCAGAGCAAAATCTTGGCTGCCTAAAAATGAAATTGAATGAACCCCAAATGAAAAAGAAACCGCAATTGGACCACATGTGCAAAACTCACGTGAAATTGAATGGCTGATAATGAAACCGATTAGAAAAATTAGGAAAGTCGCCGGGAAAACCTATTAAAGGGAATGTACATCATTGGCTTTTGCTGTAATTTTCAGAAATGAACTATTTGAGAGGTTAGTATAATAGATCAAATATTGTTACACTGACATTTTTGAAGTTTGGTGTTCGAAAAGGTTGGAAAAACCAAGAAAAACAAAAATGTTCAAGTAGTCTGGTTCCCTGACTCCACAAAAGATAAAATGGATCAATTTATAGATGATGGAAAATTGTAAGGCAAGGGAACCAGTCTAGCTGGCCTGCACCCGTTCATGAACATTTAACCAATAGCAAACAAACTTTGGACTGAAAAAAATAGTAAACTTGGAGCAGTAGTTGAAAAATACGCTGGTCGGCCGACCACCGTTGGAAATGTTTTCAAAAATACCATTTTCTTGAAAATGACTTCACACCAGGTGCCATAATTTTACAAGATGCTTGAGACTGTCATTTACCAACATCCTAGTAAGGTATTTCGTAAAAACTGAGTTTTATTTTTCGATGTTTGCAAATGTTGTATATTCCCTTTAATCATCGTGCTCGGTTTTCCATAAAAGAATGACTAGAACTTTGTACATGTAGTAGTCGGACTTTCTTCCACATCGCAAAATGTACAAAATTAATAAAATTCCGGCTTAATGATTTTCCCTTTCCTACGCAAGCTTCTGGCGGTGAAAACATGAAAGAATCTGAAATGATTTAATACATATATTTGAATAACGATCAGGGGCATTTCGATCTTAGATCATTGAAATTTCCGTTTCTCGTGCTATTTTATAGTTTCTTCCCAATTTATACATTCCTTTTGTAAACTGCAATGTTTTAGCAACACAAAAATTACTCACTTTTGAATGAGAGATTGACCGAAAAGAAACCCGTCCAAGTTTAGTTACTGAAATATTACTTTACAATTGCGAAGTATATCTGCCAGACAATGATTCCCGTTCTCGCAGGGTAGGCTGGTTCCCGCCCCACACACTGAAAAATTGCCTGGGTTAATTTAACCCGGCAAGAAAGGGTGAAAACCGCAACTACTCAAAATTGGGTTGTTCTTTACCCAATATTTTTGGGTTATAATTTCTGTTAAATTCAACCAAAACTTGTGGTCATACAAGACCAAATTTAATTTGGTCTTGTATGACCACAAGTTTTGGTTGAATTTAACAGAAATTATAACCCAAACAATTGGTTATAAAACAACCCAAGTTTGGGTAGTTGCAGTTTTCACCCATTCTTGGGTTAAATTAACCCAGGCAATTGTTCAGTGCAATCAGTATCGATAATGTACGGACCGGGAGCCAGTCTACCATTAAAGCAGATCTGTTTGTGCCCAAAACCAAAAACTACTTTTTTCAGTGGTTTACAGACTTCCAAAATTGTGGGAGGGGGGAATAATACAAGTTGAAAGGGTATAGAAAAAGAATTGAATATGTGGAAGAGCACGGGAACCACCTTTAATGATGGCAATATAAATGTGTAGCATGACGCTTTTTTTGTCAACAAAAGCAGACAGACAGCATGGTGTTCATATTGTAACACATGAACGAAACATAACACTCAAAAGTGTCAACCAAACACCACGACGGAATGAAATTATACCACAACAGCGGGGCATTTTATTGCCCCTATTTCCGCTGTATATTGTTTGAAGAACAAAAGATTATCAGTTTCCCAAAATCTTCTCATCTCAAAGGCATAAAGGATCATTTGCTTTTCATGGGTTTTGTTCGTGTCTGATATTTATAATACAACTCAAAATCCAAAGAAGAACGTTCAACATTTAACCTGTTGTAGTTTCAGCTCTGTGGCTGTTAGGCCCTACACTGTCATTTCGGTTGTGTACTATATGAACCTAACAACTAGTTGTGTAAAAATATTGAACAAGTTGTGTAATATTTTACTCAAGTTGTGTAATATTTTACACAAGTTGTGTAAAGAACAGTTTACACAACGGGTTGCTAGGTTCATATAGTACACAACCGTTTGATTTTTACACAACCGAAATAACAGTGTACACTTTTCGAGAAAACAGTAAAAAAACATGCACAACATTTTAGATCGCGGAACACGATTTCGTCGATAGCAGCCCTTATTTCCAAAAATCAGTGAATTGACTGATCTTTGGAAATCACCCACATTTCCTTTCTTGTTTTGCACTAAATGACAGCAAGCCAGACGGAATAATTACTTGGGGAGTTTAGTATTATATTGCGTTTAACCCTTACCTTCCCAAATCCTCCAAAATTCTCTTTGCAAAAATGGAGGATTTTGCAGGATTGAGGTTTTACATGCTAATAATGGCAAAAGTGTGGCTGATTTTGGAGGATGCACTGTGCCAAGGTCTTAGGCCGGACCTGGTGTTGTTTATCTCAGAAATAAATAAATTAAGCTTACATACTTGAAATCCTCCTCATTGCTCAAGGATGTCACTGACTCTGCCTTGCAGGATTGAGGCAGTGGTCACTCCACTCAAGGCCACATTCAAGAAATAACGGACGATTTTTGAGGATTGAGGCTGTATGCAATTTTCACATGGAGGCAGTTGGAGGATTTTGCAGGATTAAGGTTTCAGCCTAGCAAGAATGTCTATAGGGAGTTGGGATTAATCCCAGTAGGTTTTTGATTATAATAATTCGACAGGTTACTTTTGGGATAAATGCAAAATGATATATGTGCCTTTAAGAGGAAAATGACCGATGTCTTTTTTCCACTGGTACTGTTTCTCTATTTTCTTACCGAAAAGAGCAGTATAGGTTATTTCGCCCAGCTGCATGGAGTAATTCGCCATGTCGTCCCATAGCTCGGGGTACCAGTAAAAACTGAATAAAGAAAAGTCAGAACAGAACGAAGAAAAATAAGTATTTGAAGTAAAGGTTTTGTCAGGGCAGCCACATGGAAAATAATGTTAATGCGTTCCTCTGGATTATCCTGCAATGCGATACAATGTACACACGTGTATTTTAAACGTAGTTTGTTTTATAATGTAAAGAATCATTTAATAATATGTTGTTTTTACTGTTTTATTTGATTCCTTTTACACCATGTCTGTTTTAACTTACATGACTAATAAAATAGGAATCTGAATCTGAATTTATTTTTCTATTAATTAAATAAAAAAATGATGCAGGCGCGGATAAACATTTCAATTTGTATAGAAATATATTAAACACAATTACGGCCAAAGACGCAGGTTTGTTTATTGTGTTCTTTCAGCAAAACGAAATCGATTCAAACACATCCCTATGTGAATTGTTTCTTTCATATGCCGTGTCGACCCATGGTCCAACTGTTTGAAAAGACTGTCCTCTTCATTTAGTCTGGTGGCCGACTATGGAGGAATGTGTGGAAATACTATGGAGACACAGTACCCGACTTGCCAGATATTTCTTTTGGCATAGTTGATTGATGCGGTACTAAAAGGATGCTGAACTTGGATTTTCACGTTTCTATCGCACACTTGGACACTCAGGTTGTGCATTTTCAAGGCAGTTTGGTTTTGAGGTCTTATATATATAAATTGTTGGACTCTGAAAATACGGTAAGACACTTGTATTTTCGCATTTTCGTCACAAACCAGTGCCGTTGGTTATCGACGCTATCTTGAATTTGCGGCTACCGAGCACCATCGCTGTCAACTTGGAGGCCCAGCAAGCCTCCGATAGTTACCTTACAGAACCACAAGATTCAACCAACTGTGATTTTATTAATCGACAGATAGAGTGCCACGCAGGAAACCACGTGCTTTCAAGAAAACCAGGCAAACCAATAAAGAACGTGATTGGCTTCGCTTCAGACGCCTAAAGAAAGAGTCACAACAAGCCTACAATCAATACATCACAAACATCGTCTGCTCTGAGCCCCGCGGGAACTGAGCTTGGTGCGTTAGTGAAGGCTTAAAACGATGCGATCAGACTGGAGTAGCTCCTCTGAGGGATGGCAACTTCATACATGCCGACCTGAACACCAAGGCAAAAATTCTGAACAAGCAGTTTTGTTCAGTGTTGACCTGCGAAGGTTCGGCAGACCTACCAGACTTGAGCTCCAGCCCTCACCCTATACCATGGACGATACCGAAGTCAGTGCCCTGGGGTAACCAAGCTTTTGAAGAACCTGAAACCACACAAAGCCGCTGGTCCCGACGGAGTTCCTGCACGCTTGCTGAAGGAAACAGCTGCAGAAATTGCACCGGCCATCACACTCATGTTCCAAGCTCTCTTGGTGTACCCTTGCTCAAGAAAGGCAGCCGGTCACTGGCCTCGGAACTACCGTCCAATATCGCTGACAATCTTGTGTAAGTTATGTGAGCATATACTTCATTGTGCTGTTATTCGCCATCTAACTCAGCATAACACCTTATCCGATGCACAGCACGGCCCCAGGAAGAGGCGATCATGTAACTCAAAGGCAACTGATTGTGACCATCCACGACCTAGCTCAAGGGCTTGACGAGAAAGGGCAGACTGACCTTATCTATATACTGGATTTCTCCAAAGCCTTCGATAATGTCCCCCACGGTCGACTCCTTCAACAGGTTGATCACTACGGCGTCCGAGGTCACTCTCTGCAGTGGATCCAAAATTTTCTCCACAATCGGACACAACAGGTTATTGTTGATGGTAGAGCTAGCAAAGAGGCACCAGTTACATCAGGTGTGCCCCAAGAGAGTGTATTGGATCTGCTTCTCTATTTTGATATACATCGACGACCTACCTTCCTGCATCAAAAGCTCAACAACCCACCTTTCTGCAGATGATTGTGCGCTCTACAGACGTATCTCATCGGGTTTTGACAACATCTTATTGCAAGAGGATCTGGATGCACTGCTGAAGTGGGAACGTACATGGCTGATGGAGTCCAACCAAGTGCCGGGTAGTATATATGCGTTACCAACCAGCGGAAACCAGTCTCATTACCGTATAACATCCGCGGACACATTCTGGAGGAGGTTGACTCTAATACTTGGGTGTGCATCTCGACTCAAAACTCAACTTCAACACTCATGTTGATGCAGCAACAAAGAAGGCTAATTCCACCAGAGCAATTCCTTTGTATTTTTCTACATGAACGAGTTATCAGGCGACTTTTCTTTTTCCGTCTCAATCGAACAAATGTCTGAATGCTTTTGCTTTTGTAGCAATTACAATGCGATATCTGACAACTGGCTCACATCGGACCTTATTTGGCGCCACGAGGGTAGAACATGACGGTAGTGCTCGTAAGATTAGAAGTCAACAGTTGATTACAGCATGGAGGAAGGATAAGCTAGAAGCACAACATGGCACGGTGTTTTAGCGTTAATGGTACAGGCCATATATTCCAAACCAAAATAGAAACATCCAGTGAATCATTCATTGTACATGTATATGTACAGTTGTAGATGGAATTGAGAAGGAAAAAAAACGATCAAGGGGTAACTTTTTTGAGATATTTTCATCTCTTGGTGTAGGCACTGTGTGGACTGTGGACAGATGGCCTAGTTGCACCACTTGCACGTGCCACGTAGAAATGAGTTAACGAGGCCGGCTAGCGCCGTATGCTTACCAACTCAACACAAGAACAGACAGAACGAACGAATTCAGCAACGACGTGGCCGCGTTTCTCCACTTGTGCTTGTCCGTGTTCGAGTACCTCCCACACGGCCCGTACCGCCTGGGCAGACGGTCCAAAGCCCGGTTGAAAGCCTGTAACGTCAGGGCCGAGCCGGCCACGACGGCGGGAGGCAACAGGGCAGACATGTTCGGATGCAGCCACAAAACTCTTAGGATGAGACGACAAGCGTCTTGTTACACCAGTTTCTGGGCCACTCAGTCCATACAGTGTGTCCTTTCTCTATGCTCAGTCGCTAAAGTCTACGCTTGGCTGCCCTCACATATCAAAGTTTTCGTGTGGACTGCTGACCGTCATCCCATGAAATCAAGGACGAATCTTGAAAAATCTGGGACTTCAGTGGGGCTACCGAGTGGCAACTACTATCTCATGATGGTTGTACGTGCATGTACATTACACGTATATTTTTCATACATGTGTATCCAGATATAATGTGTAGGCTCACCCATGCAGTAGTTTGCAGTAGTCAGTCATGCACATCAACTTCCATAAAAGAGTCACGCCCATAAAAGAGTCACGTGGTTAGGTCGCCATAGCAAAGCCGCCGGGTTAGCATTGTCTGGTCACAAAAAGTCAGGTTCTGTATCCGTTTTGGTACGAAATAACTCAACTTGAAACTCAACACAAATGTCACTCATAGTCCAGGTACCGGACTTATGTATAGATGGCGCTACTTAACGCTAGCGGCGACAAGAAGTCTCTATATCTACAGCGATCCTACTACAGTGATTAGGTTTTCCCGGCCAATTTCCTGAAATGTTCATTCACTTCTGAAAATCGGTCATTCATTTTCGTCTGAATTTAAATGCACGTCTCTAATTCCATTTCAATTCAACGAAAGTTCAATCCTTTTCATTGTCCGTGCATTCGGTTTTGAGAAACTGACGGCTAATTACGTTATGTGCATTCATTTACGCAACCTATTCTAAATTGATTTCAGGTATAGCTAATTTGATTGACGGTTAATGAAAAAAAGAAACCCCTAATTGTATCTGTTGCAGATGGCATTAAACTAAAAGTGAAATAGACAGGGGCGGCGGAACCGGGGGGGGGGGGGGGCATTTGCCCCCCAGATTTTCCCAAGTGCCCCTTTTGCGGCCATAATGTGCCCCCTCAAATAGTAAAGTGCCCCCTCAAGATACAACCAAAGTGCCCTTAAAGTATCTTACTATTTCTTAGAAGTAACCATATCCCAATAATGGCATAGATATTTTTGATATAAACGAGGAATATGAAAACCAAGTCCCAAAACCCATTGAATACGGCCTGAAAGTGGCACATAATGCATATTTAGCATATAATCATTGGTTTGGAAGAGCGCCCCCTATGTTGAAGATGGTACCAGACCCCCCTCCCCCACCCCCCTCCCACTTTTAGATTTTACGGAGGCCAAGTGTCCGGTGAAAAAAATGTGTCGACATTTCAGCACGGGTTTGCAAGTGCCCCTTTTTGGTGATGCCCCCCCCCCCCCCCCCCCACAGTTTCAAACCCGTTCCGCCGCCGCTGGAAATAGAATGGCGAATGTTTGAAATTGCCATCTAAAAGCGAAAAGGGAGTCTTGTAAACGAATCTGAATGGACATAAACGAAAGGTGCTGCTCAATCACTTAATTGATTGAACTGAAATGGAATCGAATGCTCTTGTAGCGAAAGCGAAACGCGTGTTCAGAGCGATTCTCAAATTCAGACGAAAATGAATGACTGATTTTCAGAAGTGAATGACAATTTTAGGAAATTGGTCGGGAAAACCTATATTTGAATGTGTGCATCGGTAGGTACGGTGTCCTTGAAATAACAAGAAGGATATATACAACGGTGGTATTAGCCTTGGTCAAGGCGCTAGTTGTTATTCATCCCGGCCGTAGCGCGGTAAACGATATCCTCGCTAGCGCGCGGTATGCATGCGGTGCATTAAAAATACAGTGCGAACAGCGACCTCACGCGGCCACCATTTCTTTGCAAATAAGTTGGACCCAATCTAGCGCCTTGGTTCAATCGTCGGCAAAAGCTTATGTTTTTCTTTATTTTGCGCTGGATTTCTAGCGCAAAGACCTCGTATGCGAATACAGATAAGTGTAGGCGGGGCTAATATGTGGAGTGTCCAATCACACCTTGGTAAATCCGGACGTCATCAAATTATTTGCGGACGTGACAGGAACCACAGTTTTTGTGCATTGGTGCCGTGTGCAGAGACACACAACGTGTACGTGTATGGATTATGTATGGTGCCACGTTTCACTATGCAAGTTTCCACGCAACGATCGACCAATAAGAAAATGACATTTAAGGTCAGTCAGCTACGGCTGTTAACATAATGAGCACCACCCCCAAAACCTCACATGGACGATTGAACCAAGGCGCTAGATTGGGTCCAACTGATTTGCATAAAAATAGTGGCCGCGTGAGGTCGCTGTTCGCGCTGTATTTTTAATGCACTGCATGCATAGACATATGACTGCATGCATAGCGCTAGCGAAGACATCGTTTACCGCGCTACGGCCGGATGAATAACAACTAGCGCCTTGACCAAGGCTACGGTGGTATCGTCTGCCTGAATAGCGTCATTTCCCAAAATAATGGAATGTGTACATGTACTCATTCAAATCTTGCGCGCATCGAGAACGTTTTAAAGGCTCAATACGGTTTTGGGGAGCTTTTTTTGGGAGGATGGGCATCGAATGTGGCGGAATAAGAACTATCAGTTCTGACATCCCTCAATCAGTGGCGGATCCAGGGAGTGCCCGCCCCGGACAGTAACCAAAGTATTTTCAAATAGGGTCATTTTTCACTTGAGACAGCCCCTCTGACCCCCCCGCAGTATCCTCTCTGGATCCGACCTTGCCAATGACGTCATTAAAGTGTTTACAAAAACAAAATAACCATAAGACCTGAATTAAATACAAACTCAAAAACAATTTACAAACAAATGATGTTTCAAGATATATTTTTATATCAAACGTCAGCCATAAGTAAAAAATCAAAGTTTATCAAAAGTACTTTGCAAAAAAGGAAAATACGGCTTCCATTGCACCATCATTGAATATAAAAACTCGTGAAAAAAAAATGTAGGCCTACATGTACTACGGGTGTATGCGTGCTTACCAAACTCATAATGACACCAGGTTTTTTTTTAATTTTACCATTTTATGGGACCCTGGTAAAAAATGAAAAAGAAAGGAGAACCACCAAGCTCCCGAACAGAGTGTGACGTATATGAGTTTTGGCTGTAACGCGTGCCACCATTCCTCATTTGCATCTCATTTACAATAAACTTGAATTTTCAGTACACTGCAGCACATCCGCCCGGCCGCGAATTTCTTTCTCCGAACAACATCCGTTTGGGGTGTACGCTATGACGTTTTGGACTTTACTTGAAAAAAAAATAAAAATTGCAAAAAAGAAATGAATTCGAACGTAATGAAATTCGGACTTTATTTCCCTTTTAAAAAATCCTCCAAAGCATCAGATTAGCAAAAAAAATTCGGGTAAAAATGGTGATTCCTCGCGGTACAAAATCACGATGTTATCCAACTGAGCTATCGAACTGCTCGACAAATCCTGGAAATTTATGGTAATATATACCTGCGTACGTATCATAAAAGTATCGTAAAAGGCGCTCAACAACATGTAATGCGGATGTTGTTTGGGGAAAAAAAATAATTCGCCGCCCGGCCACGGGGGGGGGGGGGGGGGGGGGGGGGGGTGGGGGGGGGGGGTGGGGGGGGGGGAGGAAGAACAAAAACCGTTTCTTATGACAGCAAAGCCTGTATCCGGCGGCAAGAAGCCGTTAAATACTAAAATCCAACACCTAAAATCTAACCCCTATTCATGTACATGTACTTTACACACCTCTAAAAAACAAAAACAAAAAATACCCTCAACCTACCCGTTTTTCTAACCACTTCACTGCACAATATTTTTAGCTACGGCTGAGCAGCTCAACAAATCGTCGTGCATGTCTCTCTGTTAGCTGGTTTGTTGCTAGTTAGTTAGTTAGTTATAGTAAGGCCAAAAAAAAAAAAATATTCGGTCTCTGGTCAGACCGAAGTTCCGGAATTTCTTTTGCTTTTTTTTCTTTCTTCAAGCTTGGATTGTACAGACAAGGTGGGGTACTATTTTGCTTTTTTGGTGACCTCATGTACATTGGTGTCCTCCATAATTTGCCTTGGTGCTTCCTGGCGCCGTTGGAGCTACAGCGGAACATTTTTGGGGAAAAAAGATTGACACGCATGATTAAAATCGACGCGCGCGCTGACCAGAGACCGACTTATTTTTTTTTTGGCCTAACAAACGTCAGCAACAGCCTTGCATGGCTATAAATCACCTTGTCCTCCAGGCCCGGGTATATCATGCATAATACATGCATCGATACTGCTATGAAAAAGTGTCCATGACTTACAAAGCCATTGCATTATCTATCATAAAAAACAAACAAAAAAAACGCCTTTTCGGAAAACTAAAAGGTTTATATTATAAGCCTTGCAAAAAGCGAATCAATTACATTATGCATTGGTCTTTCATCAACTAATGCATGTTGCACTGGTAATGGTAACAATAATTTCATTCGGTGACAGATGCAATGTTCGCCTCGTGGAATTGAATTTTCCACCTGTCACCGAATGAAAAATGTTTTCCATTACACGAATGTGAAACATTCATTATTTGTTTTATACACAATACCTGAATAAATCCTCATCTGCTTGGTCAGAGCCACCAATCGTGTGTCCGCGCTACCGTGTAATAGAATTTCTTTTTTGCACAATAATTTTTTTTTGAATAATTCAATGACATGTGATCAACGTGACATGACATGTGATCAACGACCCACCAATCAGATGACGGGGATTCATTCAGGCATTGTACCGTGTGATTGTATGCCGAACACTAGCTTCCAATCACACAAAGAATCAACTACAAGGTCATCATTCTTATGTTAAAAAGCTTAGTTCTCAACAGAGACGACATCGATCATCAACCTCCTGTTCACTACACTTTGTTGAGCCCAGAACCCATTGTGTCTCTTTTGCTGATAGATCATTTTCTGTATACGGCCCCAGAATCTGGAACAAACTTCCAGAATACATTAGAGATACCACCTTCCTGCATATTCAAGACACTCCTGAAAGCTCACCTGTTTCAGGAGGCGTACCATCAATAATTATTCTTCATTTGGTGCAGCCCCATCAGCGAGGCCCAAAAAAAAAGTCTCCGGTTTTTGGTATGCGCGCGCGTCGCCGTAGCCATGCGCGTCGGCAAAATTAATTTTAAATTTTTTAAATGTAAGATGATGTGTAAAAACCGCCAAACTCACTGGTTTGACTGGAATTCTGCTGCTGCACAATTTTAACGTGTTTTAGATGGGATTACGATCGTTTATAAGCCTAATGTGGCCTCTCTGGGCTCGATATATTTTGCACTAAATTTAATCGGGCACATTTGCAGACGATTTTTATCATTTTGGAATTGTGCGTCTCTGGAAGCCAGACTGAGGGAGCGATGGTCGTTTATCTGGAACCAGTAAACGCTTTTTAATTAGCGAAATATGTTATGGCGCAGACTAATGACCAGCCTGGCAGCGCATGCACAATGTCGATGTCACTATACGGTCTGACATTACCGTTTTCCCTGATTTTTGTCTCGACAATCCAAATTTCCCGAAGAAGATTCGTTGCGGTGGAGATCGTAAGTGGGTGCAGAATTCTATATTGCCTTACTGAGGTCACCTCAAGCTCCACCCTGAAGGATATTTTTGAGAGTTTTAAGGGGATCGAAGCCTGCAACATCAGCCGATATTTGAAGAAGAAAAAAGTAGGGGAAAAAACAAACCGCGTCGCCGCACTACTTTGGGGGCAAGCTCCATACCAAAAACCTAAGACTTTTTGTTTTGGCCTTAGAGCAAACTTTTTGATTTTGGCGCTTTATAAATGTCTTTTGATCGATTGATTGATTGATTGATTGATTGAACAAGTCGTCGTTCGATATGGATACTTTAATGCTGCACTCTTTACGGATAGGGATATCACTTTGAATACAAAATATTGTTCATGAGAATCAGTTATATTCTTCAGCACCAATTAATCAACACATGAACACTGTAGCATTCTTGCGTCGTTGCATTTTGATCAACAGTTTTACACAGCAAATCTTAGAGTGAAGTTCTTTTTTCGGCAACGCGAACGGTTATTATCATAGAGCTATATTAAATATTAATACAGCTCTATGGTTATTATAGAATAGACCTACATCTATATCACGCTCCCATTCGCAAACAAAAAATGTGGAAAGATCCATTTCATGGCGTTTTAACACCGGATTTCCGTCATGTTTTCATCTCTTAAGGAAAATCGGGAAATCTTAGGCACTGTAATTTCAGCCTTTTATGAAAACAAGGCCTCTTGTACATAGGAAGCGTAGCAGCAATATACATGGGCAAATAAGCCAAATATTTAAATATGAGGGTAAAAAAAGCAGTTAGAGTTGAATGCAAGGTGTGCGTAGAATAAAAGAGCATAGTTAAATACGTATTATATTAATAATGCCATTTTTGTTAACATACACGAAGATTATCGTCATGCTTCAAATGTCAGATAATCGTCCGCATGGAACGAATCCTTCGAATAAGCAAATGAACAGCATGGAGCTATCGGTTTTTTTTCCCCCAAAGCCTACGGTCATGGAAATTAAACTTTGTAAAAAAGTGAAATTTTGTTTAAATGTTTTGCATGTCCGCCAGTATTTTGTTATAACATATTAATTGCCTCCCTCCCTTAAAATTAAAAAAAACCTGCTGGAGAAATCTTCAGATTTCACGAACGAAGCTGCTAATCAAAAAAAGTGGTGTGCTGAGGTAAATCAGTGGAGAACAGTCAACAGCAAAACACATGCAATGTCGCGTTGGCTAGTATCCCGTTCTGGGTGAGTTTCTGTGCTCAATAAAAGGATCCTTGCAGGATCGTGTGCATGCTGCTTAAAAGCACCATTTTGGGCTTAACAGTTGCATGACAGTGCTCACAAAAACGTCAATCCATGAAAGCTGGGATCCTATCTGTCCATAATAAAGGCCTCTTCACTCTTGTTGTTATTGTCCCTTCGGATAAAGTCGTTGTAGACAACGCGACGGAACAGCACGATATTGACAGTGACGATGGCCACGTTGCACAGCGGCGTGATGACAGCCAAGATGACGGCCATGTCGAAGACCAGGGTGCAGTAGCCCGAGTACACCATGGGGATCAACCGGAAGATGACAAACGTCGCGAGGTTGACGATCTTGACGACGCGGAAGAGGATGGATTGCCTGGGGACTCCATGCATCAGGAGGAGCTGGCGGAGGTGTAAAAAGACGGCGTTGACCTCACATAATAAGGCGACGAGAATCACGCCCATGCCTTGTTGGTACGCATTCACCAATGCCAACAGAAAAATACCCTAAAGATAAAAGTAAAAGACGGACAGATTATAGTTACATGCATTATATGCATATAGGATCATTTGCATTTCATACAGTTTGTTGTTTCCAATTATAACACCCACAAGAATGTTCAAAAGCTAAATGTTGCAGCTCAGTGGCAATTTCACTGTTCGAGAAAACCGTGACAAATCATGCACAACCTTTTGATCACGAAACACAATTTTGTCTATTATAGGCCCCAACTCTTTATTCCAAAAATCAGTCAATTGACTGATCGCTGAAAATCCGGAGAAACACGTTGATAACCCCCTTCGTTTACATCTGACGCTACAGCCATTCCTTGCCTTGCCTAGCCTGTACGTACAGGGTGAGTGAAAAAAGCGGGACCCAAACCCAAAGAAATATATTTCATATTTATAAATATATATGTAGCACCAAAAATAATTATCACAATTTAATAAACTACTCTTAGATGAACAAAATACTTCATTTGCTCAATCCATTTGCTTTATTTGTCAAAATCATATCACCATTTAAACGAAATGACCCTAAATCTGTTCCGTCCCCGATTTCAAGAACTGTCGTTACCGTCTTCAAACATTACCAGCGATAAAACCTCAGTTTAAAAGTTAAAAATATTCAACAAAGTCGAAACTATGGATTTTGTGTACTACAGTTGTTGAAACAAGTATTCTGTGTCATTTTCTTTGTTGTTCCAATCAGTCAGAACACACGATAAATTGTTTTTCTTTTTGGACGAAACTGATTTTAGGGCCATTTCGTTTAATTGGGGATATATTTTGAAAGGATTGAGCAATTAAAGTATTTTTTCATCTAAAAGTAGTTTACTCAATTGGCTTACCAGTCATAATTATGTTTGGTGCAACATATTATGTTTAAGTATATCTTTGTTTTTGTGCATGTATTTTAATGTTTAGGGTTTTTTTTATACTTAATCATGTTGTGTTTTAATTACAAATGTATTATATTTTTAAAGATCGTATGTTCACATATACAATTCAATTGTTTAACTGCGAGACAGAAAAGACATGTTTTTAATAAACCATTACTGAATTGAATTGAATTGAATATTTTTAAATATGAAATATATTTATTTGGGTTTGGGTTCCATTCTTTTTTGTTTTTTGTTTTTTTTACTCACCCTGTATTTCAAGTACGGTAGTGAATATTAAGCAATCGAATGACGAACCAGAGCTGTAATTGTCGGCCTACCTCCTCATATAATTCATCATGAAGTAAGTTATACAAAGTGGAGGAAATTGCTAAATCGGGTCCCACGAAAATGAAGAGCATACGGTTTTGCATTTGTGCTTTCCAAATGAAACGTGCGACTAGAATCAAGACTAGAGATCTAACGGCACGATTTTATGGACATAACATGGTACCCCGAAATTCTTTCGTACACGAAACTCGCAAATGTTCAAAGTAAAGCTACATGTATCACTGACAAATTGCCTGGGTTAATTTTACCCTGCCTGGGTTAATTTTACCCAAGCAATAGTGAAAACTGCAACTGCCCAACATTGGGCTGTCCTTTACCCAATTATTCGGGTAAGAATTTCTGTTAAATTCAACAAAAACTTATGGTCATACCAGACTAAATTTAATTTGGTCTTGTATGTCCACAAGTTTTGGTTGAATTTAACAGAAATTCTAACCCAAACAATTGGGTAAAGGACAACCCAATTTTGGGTAGTTGCAGTTTTCACCCTTGCTCTGGTAAAATTAACCCAGGCAATATTAACCTTTAGGCGATCTTTCGAACTACATGTATCATGGGAAAGGCATTTTAGAGCCCACTACGGCGCAATGAAGACGATGAGCTTCTTTGTAAGACAGGCTTCATCGGACCTTCACACGGACTGAAGGAGCACGATACCAGTCTTACAGAAATTTGCTCATTTTCCATGCTTCTTTCCTTAAAATTAACAGTTAGTTTCTTTTGTATAACCTAAACTACGCCGATAATATGACCAAAAAAATGATTCTATACCACAAAACTAAGAAAAATGAAATAAAAACTTGATTTTTTTTTATAAAGAGATTCCCACATGGTGGCTGGAAAATCAAAAGCATTCTGAAATGATAAATAAAATCAACGAAGTTGAGAATACTGATTTAGAAAAAGCAAGTTATTTATCATTTGAAAAGCTACTGTGAAAAGCATAGCTGATTCGTGAGATATATGAAATTTGAACCCCATAAAGCAAAAAGTAAGCGCTTAACGACAAAGGTAAGTTTACCCGCCATCTCCATGTCAGACAGAGTTATTATTGACTCGGATAACAAACCAGACTGCAATGAATCGACCATTGATTTCCTATACGACGAGGTCATACAGAATGGGATGACCCCTTTAAGTACGCATCGACGACTGTTCAGTGGTTAATCAAAAAGGGGAAATACCCTATAGGTTGCAGACCAGTAAATATACTGCCATAGACTTCAGTGATAATTACACGCACTTATTAAACAAATCATAAAAAAATACTTAAAACACAGATCAAATTAAAGCTTATTTCATCATTTTTCATTTTCCGTTCAATTTTTTTGGGGATTAGGGCCTAACCCATGACTTTAAGGAGAAAATTACATCCAAAGATGATCACCAGTATACAAGCAGTCCTGAAGCCCATCGCGATTTTGAAAATGGACGCCTACGCTTCATTACAAAATAGAGCCATTTGGGGGCCTAATTTCATCAAAATTTCACAGAAATAAGAGCTCACGGTCATCTGCACGGCTTCCACCCTTCTTTTTTCCCAAATCGTCAAGTTCTCGGCCCTCGAACTGAAATGCTCTTATACCGGAGATCGTGATTTGGCCGGCGTAAGTAATTTTGGGCCTACTTACAGGTCTGCACCCTGTATGACTGGACGGTTGTTTATATATATAAAAAAAAAAACGGACATGAAATAGTTGTTTTCCTCACCGTAAGATGATGTCCTAAAAGCGGCCATATTGCAGAGAACTTGCTGTAGACAACCAGATCGTAGAAGTCATACATGTAGTAACCTGGGGGTGTAATACAGAACTGAGGATGTGAGGATATTGGAACAGTCGTCGGTTAAAGTCTGCGTGTTAAAATATACAGGATTCTTTTGTGCACGACGTCTGCTGCGCTCACGTGTTGCACCACTTCAATTCCTAACGCATGGGTGACATTGAGGGTCACGCTTTATGAGCACGGCAAGAAAATTGCTCATTTGAAATCATGTTAATCACTCGGGCTAGCGACTGATGCAAAAAATATTAATCATCCTGCTCGATTTTCCATATGTCGGTGACTAGTAGTCAGACGTTTGTCCACATCGCAAAATGTGCAAAACTAAAAAAATCCCACTTAACGATTTACCATTTTCAACGCAAGCTTCTGGTGTTAAAAAAAAAATGAACGAAACTAAAATGAATTAATAAATATATTTCAATAACGATCTGTGGTATTTCCATATTAAATCTTTCTGTTTTCGTGTTATTTCCGAGTTTCATCCCAAAAATTGATGCCTTTTCTAAATTGCTTTTTTGTCTAGCAATACAAAAGTTATCCACTTTCGAATGAGACATTGTCAAAAAAAACCTCCACGTCTAGTTATTGAGTTTTTACTTTAAAATCTCGAATTATTGGCTACCAGACAATAATTCCCGTTCTCACGGAGTAGGCTTCATGGCTCCCGCCCCGCAATCAGTATCGATAATGTAAGGACCGGGAGCCAGTCTACTCCTAAACTAAAGCAGATCAAATATATGTTTGTGCCCACAACAAAAAAAGCCACCCTTTTAAAGTGGTTTACAGACTTTCATTTTTTCCCATTTTGTTTTAGGGGGGGGGGGGGTTGGTATAAAACATACAAGTTGACATTTTGTTAACCCTAACTTTCCCAGAGCCCCCACAATCCTCTTTGCCAAGTTGACGATTTTGCAGGATTGAGGCTTCATGGCAAAAATGTGTGGCGCCGATTTTGGAGGATGCACTGTGTCAAGGGGTTAGGCTGGACGTTGTGTTGTTCATGCTCAGCTAGCTGTGCATAGATTATATTTGAAAATCCTCCGCACTGCTCCGTCGTGTCACTTCCACTGCTTCAACAAGTTAACAGTGATTGCAAGAGGATTATGTAAAACAACGCATAGGAACGAAACATAGCAAAAATGTCCACCAAACACCAACAAGACGGAATGAAAACCCCGCATGCAGCAGGGCATTTTTATTGCACCTATTTCCGCTGTATTGTTTAAACAAGAGATTATCAGTTTGACGAAATCTTCACATCTCTTAAAGGTATAGGATATGATCGTTTGCTTTTCATACGTTTTGTTCGTTTCCAATAATTAAAATGCCACTCAAATCCAAAGAGGAAAGCTCAAAATTTAACCCGTTGGTGTTTCAGCTCTACTTTTCGAGAAAACAGTGAAAAACATGCACAACCTTTTGATCACAAGCATTCATGTCTCTCCGTTGGTCCGTAGGTTATAGTTAGTTAGCAACAATTAAACGTTCACATTGTCTATTGCTCCTACATATTTTAACCGATTTCAACAAAAATTTGTCAAAAGTATAAGTAACCCAGCCCCAACATTTTACATGGCCATGGGGGTCAAAGGTCATGTTGGGATCAAAGTCAAAATAATGTCCCATTTCAAATAAGCTCAAATGACAAAAGTAGCGCTGTCAACAACATGTTGGCATTGGTCAAACATTTAAAAATGTCCGTGGTGACCTCTTCGTCTGACCTACAGTTATGGGGTTAAAGGTCAAAATAGGTGAAATTAAAAAAAAATCAAATGACAAAAGCAGCGCTGTCAAGCTGTTGGCCTTCGTCAAACATTAAAACATTGCCGTGATGACCTCTTCATCTGACCTATACAGCTATGGTGTCAAAAGGCTAAATAAGGTGAACACGCATTTAGGCCATCAGCCTCGGTCCAAAATTTTGGCCGCCGGTATCAAATGAGGGGAATAATCGTCATAGCGATTTTTGGCAAGGTATACACCTCTAGAATTAGAAAATATGTGATAACATTGCTGCGGTGGCAGCTTTTTGGGTGTTATCACCCTTTTTTTTCAAAATGGCCATCAAAATGCTTGTTACCACTCTAGGGGCGGTATACCTTGCGCACTCTTCCGAGATCCGATCGAGCTTGCCATATGTAGACGGAATAATTCCAAGGGGTGTTCGGTTCCAGTACTATTTTTAATCCAAGGACGTCTGTGATTATTGTTACTTTTGGGATAAATGCAAATGATCCTATGTGCCTTTAGAGGAGTCGGGTTGGGGCAGTGGTTACTGTCTTCGCCTTCCACCGCTGTGGCCCGAGTTCGATTCAACATGTGGATTGGTTTTCAGTCCCTACCGGATTCCGTGGGTTTACCATTACAAATTCCTCTGGGGTTTTCCTCCCACCTCTAAAACTGTAATTTCTTCTCACTGTCTTCTCTCTCTACATGTTTGTTCAGGCTTTCGAGCTACAGTGCCAGGGGCACTACTGAGGAAACCTTTGTTTCAATACCAGAGATAAATAACAAATAAGAGGAGAATGATCGGTGCCAACAATGTGTCTTTTTATGCTGGTATTGTTTTTCTCCCACCTCTAAGTCTAAACTGCAATTTCTTCTCAATTTTCTTTTCTCTGGTTTCTTCAAGCTTTCGAGCTACAGGGCCTATAGGGCACTATTGAGGAATCCTTGATTTCATTACCAGAAATAAACAAATAACAAATAAGAGGAAAAATTATTGATGCCAAAAATGTGTCTTTTTTTTCGCTGGTATTGTTTCTCCATTAGTGTACGTTTTCTTACCGACAAGAACAGCATATGTTATTTCGCCCAGCTGTGTGCTGTACTTCGCCATGTCGTTCCATAGCCCAGGGTACCAGTAAAAACTGAATAAAAAAAAATAAAAAAAAAAAGAACAAAGACAACACCAAGTATTTGAATGAAAAGGTTTTGGCAGCAGCATGGACATTATATGCTAATGTATTCCTCTAGATTATCCAGCAATGTGGTATACCTTGTACATGTGCATGCGTATATATATATATTTTTTTTGGGTTTTATACCGTTTTTTTAATTAAAAAATGGTGTTTTGGGGGGGAAATATCGGAGGACAAATCAAAATATGGATACAAATAGCAATATTCACCCGCAGCTATCGTTACTTGACTTGTAAACATGCATAGACCATAAGCTTCGTCATTGTGGCGGCCATTTTGAAACTCCAATGAAAACATTTGTTCGACGTGAATCCATATTTTCGTATTTCTCGTGACAAGCACATAAAGTTGTTGAAAAATACGGTTTGTTTTGTTTTGGGCGCAGTCAAACTCGGTGTTAATGCCCTGAACAACACAGATCACATGACTAGCAGATGGTAGAGTCAAGCTGTGAGTGTGATCGTGTGAACAGGCCCAGTTCATATAAAAACAAATCTCTTTCTTTTACAAAAACTAGTAGAGTGCCAGCTGAACATGTACATATTTGCTTAGTTCTTGGCAGCTAATGTTTGTCATTTATGTCTTACGTAACGTTCTGCTTTTTCTTTTCGTATTGAGAATACTGTCATTGATGCCTTACGTAAATTTCTGCCTTTTCTTTTCGTATTGGGAAGTGTTTGCATTGAATTATAAATCAAGACCTATGTGTCTTTGCAAAATTTGGGTATGTGATTAAAATGTGTATGTAAAGCGATGCTGGAATGTTCAAGGAAACATGACATGACGTACTCTTAAGGGAACATCATACTTAACCTCAACCCCCAAAGAGTTCATTTGGAGTAAAGTACCACATACTACGAATTTATGCAGGTAACAAAATATACTAGAAAATACTAGTGCCTAGGCCACTTATGCTGAAGTAGTACAGCCTACTGCAGTTTACTACTTTAGTAGTAGTATTTTGTAGCTTCCGGTGAGGTTAGGGCTAAGAAAATAATATAATTGTGCACTTAATTATAACAAATGAAATACGGTTAATCATCACACGTGTTACACTTCCAACGAAATGCTTCAGACACATACCACAAGATGTGTTAATTTTTTTTAACGATTTCCCGACATTTGAACAATCATAAAACGACATTGAGAGCATTCATCATCCTGTTATAACATGATCCCTTTTTGGCCTTTAGTTAGGGACGAGTTCAACCCGACTGTTCCCGTCATGATTTTGGGGCTACGTGCGAAGTCACATCCGAAGGAACATCACTCGCAACGGACGTTTCCTGTCGATAACAACGTCTTGCTAGTATAACACATTAGCATGTAGGCCTACTTTTCGTGCATCATCTCTTTGCACTGTAAATATAATAGGGTACCAACATTATACCACTGATCAGAACTTTGTCAGTTGGGCGTTATTATTTTGGACAAGATGATGTAATTAAGCAAGGTTTTTGGGTTCAGTGATGTCCTCAATTATTGGATACATCATGCACTTCATATACAACTCAAATTTGGTGCGCCATTTTGTCTATCTAATGATGACTCATATAACTCGTTATGGATGGTATTGAAAAGAAAGGTTCTAAATGATACACCTCGTTAAGCTTAATGGTAATGGTTCGTCAATGTCATTCATGTTTCTCTCATTAATGATCAGCCTGGTACATCATCCACAGAGTTTCAACCTACTCAACATGTTCTTACCGCGAGGTATACATGACCTTGACCCGATTGACCCTAGCCTACCGATCACGCCTACCACATGGGGCCGGGGTATAGTTGCGTGGGGACAGTGGCCTTTTGAATCAACCCTTAATTTGGCGTGACAGGTTCCCATGGCCGCTAATCCCCGAGACCCTCCGCCGAGGTGAGGCTCTATGCAAACGCACCGATTTCCCAAGGTGTTTGTCCTTTCAAGTTTCAGGTCACAAACGCATACTTTTATCATCACTGAGATCATGGAGGTAGAATAACGGATATGTCAAGTGGTCCATTCTACCCATAGGGCAAGGACTTACCAGGGCGAGGTTGACTACCGAAAGTGAAACATGTACAACGAGTTTGAAACATGACTAGTCGTGCGGGTGCATGCAAATGTCACGGCGATATCATGAACATGACAGTCTTGTACCGTAATTGCAAACCATGCCAAAGCACTAGAAGGCAATCGTCCATGTTTAAGGAGGGATCAAGTAGTGAAGTTCATATTGGGAAATCAGTATCATAACATGCAGCGACCTCAGTTTCTCTAAAATAAATCCCCACATCATTCAAGCATTCATTGATTCCCAGCAAAAAAGGCATTTCTTTTTTTTCCCTTTCTACATGTACTTCAAGGAGTAATCATATTCAGACGAGTTTTCTTTTTCTGTCTCAAGCGAACGAATGTCTGAAATCGCATCACTCATCAGAATGAGTCATTCCTGTGCTTTTGTAGCAATAACAAATATAGATATTTGACGATCGACTGGCTTACATTATACATCAGGCCTTATTTGGCGCCACGAGGGTAGAATGAAGAAGGTCGTAAGAAGTAGAGCTATACGTTGTTTTAGCGTCAAATAAAGGGTATAAAGGCCTTTTCATGTTCCAAGCCAAAAATAGGAACATCCTGTGAATCATTTATCGTGTACGTATAGAATTTTTAAAAAGGGGATCAAGGGGTCACTTATTTGAGACATTTCCATCTCTTGAGTCTTGGTCATGTCGGTGTGGGCAAACATCGAGAACACTGTGGACAGACATGACAGAATGACCTATATATAGTCGCGCCACTTGCACGTGCGGCAGAGAAATAAGTTAACGAGGGTTAATGTGCCGTGTGCTTACCAAGTCGTAACGAGAACAGACATGACGAACGAATTCAGCAACGACGTGGCCGCGTTTCTCCACTTGTGCTTGTCCGTGTCCGAGTACTTCCCACACGGCCCGTACCGCCTGGGCAGACGGTCCAACGCCCGGTTGAAAGCCTGGAACGTCAGGGCCGAGCCGGCCACGACGGCGGGAAGCAACAGGGCAGACATGTTCGGATGCAGCCAAAGCTAGGCCGATCTAAGATAGACCGCGACAAGCGTCTTGATACACAAGTTTCTGGGTCACTCAGTCGCTGACGTCCACGCTTGGCTGCCCTCGCATCAAAGTTCACACCATTGATCGTGTGAACTGCAGACCATCATCGCAGGAAATCGAGGACGAATCTTGAAAAATATGGGACTTCAATCCAAGTAGGGCTACCGTGGGCAACTATACGTACATGTATATGGCATTGTCAGTTATGCTCACAACGCACTCACGTGTACATGTACATAAAGCCTACATAATAATACTATATACACGTACATTTGTACATGTACATATTCACGATTTATCAAAAGCTGTACGCTTGTGCACAACGTGTAGGCTGCATGCAGATGGCCTTGGCGCATTTTTCTGAAGTCAGTCATGCACATCAAATTCACACGCCACGCCCATAACAGAGCACGTGGTTAGGTCGCCTACATAGCCAGGCTGACCTTCTGGTCGCCCGTGGTGCTAGTGGATAGAGTGAAGAATGAGTAGACTTGTAACAGCCGCTAATAGTGAATTTGTGAAAATGATGAAAGTAATTCGGTTTTCGATTATGGAATAAGTTCCGTGCGATTTAATTGATTGGTTTATAAACAATGTGTTGTTGTTCAGTTGGCCTGTGTGGTAGTGCAAAGTTCCCCGGGCCGACAAATCACCGTATACTAGTAAATTTGTTTTCGCGCCAAGCATTTTTTTTTTATAACTTTTTTTTTTAGCGTAGGGCTCATGTGACATTTCTTATATTTAGCACAACTATGTAATTAACAAGTGCCTTCAGTCGACAAAGTGACATTTTCGAACGCAGTGTCGAGTGCGAAAGTGCAATTTCTACAGTAGTCGTGCGCAAACAGTTCATAAACAATATACTGCTTAAATTCGGATTGAAGTACATTATGTACCATCGTCAGTATTCCTGTTATTGTCCTTATCTGACTCGAATATTGTCGCTCTTGATTGGAATTAGAATTCCGTAAGTTGAGAAAGTGAACGGCCTGGCCTCTAACCCGAACGCAAGAAAGCCCGCTAACCGGAAGAGGACCATTTTTGTTTCTTCGGCAGAAAACTATTGGACACCATTTTGGGCCAGTTGATCTACTTGTACCAGTTTTCTACATTTTAGTTTCTTCGAAAACTTTGTTGCCCGAGGGGCCCCCACCGTTCTTTGTCAATTACGAACATGCATGGTGATACTACATGCAGTTGACTCGGTTATGCTTGATCGGCATGGGTGTAATATAACGATTTGCAAATGATGCAAGCGGTGAAAAGCTGTCATCTATTTTATACAATGCAAGTGAGTTTTGATACAAATAACCACTTATCAAAAAACAAAACCCAAGAATAGCGAACGCATTTTGGAGCAATGATCAGACGCAAGTACTCATCGGTATATCGAGAATAGTCTTGCCGCCCAAGACGTCAGTGATCAAGAGCGATAGTTGCAATGTTCTGTAGCGCCCTTGCATCTTTACGTTTTCTCACTAACGTCTTGGTCATTTCGTAGCAATGGGGACGTGGCCATTTTATATAAATAGGACCGTCTGTGTCAACTTCGAACAAAACGGCAGTTACCATTTGCCGCAGTGGTCGCGCCCTCGACGCTGCAGCGTCGCGAATGTTTAACCGTCGGGCGGTATTTCTCGATCGCTGATTGGTTCCCTAGGAAAGCCTAGGGAGAAAATAAAGAAAAAATTAAACCGCTGATACGAAATAGCCAAGACGTTAGTGCGAGTAGGCCCGCTGGTCTAATAATGTGCCATTATAGAGGGCGCACTATGCACCGTCCACTATCGACTAGCGTCTTGGGCCAAGACTGTATCGAGAACTGCTTACTGATGATTAGCACACGCAACAACGAAAGTGAAATCACGTCACGCGATTTCCCGTTTCGGTCTGGTTCAACCAGTCGGTATTTTGTGAAGTAAAGAACTTTTGGTATAAGCTTGACGTGTTTTGTTTATCCAAAAAATGCATAATTGTTGAAGTTTGTACATGGGCGAGCGAAATGTCGAATTGGCTTATACGCGTCTGGCGGACACACGAAGCCCCCGGAACCACTGTCCAGGCTATTGTGCAAAGTAAAGCAACTGCCTCACGAGGAACATCTGAGTAATATCACCATATGCGTGATAGAAGTGATAGCGTGCCCGGATTGATCTATAGCTCAGAGACTGAAAAAACAACAACAACAAAGGCTTTTAGATTTACATAGTGTACGGACCTGGAACCATGGACTCGGAAAGTTTTAGCAGGAATGGGTGCTTATTAAAGCGTCATTAAAAATCAATAAATAAATAAATACATTGCTGCAGGATGAAAAGATGCCATGGAATTAAGATTCAAAACATTCTACTGCCAATTTCAAAGTTCAAGTAAAGTGGTGATTTTTCGTCAAGGAAGCCTAATGAGAACCTCGAAAAACGGGGCCGGAGTCTGACTCAAGGGGATATTATGCACATAATTATGAACGTTTCCTTCAGCCTCCTATCTCATGGTATAGTGGTGGCTATAATTATATTGAGTCTCAAAAAACAAGGCCTGAAATAAAGGCAGGTGATACTTTCCATAAACTCTCTTGATCAGTAATCGTCAAAGACACGTGCAGATTTATCGTAAAATCAGAAAGTATTTTCAATCTTTTCTTTGTGTTGTGGGCCTACTGACCATGCTGACAAAAGGAATATTCTTAATTAACATATTCTAATCAACTTTGCGCGACTTCTCTCATAGCAGATTATTTGTGGTAAAGAGCTTGATTCAGATCAGACCCCCCCCCCCCCGACATGTTTATATTACATTCCCTATGTGGACATTCCGTTTTGCACAGTTAAGGTAAACCGGAGGGGAAAAAAATACTCACACTGTGAAAACTCTCTCAACCCAAATATTTTATCCTGATTTCCTTGCGTGTTCCTCTTCATTTTGCGACCAATGACCCTAACCCCAAAATGCCTCTAAACCTGTTTTCCAGAGAGGGCGAAACCTTATGTGGACCTGGCTTACTTAATTCCTTCCTCCATGCTCCACATAACGTTCACACAACCTGCGTTATGTGGACCTGTTTTATTGTCAGGTCCACAATAAAGATGGTAAGGTTGGCACACACACCCGGTACCCATCTATGTAAACACCGGCAATCGTGGACCCCCCATTGTCCCTAATCCTCAGTCCTTAATTTGTGTGTACTGTAACTTTTTAGCAACAGCTCTCATTGGTGTTTTACATACGCTATGCGGACATTCCTTTGTTTTCCTTTGTCAACAACACAACCTGCATTATGTGGACATCTTTTGTTCACAAGTCCACATAGCTACTATAAGACAAACTCACACGTTTGTTTTATAAGGTGTAAATCGGTGCTTCCTAATGTTACTTATCATCGATCTTTTGTTCATGCTTAAACTTTTGTGCAACAGCATTGGTTTTGTTCACGTTTTCTAATCGAGGACGTCCTCGATTTGACTCTTGTCCTCAATTACGCAATGATGTTTCACGTACATGTGTGTCCTGGATTTATAAACCCACACACACATAGACATGTTTGTTTTACATTTTTTCCCCCTGTAGTTAAGAAAACTCGGTGCACAAAATAATTAACTTTACTTAAACTGTGAAAAGTCTTTCAACCCCAATTTTTTTGCTTTATTTCCTTGAATGTTTCTCTTCATTCTGCGATGGATAACCCTAACCCGAAAATGCCTCTAAATCTGTTTTGCAGAGAAGGCAAAACGTTATGTGGACACGGCTTAGTCCACATAACGTCAACACAACCTGCATTATGTGGACACTGGACACTGATCTTTGTTCACGGCATGTCCACATATTGACTGTAAGACAAACTCATACACTTCTCACCGCATTTTAATAAATACTCCCCCCCCCCCCCCCCTTAAAATCTCCCAAACACACGCAAACATGTATGATCAAAGATCTGAACGAACGCATAGCAATCAACAAACGAAATCAAAAGTTTGCTTCGACTCCACTTACTCAATTTTGCAGAAAAAACACTAATGTCATCTAAAGGACACTGTACACGTGCCGAAAGAAAGGACGGCTGATTTGCGGCTAGGCCCTCAAAACTTCACACTTGGCATGCTTGGGAATCGATCCCGGATCTCGGAACTCACGGAAGTAAAATCCGCTACGCATGAAGGATGACAGTGCACCCTGTTCTCGACCTCTTTACGTAAATCGTCCTTGAAACTGCCTAGATTTATCCCCTGAGTGACAATGAAGTGTACTTCTTAAAGCTCACAAAGTTCAGTAAGCTGGTAGACCTAGCTGAATATGGCGATGATATCTGAGAAAACTAAGTTGAAAGAGTCGGATGATCGCGTTCGGCATTGGAAGCGATGGGGACCGTACCTGTCTGAGCGGCAGTGGGGGACAGTCAGGGAGGATTACTCGGCCGATGGGAGCTGGTTCGTATGGTGGCATCGTAAAACAAAAAAAACAATATTATTTTTAAGACGTTTTAAGTGGGATCAGACATCGATACAGTAATTTTGCCCGCCCTGGCACAAAAAGCTGCTACGCTACTGACGGCAGGGATAGCATAGTGTTAGCCCCACTAGTGTGGCCGTCGGTATGCTGCGCAGAGGTTCAGCGCAGCATACCGACGGCCACACTAGTGGGGCTAGCATAGTGTAAGGAAAAGTTGTATTTAAGGCAATCAATATCGGAACTGTTTTCTCGCTTGATATTCACTATAGAACTGAGATACTAAGGGGATATGTCCCCACCTAATAACGTAGCCCCACTAGTGTGGCCGTCGGTATGCTGCGCTGAACCCAGCGCAGCATACCGACGGCCACACTAGTGGGGCTACTAATAACCATGAAAAATTGAATTATTTATCTCTAGATGTCTGGGTATCCTGTACTTTTCAGGCCAAATTTACAGTTAAACTCTTCCTAGATAAACAGTGCTTTACAAAGTTAACTAGAAAGCACTCAGACAGCACACACCACAATTTTCTGTCATATTGTCAGTACACCCAGAAGAAATACTTGCATCCACTGGGCTTCCATATTGTAAACTATAACTGAAAAATTACATCATTTTTTAAAAATAATTCGTTTACACTGTAGCGACTGCCCCTTTAACTTTAACTGTGTGTAAGCATATGTGGCATTATACTTGACCGTGTGTACCCCATTCCCCCATACCATCAAATGGTCCAGTCCATTGACCTGTTGGTTTCAGTGTTGTGTGCGCTATACGCTCATATACTGCACGCTGCGTTACCCACACACAGACACAGTGGCAATCTTTTCTGCTCGAACTGTGGTGAAGAATCCTTAAAAAAAATCCTAGATCCACATCCAGATCCGGATCACTTCCAAAATCTAATCCATTTGTGCTTGTACCAAGGGCCACCCCTAACATTTTTTTTTATAGTTTATAACTTTTTTAGTTATCATGTTCAAAGACCAACCAACCAACACACAAACCATTGCCGGTGAAAACAACCTCCTTCGTGGAGTTAATAAACGCTATGTCAATAAAATGGGAAACACAATATTGAAAAATAACCTACTTTAAACTAAACCAAATTTTTCAACTTTCTGTCTGTATTTCGACTCATTTCTCACCCATTATAAACTTGCGGTTTCCATGGTCTTCACGGTCGAGGAATCTGGCAACAGGAGTTGAAAAATAGACCCTTTGCATTCATCAGCAGCCATCTTTGAGGTTTTTCCATTATTTGAGTAATAATGGATGGAATGTATATCCTTATGGAACAAAAGCCCACACACACACACACACACACACCTCAAAGTTGGCTGCTATGCAAAGGATTTCCCAATCTCAGTTGCAGTCCCTCGCCCACAGAACAGTCTGTTAGTGTTAAGAATACAACATGAGCATAGGTTCTTTTTAACATCTAAAACCAAACATCTCTTGCAGTTGGGAATATTTCCCACATGACCACGCCCGTTCCCGGGCCTACCGCTGGGGAGAGGATGGGCTTCTTGGAATCTCAGATCGTCAGTGTCGCCTCTGCTTCGGATTGGCTCTCTGGAACGGCAAAGATCCCATCTTGAAGGAACGACTGTATGGTTTGACAGGTATAGATGAACCCAGGCGCATGATTACTGAACGCACATGATGCTTCCTTCAGTGGAGAAACCCTTGTGCACGCTATACATGTAGGTCTCTCTCAAATGACGTCATATCCTACAGATCAGCCACGTGTATCAGCATTTTGAACGTCAACTTGCATAATGCACATCGGCTGCGTTGTATTTGAACACATTTCGAGCAACAAGGCGCGCTTGTCAAGCACACGTGTTTGGAACATTTTCAACACTGCGCAATGCGTGCTTGATTGTGTAAAATACGCAGTTGCAGTTCTCCTACAGAGATGGCCTTCTTTGAGAGAGAGACCTATTGTACAAAATAACTGCCTCATGACAGATTGTCTGAACAGAAGCTAGCACGATGCTTTCGCCATTAAAGGGGGCCCTTGTGTTAGAATTTATAGCATGCCCAGATTGGTCCATGGATGATTGTGTATAGGAAGTCCTGTCAGATGTCATCATTCACAAGTTGGTCACAAGTCAAATCACAAGTCGAGCGCAAATTTGTGGCAAGTTACGTATCGAATGGTGGCTCTCCCTCCCCCCCCCCCCATTTTTTGCCCAATTTTTATTTTGGTTTTTTTAATTTAAAGGAACTGAAAGCGCAAACTCTCAGCCGCTACTAGTAGTATTAACCCTAACAGTCTTGAATCCTCCAATTGTGATTTTTCACACATGTATCCAAGGGAGTTAGGGTTTGTACTCTTTCTTAATGACGATGCTCAAATAGTACCGAACATTGCATGATAGTGTCCAAAACTGTGCCAGGACAAAGTGTTGCAATCTGATGCCACTTTTTCTTCATATATTATCTCAATGAAGGTCAGTCATTTCAAAAAGGATGATAAGACATGAATCTGGGACTGAGAAACATTTCCAATTTTGTTAGGAAATACACATTTTCTTGACTCTCCATAGACTTTGTACACAACCGCTGCAACATTTTTTTCCTGTGCCATTTGAACAGCACCCCAATAATCAGATGGTGTCCATCTCCCTTTTAATTTTCCAGTAGTCAAGTGACCAGATCAAATTCCTGGCTACCTTTTTTGTCAAAAAAAGTCCTATAATCCCTCCCTCCCCCACCCCCCGGACCAAAATCTTGATACACTACTGTTCTAAATCGTAAGAAGTTTGTCATCAACTTTTTTATTCGTGCCCAGGTCCGCAGGGCAATCATGGCGAAGACTGCAAGGAGAATTACTACTACCTTGATTCCTCCCCGACCCACTCCTACATGAAGGCGTTGTACAAGTACCCGCAGGCTGAGTACCCCTACGCCAGGCTGGAGAGAGAAGGGAGGGAACGCAGTGTCCATGATCTAGAGTTTGAGCTGGAAGACTCCGGTATGCATGTGCATCGCGAGGGGTGGGGCAATGAGGGGGGCACTTTCTCCTCCCCCCTGGAAAAGCAAAAAAAACAAGGGATCAAAAGAAAGAAAAAGAGGCGCGAAGTCATACTACTGTTAATTTAATGGGTTGATTGGGGAGGGGGGGGGGGGAAGTCCCTGCCCACCCTCGAAAAATGATAAATCAAGAATATGCTGGAAAAGTACTGGGATTTCACGGAGAAAATATGCTCTGCCCTCTTTAAAAAAATCCTAGAAAAAATCCTATTATAGGTGGACTAGTTTTCTCAAATTGCAACTTTTTTTGTTGAACACCAGAATCCTATTTTTTTCTAATAAATGCAACTTATCATCGAAAAAGTTACCAAAAAGTCAGGCAGCTGTGTTATTAGGCAGGCAGATGCAGGTAGAATAGCTATGCAGCAAATTTCTTTAAAAATTTTGCAGGGAATTGAGGGGGAATTGATAATGGTTATTTTCTTTAAAATATTTGGGTTACTGATTTAACGTGCTTATCCGTGTCTGAAATTCTAAATGTACGACAGGTGCTTTTGCCGAGGGTCGGTACTGGGACGTCTTTGCCGAGTATGCCAAGAACACGCCCAACGACGTCTTGTGCCGCATCACCGTGGCCAACCGCGGCCCGGAGACAGCGACCATTCACGTGCTGCCGCAGTTCTGGTTCCGCAACACGTGGATATGGGGCTGTGATCACGAGGGGTGTGGGATGAAACCGAGGATGTCCCTGGGCAAAGATGGCAAGATAGCGCTCACCCACGATACCTTAGGTACGTAGCATTGGTGTTATCAATCCATTTCAGTAGTCCGAACATTCAACATCGAAATATGTGTGAGCACAGTAGGAATTCAGTCTGAGAGACTGGTTATAGAGGGCTGAGCATCTAGTTACAGAGGGCTAAGCAGCGGATCAACCCCCCTCCCCCAATTTTTTTTTCAAGAAATATATTAATCAATTGTGTATCTCCCTCGCAAGCCATGAGTGTGAGCACAGTAGGAATTCAGTCTGAAAAGACTGGTGACAGAGGGCTTAGCATCTAGTTACAGAGGGCTGAGCAGCGGATCTAGCCCCCCCCCCCCCACCAATTTTTTTTTTTTTCAAGAAATAAATGAACAAATTATGTATCTCCCGGCCTCGTAAGCCATCAGCTACACGTACCTTTTAGTTTTTATGTTACAATGTGGAAATTGCGCACGATAAAATCCCCCTCCCCTTTTTGAGAAAAAAAATACTTGAGTCCTCTTGACGCCCCTCCCCCCGAAAAAAACACCCCCAAATTGGTTCTGGATCCTCCATTGGTTAGGCTTGTGATGATGGATAGGATTCGGTAGTTGGACAAAAAGCCATACTGAAAATGTTAGCTGTGTGTTCAAACACTCACATTCCTTTCTATTTTAACCATTAGCACCTGTAGTACATTGTATTACATTGTATTACATTTTATTACATTGTGTTTATTCACTGGAGAATCAATACAGCCATATAGTGCTCTGGGGGTTTTGGGTACTACAGCATGTACAGGGAGTAACGGGCAGGGCAGTTGTGGGCACTACAGTGACTTAAGACTAGTGTTAAGTAGTCGGTACAGCCCTAGGCTTGATTCCAGCTGTGTAACATTGTATGCCACCCAGGAAAAGACAATGACTACAGCATAACTACTCGGAGGTCTAGAGAAGGCGTGATTGAACCATTCAAAGCAGAGTTGATGTTCTTATATCACAGTGTAAAAACAATTCTTTTAGAACATTTTTCACAACATTTTCCCTAAATCTCAAGGTATTTTGGTGAGGAAGTGCCTAAAACCTTCCCCTTTGCATGTTAGCAAAGGTACATATTGTTCAAGGGGCATTAGCCCTAACCCCCTTGGCCATTTTGCTAGGATGCATCCTCAATCAGGCAAAATCCTCCAACTGCCTCCATTCAAAACTTGGATAATTCGTCAATCCACTAAAATCATGTGGCATCTGGAGTATTTTTAGTGGAGGGGTGACCACTGCCTCGATCCTTAAAAACAAATCACTTGACTCACTAAGAACAGGTTCAGAAGCAGTGAAGACACTCTCCAGTATACTGTAGGCCTCATTTATGCATGGCTAAACATAAAACTATATCATCTCAAAGTTAAATTTCAGTAACATCAACATTCCCTGTCCACTTCTCTTTTAAATCAATGCAGATAACATAACAATTGTGTACGACACGGCACCAGACGGCACCAAGGCACCGTTACTCTTCACGGAGAACGAGACGAACATGCGCAAACTCTTCGACACAGACAACTACACAAAATTTGTCCGGGACGCTTTCCACCGCTACATCATTGATGGTAAGCAAACTATCATAACGTAACAATTTGATATGTATTTATTAATGAAATTAAGTTTTTATCAGCTCACAAAAGCATTATATTGAGGACAAGTTAGACAGTTGTGTTTTGTCTGTTGGGGCCCCCAATATTTACTAGCTAGGCGCTCGCTGTGTATCGTCATGACATTAATTCCTGGTCTTAAGACTTGACTAACATGAATTCAGACGGTTATTCATTTATGCGCCCAGCGAGATGTGCATTACGTTCCCATAGAGAGGGCCAATGATAGCCCACCCATAGTTTAAAGGAACTTCATTGGCTTCCAGTTAATCAGAGGATTTTGTATCAGACTGTGCACGTTTGTGTCTTCGGTCTGCTGATCAAGACTTACTTATTGAATCACTGGTGCGTACTTCATGCGGATTGAATAGAATTATATGCACTCTGGGACCGGCGTTCCTAGGGAAAATTAAATATCACTAATTTTAAAAATGAAATATCCTCATCCGTTTTCCAGAGGAGAAGGACGCGATCGATGGTCGATGCCGGGGTACAAAATGCGCCTCTCACTACATCCTGGAAGTGCCCCCTGGGGAGGAAGCCGTCGTCCGCGCCCGATTCTTCTTCAAAGGAGAAGACCCGGGGACGTACTTTGGGAAGGAGGCATTCGAGGACGTCTTCGCAACCCGCAAGGCAGAGACAGACGAATTTTATGCCACGGTGAGTAGTAGCCAACCAAAACCCAACCCATATATTAAAGATATAGTCCATCATTTGTAATTTGTGCATTTTGTTCGTCTGAAGCAACAAAAGTGCTCAAAATCTAAAGAAGGGTACTGAACAACTGACCTGATGAAGTTTCAGCTCAGCTTCAGCTGTATATTCCGAGAAAAACAGCATTCTAGGATCTCAATTTCAAATCAAAAGTTGCTGAATCATGTTTTGAATTGGGCCTGAATTCAACGTCCGAGACACGTTTTCACTGAGCCGATTGCAGCTACGCCATGTCGCGCAATGATATATGGATCCGACGAATTATAGCAACTGCATGTGCGTCGTGCCAATGCTTGCGCGCTTCGCCGAATAACAAAATGAACTACTAATTTAAATTTCCTACGGTGCGTCTTAAGAAGCACCATTGGAAAAGCCTTCTTTCGTTGATTACTTCAAAATGACAGCCTACCAGAAAGAATCATTCCACAGGGAGTTTAGTCCCCTTACTATCTTTCAACCAAGCATGTTTTTCAACAATTATTACAGCAGTTACTTTTTGGATAGCTGTAAATGATGGACTATATCTTTAATCCTTCAGATTAATAGTTCAGATTGTACACAGTCAGTGACTCATCATTTTTGTTGGATAGATATGAAGCACTTAAAAGACTAAGGTAAACATTTGCAATCTGGGTATTCAGTGGTTGCTATGAAATCATATGCAATTTTTTTTTTACATTTAGTTAATTGTTAAAACTATTCAACCTTTAAAGCTGCTGACATGACTGCTCAATTGCTTGATCAATGACAATGATGTATAAAACATAACTTCGGGGAAACTCTTGAACTCTTCAAATGACTGAATGCATTGCTGTACTTCCATTGCATTATTTAAAAAAAACATTGCACTATGACTTGCAGTCCTATGCATAGACCTTATGCATTAAGGCGGAGTTAGAGGGCAAAGGTTTTGTATCTCTAGGATAGGCATGAGTCAACCATTCTTGAATTCTCTTTCCCCGTCCCGACCAGCTGTTTTGCTTCCTGTTTCCTCGTAGTATTTATTTAGTCTCATTATTATGTAAATCTTTGACCCCTGTTGTCTGAATGTTTGTCAGTCCGTTCTTGGTTATTGTTTGCGTTTCAGGTGTATTTGTCTATAGTTTGTCTGTTTTTTTTTATTCAATGCGTTGATATCCCTTTTTACAATTTTGCATTTAAGTACAGCCATGCCCTTATAAGCTTCAACATTTTCAAATCCTGCCTCCATCTTAATATAACTACTTATTGTTCTCATGATGCTTTTACTTTGCTTTTGATGGAACTAAATGTTATTGAAATTGAATTGAATTGAAACATATTAAAATAAAGAATACCCGCTTAAACAGTGGCAGGGCGTTTGGTGAATGGGCTCGCAAGTCATATTTTAGTGTCAACAATGTAACTTACAAATGTAACTTACCTTCATAAAAAGCCTTCAGTACATGTAGCTCATATGAATCACGAACTCTCATTTCTTGCCTATGTAAACAAAATGTGTACTGTAAGAACAGCACCTAATTCATAGTGATTCATCCCTTAATCTAAGCGGATGAAATTTCCAAGAAAAAGTTATCAATATTGTCCCATTTCAGTCTTTTAGATCACTGCAAATCGCCCTTGTTTCTTTGCAATCTGCTTTGAACATCGAAATCTCTTCATCCCTTGCATCTAGGCGTGCTCTATTCAGAAACAGAGAAAAAAAATGGTTGACCCGTTTAGCTTCATGACTGACATTATAATCCTCTCAATCCAGGGAGATCATTGAGCTGGTTTATGTGTAATCCACATAATCCATTTGCTTTAAACCATCTACTACTAGATATATTGCTCAGCTTAAAACCGTGTTGAAGCCAGTAACATTATTAGAATCAGGTAGAATATGTTTTTAGCCCCATTCCACTTGGGTCCTTATATCCAGAAATACAATCAATTAAGTGAAAGGGTGTAAATGTTACTTGGGCCACTCTCGCCTGTGACGTCACCAACTTCAATGCCTATTCAATGCTTGACCCAGATTCAGCATGTCCAGGTGAGAGTGGGCCAAGTAAAATTTACACCCTTTCACTTAATTGATTGTATTTCTGGATCTACGGACCCAAATGGAATGGGGTCAAAAGGAGTGGATTGAGAAATAGTCAGGCCTTAATGTAATATATGATTTTATTGAAGAAAAAAACATTCAACAGTTTTAATTATTTTTTTTCAGAATGTTGCATTTTTTTTGGCACACTCCGTATACAAATGTTTCTGTATAATAATCCCTACGCTTTCTCTAAAATCTCCAAGTGCGTTGCGATTATTAGCCCTGTCCACCATGCCACGAGACTAGTCTAAAAGTATACAACTGCAACAGGATGTTTGGCGATTGTGTCAGTATTATCCAGGCATGCAACTTTTCCTCGGATCCGCTGATTTCCTCGTTTTTAACTTCTCGCGAATGCCATTACAAATTGAAAAACACTGTGCAAAGTCTTGTGTGGTTTGGAACTTCCTTGTTTCTTTCTAAATTCTCTGTTGCATGCCTGATTATCAAATGTTAAAGGGAATATACATTATTTGCTTTTGCTGTAATTTACAGAAATGGATGGAATTGGGGGTTGGAAATATATAGCAAATATAGTTACACTGACTTTTTTGAGGTTTTGGGTTCGAAAATGCTATAAAAACCAAGAAAAACCATCATTTTCCTGTAGTCTGGTTCCCTGACTCCATATAAGAAGAAACAGAGCAGTTTACATACATTGGGGAATTGTAAGGTCAGGGAACCAGTCTAGCTGGCTTGTACCCGTTCATAGGTGTGTTATCGATTGCAAACAAGTGCGATGGTCAATTGGGGCCAGTATTTGAAAAAAAAGCCAGTTTTTTCCAACGCTGATCGGCCGATCAGCGTTGGAAATTGATACAAAAATAACACTTTTCTTGAAAATGACAGTATACCAGGTGCCATGATTTTACAGGATGCTTTACACTGTCATTCACTAACCGTCCAGCAAGGTATTTCAAAATGATTTGGTAGTTTTATTTTTTGATGTTTGCAAATGTTGTATTTTCCCTTTAATCCTAAAGCCCCCATTAATCCCGTTTAATCCCCCTCAGATTATCCCCGCTGCCAGTGAGTCCGAGGAGTACCGAGTTGCTCGGCAGGCCTACGCCAGTCTGCTATGGAGCAAGCAGTTCTATCACTACATCGTCAAGAGCTGGTTGAAGGGCGATCGGGAGACCCCTAGGCCACCAGAGAGCCGAGAGAATGGTCGGAATGTGGACTGGAAACACCTGTACAACATGGATATCATCTCCATGCCGGACAAGTGGGAGTACCCATGGGTAAGTTTCTTGCATCCTCTTAAAAAAGTTTTCTGATAATTTTGAAAATTTTCAAATGAACCACGATTGATCAAACGCTCAATTATACTGCACATGACCAACTCTTGTCAAGTCTCAAAAAATGATTTTGGACTAATATTTGTTCGATTTATTTACTGTAGCTTATTGTTTCTGGAGGCACAATTTCCACAACGGCTTCTGAGACCGTAATTGTTTTAGGGCTTGCATTTGCTTAAAGCCACGCAGGAGCATTTGCAATTACCCGGAAAAATATCTGTACTTACAGAAAGCTTGCTGAAAGTGAAGATAGGACTGGTATCAAACGCCCTGTGAAATTATTCTGCCTGAAATGGTATCGTCCGGAAGAAAACAAACATTGAAGATGGTTTACAAAAATACGGTGCCTGGGGGCACACTTTTAACATGCATATGCAGGGTTCGACCTTAACTTTTTTTTCACTAGCTAGCCGGGCTACTGAAACAGACTCTTAACTAGCCCGCAGGCATTTTCACTAGCCCGCATGTTTGTCTTTTATAGAGTGTCTTAATAATGTGCATACATGTAAAACGTGTATCGTGAGGCAATCTTGTCAGTGTTTTTATAAACAGATCAAGTAATTTAACCCTAAAAAGGTAATAAAATTAGACACAAATTGATACAGGTTTGCTTTCTGAATTTAATGATTTATTTCTTCCTGTCCTTTCATCTTTGCCGTATCCCAATAATTTTGGACTCGCCAGCCAGGCTACTTAAGGAATAGTTTGACTAGCCCACCGCTGTTTTGACTAGCATTTGACTAGCGGGCTACTGCTAAAGTCGAACCCTGGCATAAGCAACGGAATCCAGTCACAAGACCAAAAAAAACTGTGCATTGTTTTCCCTGTTTTTTAAAAAATGTAGTAGCTATTTCAACAGGTTAGTTGTTCCCGCACCCTACTTAAGATTTTGAGCATTTTTTGTTGCTTCGAACAAAAATTTGTAAAAAAGCAAATGATATACCTTGATCCATGAAATTACCCCCTCGACATCTTCAACGAGAGTTATAACATTATCCTTTGTAATTAAACACATGTTTGTGGTTGTTGTGTTACAGTATGCGTCGTGGGATTTGGCATTCCACATGATACCATTCGCCAAGCTCGACCCAACCTTTGCCAAGGACCAACTCCTGCTGTTTCTACGTGAGTGGTACATGGCCCCAAATGGACAAGTAAGTGCATATGCCATTTCTCTTTTTTCTGTAAATCTCTTTTTTTTAATTGAATTTACGAAAAGCATTTTCAACATACAATTTAAGACTTTGCATGGTGGAGAGTTCACCTTGGGAATGGGAGATGCAGTACATGAAGTGACTATTGACTAGTATACAAAATTTGTTTGTGATTTTTCAGATCCCCGCCTACGAGTTTGCCTTTGGCGATGTCAACCCACCTGTCCATGCCTGGGCAGTGTTCAGGGTCTTCAAGGCCGTGGCTCCTAGAGGATCTAGGGACAGGGGGTTCCTGGCTAGGGCCTTCCAGAAACTCCTGCTCAACTTCACATGGTAGGCGGTCTAAGACCTTAACAGGATTGATTTGAGCTATTACAACTGTTACTTTAAAGAGGTTGTGGAATGCTCGAAGACATTTCCGTCATTTTTTGGGTATATGTAGCCTAAGGTGTGATGAAATAAAAACGACTATTGTGTCTGTCGTGAAATGAATACAAAGGGTACTTTTGAGAGCTATTTTTCAGGTCCTGTTTCAACCCGAACGTGCAATTTGTGTAAAAGTCGTCGTTGCGGGCAGCAAACAAAACACAGTAAATCGTGACGTAATAAACAGGACTCGTTTATGCTACTCTGCATCGGGAGTCCTGTTTATTACGTCACTATTTACTGTTTTTTGTTTGCTGCCCGCAACGATGACTCTTACACAAATTGCACGTTTGGGTCGAAACAGGCATGACAGGACTTGAAAAACAGCTCTCAAAGGTACCTTTTGTACTCATTTTATGACAGAAACAATAGTCGTTTTTATTTCATCACACCTTAGGTTACATATACCCGAAAAATGACGGAAATGTCTTCGAGCATTCCACAACCTCTTTAAGCTTCATTAAAGCTTTCAATGGCAACTTAACATCTTGTTCTCTCTAGTGGTGGACTGCAGGAGGCGTGATCAAATCACATTGGGGGGGGGGGGTGATATTGGCTGCCGTCACATGTCTTAATCTAAGATCTTCTGAACTGGGCATTGTTGTCTAAGGCTGCAGCTATTCAATGTTGCTTGCAAATGGCCAAACTAAGCCGTAGCCACAGCCACATTCACAGAAATAACGTAGACTGGAGGTGGACCGAACTTCATACATGTATGGGGACAAAGTTTTTGACATTGTATTACCTTGTGCCATAATGATTATTATCTTCAAGCAAACTTGTATCCTCGATCGTGATTGGTCGATCCAAGGCAACAACAGTGTGATATTATACTGTATCGCATGGTCCATATCGCACCCTGCGTATTGTGCTATTCCAAGAAGCTAGCAACATTCCAGCTGTATTCGCAAAAGTGCTAAAAGGTTCGTGTATTAAAAACGAGCTAGTTCCAACTTTACTGCACGTCAAGTTTGCTTGAAGATAAATTCGTTATCACGCTCGCACTCATAGAACACGGAAAATGTAGTGCGTCTGTGTCCCGCCGAGTGGTATGTGGGACACAGACGCACTACATTATTCCGTGTTCCACTCGCGCTCGCGGGATAACTTATATACCATGCCTATGGGTCCTTGATATAAGTACCGCGTCAAAAGTAACAGGGAGAGAAATGTGGCCGAAAAATGAACACTTTTTGCTGCTGAATGCCAGGCAGTAATATGGAAAGATGCAACCAGTCCATTCACATTATTTTCTGCTACCTGGTTGTCGACAGTGTTGATGTCACATTCATCACTAGTCATCCAGTCCAGTCACAAGCTGTTAAAAACAACCTGTGAAACGAAGGCATTCCTATGTTATAGCTTATCTCCTGTTAGGCCAAGAAAGAGTTTCTGGTCATCAGCGAGCACATCGCTGTAGCCATGCGCCTCAGCAAAATTAAAAAGTTTTTTTTTTTATGTAAGATGATGGCTTAAACCCGCCAAACTCACTGGTTTGACTGGAATCCTGCTGCTGCACAATTTTAATGTGTTTTGAGATGGGTTATGATCGAGTTTAAGCTTTATGTGGCCTCTCTGGGCTCCCATATATTTTGCCCTAAATTTAGTCGGACACTTTTTGCAGACGGTGTTGTAATTTTGTAATTGTACGTCTGAAAGCCAGACTGAAGGAGCGATGGTCGTGTATCTGGAACCTGTAAACGCTTTAATAATTAGCGCACTATATGTAAGGGAGCAGACTAATGACCAGCCTTGCAGCACATGCACGATGTCGATGTCACTGTATGGTCTGATGTTTATACAGTTTTCTCTGATTTTTGTCTTGACTATCCAAATTTCCCAAGGAATGTTCGTGTTGGTCGAGATCGTAAGTGGGTGCAGAATTCTTAAGCCTTATGGCCTTACTGAGGTCACCTCAAGCTCCACCCTGAAGGATAGTTTGAGAGTTTTAAGGAGATCGAAGCATTATCTGTAACATCGGTGACATTTGAAGGAAAAAAAAAGGGGGGGGGGAAAAGAAAACAGCGCCGCACCAATTTTGTGGCAAGCTCCATGCCAGAAACCGGAGACTTTCTTTTGGCCTTACTTATGTCTTGACTTGTCGTAGGACTTGTGATTTTACTCTTGACAGCACTTGTGATGGACTTGATTACAATACTGGTTTTTAATTTCTTGGTAGGTGGGTGAACCGCAAGGACCCCGATGGCAAGAACCTCTTCTCCGGTGGTTTCCTGGGTCTGGACAACATTGGAGTGTTTGATAGGTCACGACCTTTGCCCACGGGAGGTCACCTTGAACAGGTGAGTGAACAATCCATGAAACTTTGCACGTAATTAAAAAGTTTCCACTTGTAAACATTCTCAGGCTAGGTACTTGAACCTTTGGTCTCTGTAGCAACGTAATGGGCATTTTGTGAACTAGGCTGTCTAGCCTTTTTGCCTTTTTGCTCGGTAGTCAATTATAGCATCGGTAGTAGTCTTGGCCCAAGATGTCAGTGATGAAGAGCAATAGTTGCATTGTTGTGTCGCGCATTTGCATTATTGGTTTTTACTTTCTCGCGCTAACATCTTGGTCATTTCGTCACTTAAACGTTGTTCCTTGTGCAAATTGCAGGCAGACGGTACAGCCTGGATGGCTTTCTTCTGCATCGTCATGCTGGACATTGCCCTGGAGCTGGCTAGGAGCGACGAGAGCTATGAGGACATGGCCAGCAAGTTCTTTGAGCACTTTGTGTCCATCATTGACGCCATGAACTCAGTTGGTGGAGGTGAGCAAGTTAGCAATGGAGTGATTGAGTATCATCCATTCACTCAAGCCCCAACATCCCCCAACTTAAAAGAAAAAGAGAGGGAAAATTAAGGTTTTTGAGTTTACGGACTTTTTTAGTAGTCACTTTTGAATATTTTCAGAAAGATTTAGAATTCAACTTTTGTTTTGACAAAGAAATCTTCAATTTCTCAAAACTTTCTTCAATTTCTTAAAATTTCTCAAAGTCAGCGGCTTGCGTGACAAATTATGGCGTAGCTTGCACAATCAATTTAGGTAGCGTTATGAATTTAAGGTGTGGCGTAACGACTAAATATGAACTATTTTACTAGCAAATCGTGATCGTCGCAGTGCCTGTCACGCTCACAGTTATGTGATTGAGATAAATGAATCGCTATTTTTTTATTCTTGTGACAGAATTTTTAGAGTTGATGCACAATTCCAAAGAAAGTCAGGCAAATCTATTTTCAAAATGGTTGGTGGAAATGTTGTTATTATCCTCGTACAAGATGTTTAGATTATTTAAAATGTTGCACAGCTACGCCACGTTTTGAGAAATCGATCTTATGTCTATGGTACAGCTGCGCAACAATTTATTGTGTAAATCTTACGCGTGGCGTAGGCTACTCGCTGTTGAATGAATTAGGCTGCTACGCTTTTGCCATATTTCACTTGAATAGCTTATGACTTCAGACTGAAGTAACTTTGGGGACTTTGACTACTGCCTCTCTTTGTGACTCACAGGTCTGTGGGACGAGGAGGACGGTTTCTACTACGACGTTCTCAAGACAGACACCTGCACCATCCCGCTGCGCATCCGCTCCATGGTTGGCCTGGTTCCGCTCTTTGCCTCGCTGACCTTGGAGGAGGAGGTCATCCAGAAGCTGCCGGGGTTCAAGAAGCGACTGGACTGGTTCATGAAGAACCGCCCCGAGCTGTCCGATCACGTGAGTTGTCATTCAGAAGTAGATTTTGAATTGTGTTGCCTGCCAGGTGATTTGTAAAAGCACTTCACATCTTACCTAAATTGATTTAAAGAAACACTGTGTAAGTTAAGCTTGGCAGTGTATTAATGATATATTTCACAAAAGTGGGCACAGCTGGTCAACATATTAAAGACCTTTTAAAGATTTAGGTGAGGACGGTTACATTTTTACATTGTTGGATTTTTATTGGGGAGTCGGGCTTGGCTGGAATGGTCCGGGGGTTTGGTCTTACTGCTATATGGTATTTCTTGTTCTTAAACCATTAAACCTAATCCCTGCCAGACGCAACACAGTGCATCAGGTGGAAAAGTCTGGTGCACTTTGATGCATTCAGCTACCAACACCAGTGCATAAACGGCCTCTTCTGAAACACCGGGCAGGCAGACTTGTAACTTAGTTAGACAAGTGTTGCATTTTGCTGTGGTTGGCAGGATTTCTAGCCGAAATACCCTGGAGGGTTAGGGTTAATGTAATTTTTACATCTATTAATACGTATTTTAAGGGCTTTTTTAATTACATTTTTGTGATAACTTTTAAACCTTCTGAACCGCAATTGGGCATGTTGGCTGTAAGAGTTTGATAATTTTTAAAATAGAAAAAAAAAAATAAGACTTACAAGTTGCCAAGATGTCACTCAAGCCAAGATGCCAGCATCGTTGGATTTTCAATGCATTTTTCCTTATTGTGTCATTGTCCAGATTGCCTACAAGACCATGGCAGACGGCATCCATGGTCGTCATCTCCTTGGCATCCCTCAGCGCAAGCAGCTGAAGAAAGTCCTCAAGTACATGCTGGACGAGGAGGAGTTCCTGTCACCGTACGGGATCCGGTCACTGTCCAAGGTTGGTCTGTCTGTCTGTCAGTCTTGTTGCCTAGCTGTCTGTGGCATTTGCTGCTTAATGCTAAGTTCAATGATGTAATGAGGATCCAATTTGTGGAAATTGGGAAATCTTCATGTTTTGGACGGGGCACTTTTACTTCTTTTTTTTGACTCTGGCCACATGGAATCAAAGAACTCAGTATCTGAGAGGTTGTTTGATTAAAGGGAATATACAACATTTACAAACATCGAAAAACAAAACTACCGATTTTTTTACGAAAAACCTTACTAGGATGTTGGTAAATGACAGTCTTAAGCATCCTGTAAAATTATGGCACCAGGTGTGAAGTCATTTTCAAGAAAAGTGGTATTTTGTATAAATTTCACGTAATTTTCCACCGTTGGAAAAACCTAACTATTTTTCAACTACTGCTCCAAATTTATCATTTTTTTTTCAGTCCAAATTTTGTTTGCTATTGGTTACATGTTCATGAACGGGTGCAGGCCAGTTAGACTGGTTCCATTATCTTACAATTTTCCGGCATCTATAAATTGATCCATTTCATCTTTAGTGGAGTCAGGGAACCAGACTACTGGAACATTTTTGTTTTTCTTGGTTTTTCCAGCATTTTCGAACACAAAACTTGAAACATGTCAGTTTAACAATATTTGATCTGTTATACTAACCCCTCAAAATAGTTCATTTCTGAAAATTACAGCAAAAGCCAATGATGTACATTCCCTTTAAATCCTGCTTAATCCAGTTTTCTTTAAAAAAAGAAAGAACTTGTATACTCAACCAGTTTCCCTTGTTTTTTATTTCATACAATTCTTGATCCTGGGTGCTTCCCAGGTTACACTATGATTGAAGATGTGATCTTCTGGTACAGGAATTAGAAATTGGGAATTTGCCACCAAAAGTCAAGACAGCTCAGTTGACAGTGCAGCAGTAGTGTTTTTGTTTTTGTACATCGTGGGGTAAAATCCTGGATCATGAAATTATCTTTGTTCACTCAACCAGTAAAATTATTCCTGACAGTTCTAAGACCAAGTAATACACTTTTGTAATGAATCTACAATTTTGTAATTCAGGTGCATAAAGACCACCCATTCACTGTCAACGTGCAAGGGGAGGAGTATAAAGTCAACTATGTACCGGGCGAGTCCAATACCTACCTTTTCGGAGGCAATAGTAACTGGCGTGGACCCATCTGGCTGTGTGGTAAGCATAGTTGTTCTAGAATACTTATCCGCAACAGCCCCACTTCATCATGTATTTGTTGCAGGATTTTGAACAGTTTTCCTCAATTTTCCTTTACGTATCCTCAATAATGCTCAGCAAGTGAAGAATCCTCACTAATTGCAAACTTTTTAAAAACGGTCCAAGTGCCACAAATAAAACATGTATATCATTTTGAAGCTGGGATTTTATTGAAATATAGTTTATAACTAACAATTTTTAACATTTTAGCATTCCTTGCAACTGAAAAAATGATTTAGCCAGTTCCCGTCGGGTTTATTTTGAAATCGATGCTAGACTGGTTCAGGCCAAAATCTGTGGGTAGCACACCCTAATATTTCCGGCCTTGCTCGCTGAGGGTGGCCTCGCCCAATGTGTGTTTATCTGTCATCTGTTCCAAATACCACAAAACCTTTGGGGTATACGCATCATCCGACATGAACTTGGTTAATGGGTACACACAAAAATATCAAGTTGTCTGAGTACCGACACGACGGTGTATTGAGCCGATTTCTACTGCAGCAAAAAAGTTGGATTAACAGTGTCTTTTTTTAAACCATTGTAGTATCTAACTGATACGTTTGATCAGAATTCAGATGCACTATGTGATTATGTCTCGTATTATGAACACTCTTGAATTGTCCATAATGCACATCTGACACCGCGGAACTGACTGCCGATTGTAAAATTTTAACCATAGAGATTTCTATACCTATAAAGGTTTGTGTAGAACAAGAGATATGGCCATTTTAAGGGGTGCTTGTAAGCAAAAACAAACAAATACCATAAATTTTACGTTGCTGTAGGGCCCTAAAATGCCCTCCAAACCCTCTGCCGATTATTTCAGAGATGTTTTAGTCTCCCCAAATCTCACCCCTGTTAATTTTCAATGAACACATATTACAACTTTTTCAATTGATTCCAGTGAACTACTTGATCATCGAGGCCCTGGAGCGCTATGACTTCTTCCACGGACCCACCTTCAAAGTGGAATGTCCGACCGGGTCCGGCAACATGATGCGTCTCAAGGACTGTGCCAAGGAGATCTCCTCCCGCCTGTCCAAGATCTTCCTGCCAGACGAGAACGGCGTCCGGCCCTGCCACGCCGACAATCCCCTGTATAAGGAGGACCCCGCGTTCAAGGATCTGATCTTGTTCTACGAGTATTTCCACGGCGACACAGGGCGCGGCTGTGGGGCTAGGTAAGATTTATATCTGGAAACAAAGGAGCTTGAATTAGCTTCGTTGTAATCAACTACTCATGTTCTTGGTTCTTGGTTGGTTCTTCTTCTAAATACTCCACGTGGGAGTTTATACAGGAGGCCAGAAACCCCTTCTCTTAGCGATAAGTGTCACTGGCTTCTTTTACATGCATTGCATTTCACATCACACGGGACCTATACGGCTTTACGTCCCATCCGAAGAACAAAGCAATAATGGTTAAGTGCCTTGCTTAAGGGCACAAGTGTCCACCCGGCAGGCTCGAACCCATGCCACTGTTGCATCTGAAACACCAGAGCATGAGTCCGGTGCTCTTTACCGCTAGGCCATGACACTACACTCATACCCATGTACGAGTACGAGCATGGATATGAATGAATACATACACGTACATGTTTTCTAAACATTTCATTATGCAGGGCGTGTCGAAAACAAAAGTGACCGAATTAGAAAAATAATGTTAAAAAAGATATGTGACTCACTACATGAAATAAAAATAACATAGGTATAAAGTACATGTTGTTGACTAGTAACTGTGAAAATTGTATACTCTGTTCACAGGAAATACCCCAACATTCAGCTGTCCACCACTGATCATTTACCGATAGGCATTTGATGAATGCCCTTTAAATATAATGAACTCAAATTTGCAAAGGAAAACAGACAAATATCACTATTCTCATTTTGGAAAAGGACTTGATTTATTCCTAAAAAAAAAAAAACACAAAATCTGACAGTAAAAATAATGTTTCAGTCTTGACTCAAATTTAATCGCATTTGAATTTAAATGCCTGTGTGAAATCACTGGTTCAATAGCTTCAAAGAATTAAGCTTTCCGCGGACAACTGTAAAAATGGGTTCTCAATAGTAACACATGCATAACTTCTGATAGCGAGGATCAATTTCAGTAAGTCTTGTTTTTCCCAATGAGTGGAAGAACAATGATAGTTTAAGACGTGGTGTTTCAAATTGATTTGCTTTGGAAATGAAAAAAAAAATGTTGATATTAGTCACTCACTTTCTTTTTGACTCACCCTGTAGTGACAAGTGTAACAGTTGCTAGTATGAACATAAGTTTGAGTGCAGCAATGTAGCAGCCTAAAAAATGTCAAAATTGTCTTTCTTTTCCCCCCCCACTTTTACGTACCTTTCTGTAGCCATCAGACAGGCTGGACAGCCATTGTGACGGCGTGCCTAGAGAGAGTCGTGAACAAGTAACAAGACACTCCACTCCACAAGACATTCTCATCTCTTCATTCTCCTCTAAAAGACACAGTACATACCAAGCTGTGTTGAAGTGTCGAGGGTAAAGGCCATCTACACAAGCATTAAGCCTTGATATAAGGCATTCCTCTATTCTATGTAGTTAAACGTAAATGTACACATCTTCGAACTGGCTTATAAATCTCACAGCGCACCCATATACTTAAAGTTGTGTTCCCATGCTCGTCAACAAGTTCATTTTTTTTTTCAACTTGTATGTTTTATTCAAACCAAAAACCTTCCTTTTTACTCTGTTGGACGTCAGCAACCCTCTGAAAAGGGTTTTGGGGTTTGGGCACAAACAGATCCACTTTGCAAGCAGACTGGCTCCCAGTCCGAACGTTATCATTACTGATTGTGAGGCGGGAACCAGCCTACTCCGCGAGAACAGAATTATTGTCAGGCAGCGAATATTTAGAAATTGTTAAGTAATAACTTGATAACGAAACATGGGCCGTTTTTTTTTCGGACAGTGTCTCATTCAATAACTTTTGTATTGCTAGAAATATAGCAATTTAGAAAAAGAATCTATTGTTCGGGATGAAACTCGTATTAAACACGGGGAACACAATATAAGTGTTTTCAAGTAGCACATTTATGCACATTCCAAGCAGGAACGCACAAACCTGTTATTTACTTCAGTTTCTATAGAGATATCTGATTGATTTCGTTAGTTTTTCGCAGTGGCTACTTTTGTTCTTTTAAGGCAAATGTACGCACATACATTGTACGTCCTTTTTTCAGTAATAGTGCAGAGAAAATGCTTAAATAAAAAAATGTGCAACACGTCTGTAGTATGCGCAAGTCGATGTATAAAGTGCAACTTTGATTCGAATTTTAAATGTGCTTTTCCAAATTTATTTGAAATTTATAAGATTTGTAATGTTTTTCTGGTCGCTAGAAATTGATATATTTTTGTTGTGATGTTTAAAAAACAAAATTGTACAAGTTGATTTTCTATCCGTAAATTTAGTTTTCATCTTACTAAATGAAATTACTCTTTACTAACAAATATTTTATAAAAACTTTTATCATGAAAGTTGTACGTAGTTATCTGTAAACGCGGCATTAAAATTCTGGGTTCTTGGAGTTCCAAGGGTAATGTGGAATATTTTTTTACCCTAATAGGTGCATAGGATCGTTTGCTTTTTGTGCAATTTGTTTTTTATTTGAAGCAACAAAATTGCTCAAAATCTGAAGAAATATGCATAACAACTAACTTGTTGAAGTTTCAGCTCAGTGGGTACTATACATTTTGAGAAAACAGAGAAAACGTATGAACGCTTTTTTGGGTCTCGCAACTGGATTCTGCTGCTAATGCAAATAGAAAAGATGTGCCTGCTGGCACACTTCCTTGAACCACCTGCAACGATTGTTTCCTTCATAATGATACAATTGAAGGGGGAATAATTTCACAGGGTATTTGGTGACAGTCCAATTTTCACTTTGAACAAGGATTTTCTTGTTAAATCGGTAGGTACGTTTCCAGGTAATGGCACTTGACCCTACATGTACGTGCCTTTAAAGTACAAGCCAAACTAAATACTATACACAATCTTCAAACTTGTTCCTCAGTCAATATTGTTCCTCAATCAATATTGCTCAATCAATATTGTTCAGTATTTGTTCAAACCCCCAATAGTGTTCAGTAACCCATACTGCACATGCATTTGTACAACTCAGAAATGCCTTGTAGAAGTTACATGTCTTACTGCCTGGTCATTCCTAACTCATTTTACTTGGGATCTTCCAGAATCCTTTAAAATCAACGGCTATCCAGGCAACTAGTGGAATGATTTTTTGTGTGCTTTAACTTCAGAGAGGCATCAAGCACCATTGTAAAGTAATTCAGATAAGATAAGTTGTTTGCAGTAGCACCATGTAGTAAATCTCTTTTGTGAGTATGTGTGGTTCTGAAAAGAACCGGAGGGACTCAACATCTCGGACAGTTTGCTCAGACCGTTGTCAGGAGACTGAGGGCTTCCGTTGGTGAAGCGGGGTTATATGGTGCCTGGCAGTGAAGTGTGACAAGGATGCAAACCAAGGGTACTGCAAACAACTTATCTTACTTCCTTTTCACCGTGCATTCCTTCAAATCTCATCTAATTCAGATTTTGGCTGTAACTTGTCTAAATTCTGCACATTTTATTTTCAAGATTTCCTGGTGTATTGTGAAGGGTCAGAAAAAGTTCAGCCAGTTTTAATTTTTTTGTCTTTTTCAGAAAAAAAAAATGATGCAGTCTAGGCCTTTTTCAGAAAAAAAAAAATTGGTCTAGGCAATTGTTAGTATGGGTATTCTCATTTTCTGCCAACTTTAAACTACTTTAAAACTATTTAAGCTAGTTTCATCTTTTGAGGTCTTAGAGATTTTGTATTTTTATACTATATAGATTTATGCAATCTTTCGTTAGCACTAGGTGTGTATACTTCAGCCATCTGAAATAATATCAAGGTAAACAAAAAACCAACAAAATTATGAATTGTTTGTTCACATGTAGGTAGTTATTTTCCATTGATTAACAGAGCTTGCAGACTCAAGAAATTTACAGGAAAATTATGTAATGAATGTGTTTTTCTTGAAAACTCTGAAAGTCTTTACAAATTAAAGCAATTGAACTGAATGACATTTAAGTGTTTACTGATTGGCTTGGCATTTTTTTTGTTTCAATTTTACAAGTACTTCATATGTTTAATTTATGGACTCCTTATACTTCCTTTTTGCAAACTTGTAACGCTTTGAGACAGGCGAGCAATAAGCCATTTGCGAGTAACCTATACCCTTTGGGATTTCAGTTTGAAAAACATCTGGTACACTGACTTGCTCAGAATGCTTGGCACATTTGAACTTTGAATTCTCCAGACCAAAGACACTGTTGCTAATCACATGATTCAGGGCAAGCTCTTGCATAGTTGCATAAGAGATGCTCAGCATCAATACATTGTTCACAATGGGTGAAAATGGCACAAAGACACCAGACCATGCCAGAGCTGGGGGTTGCTAGCGTAAGGCTTGCCCCGAATCACGTGATATAGTGACAGTCTCTTTGGTCGGGAGAATGCAAAGTTAAAAACGTGCAAAGCATTGGATTAAGTCAGTGTTCCAGATTTGGTTCAAATTTAAGATGCAAATGGCTTATTTGCTAGATCAGCTCAAAATTGGACCAACTGCATGGCGACCGCCAGCTGAAACACCATAGCTCAAGCATTATAGCTCATTCCTTTAATTTTGCCCTTTTTTGGGTGGGGGGGGGGGGGGGAATTGCCCGTTACAAGGGCAAAATGGGGAGGGGGGGGGGGACTTTCCCTGTGCACCCCACAACCGTCAAGGAAAATCAACACGTTGTTGAAGAAATACATGTACTCTAAAGAAAAGAATTTCTTTTTCTCTTTGAGGTATTAAAGCAAACCATACAATATGGGAAACAAGCCTCAGAACAAGTATTGTGTGTCCTGCCTTTTACTCCCAAAAACTCCAAAAACTGCTATAGTTTTTGGAGTTAGCAGTGAATAAATACAATATAATGTACAGGCTCTCCGGTTTCTGGTTTGCGCGCGCGTCGCCGTTGCCATGCGCGTCGGCAAAATGAAAACGTTTTTTTTTCAATGAAAGATGATGTCTCAAAACCGCCAAACTCACTGGTTTGACTGGAATCCTGCTGCTGCACAATTTTAACGTGTTTTTAGATTGGGTTATGGTCGAGAATAAGCTTTATGTGGCCTCTCTGGACTCCCATATATAAAGTTTAGTCGGGCACCATTTGCAGTCATCAGGCGACATTTGAAGCAAAAAAATCTGGTAAAAAAAAAAAAAAAACCGCATCGCCGCACCACTTTTCGGGCAAGCTCCATACCAGAAACCGGAGACTTTTTTTCTTGGCCTAATAGGTTCAACCTTAATTTGCTAGTGGGGTAGAAAAGGGAGAGAGGCGACTGAAAACATCTAAACAAATCATTCATGCTGGAACTCAAAAATAACTTAAAGATATACGTTCATCTTTGGTCACCAAGTGGTATATATTTATTGCAATTCTAAGCCTAATATAGAAACATTTGTTAAAAACATCACTCAGCAATTCAGCAATATAGAAAATTACACGAAGGAAAGATTGTTGCAAATATATAAACCCTCAGCTTGATCATTTGTTTCTCAACAAAAATATAAACAGTCATCTCCAAAGACTCGGATGTATTTTTAAAAAAAATCAACACATTATCTGTTTCGGTAACAAAAATAGACAATCCAGGTCAAAATAGTGTAAATTCGAATGGTACATTTGTGGTCAAATGGAATCTCGCAAATTGTAGACTAAGCAACGTTATTGAGGGAAAAAAATAAAATATATAACTACAGGCACTTTTTAAACTGACAAAAGGCAGGGAAAGACTCTGACATTTTCAAACACACATACTGTGTTATCTTGTTAGGTATACGTGTATATGCCATGAAAACCAGTAAACTGGAAGCAAATATAATATCAAAGTGAATTTTACAACATTATCATAGATTTAAATGCAGTTTTGTTTAAAATCTTTCACCAGCATGTTACATTAGTTAACCTGTGAGCGCGAGTGGAACAGGGAATAATGTAATGCATCTGCCTCCCACACACCATGAGGCCGAAGGCCGATTGGTATGTGGGACGCAAGACGTACATTTTCTGTGTTCCAAAAGCGCAATAGGATAACGAATTTATCTTCAAACAAACTTGACGCTCAGTAAAAGATGGAACATGCACGCAGTACACAAACTCTTCAGTAGTTATCCTATTACGCATACGTGCCGAAGGATCGGCATGCACATCTTGGAATAGCGCAATAGGCAGAGCGCGATACGGACCGTGCGATTAGGTATATCACACTGTTTTTGCCATGGATCAACCAATCAGGATCAAGAAGTCAAGTTTGCTTGAAGATAATGAGCTATGTATACACTCCTGAAGTGTGATATCACTCCTCCTCAGGTCAGGCTGACATCCGCGAGAACAACTTATGTGCATTCCTTAACAACACAATAAATTGTACATTTAACATTATCACAGACAGCAATTTCACATGCTAATTTTGCAGAACATTTTAACAAATGAGTACCTGAAATGAAATTTTGCAGTGGATTGTCACCACACAAGTTACAATGGCAATTGCACTTATTTCTGCCTTCTAGAGGAGATTTAATCCAGTTATAGAAACTTGGGTTTACAACCACCATAGCAAAACACTGTACAAGCATTACATTCACTGTGTGGACTTCCGAACAAAAGATGTCCACATAAACCAGGTAGAGGCGACGTTGTGTGGACTTGCCCACGTCCGCACAATGTTTCCCCTCTCTGGAAAACAGGTTTAGAGGCATTTTGGGGTTAGGTTTATCCGTTTAAGTTTAAACACTCAAGGGAATCATAGAAAAAAAAAAGGGTTGAAACAGTTTTCACAGTGTGATGAGTAAAATGATTTTTTTTTTCACAGCTTTTTCTTAACTACATGAAAACAAAGGAATGTCCACACTAGGTATGTAACGTAAACGTGTGTGTGTTCACGTGGGCTACTGCAGTGCATGGGGAAACAGGTACTATGGTTGCACCAAGTTGACCTACATGTACATGTATGAGTGACGTCATGACTTTAGCAGCATATACTCGGTGCTTTCCAAGCATACACATTAAGCCTGCTTGGAAGGTTATGAACTTCTGACTGATGTCGCGAGTCGGCCGAGATAAGCTCCTTGATTTGAATTCTGTATTGCATCGGAAAGCTCAATTAATGAGATGTAAAATTAAAAATTACCATCACACAACTGAACAAAATTCAAATCTTGTTCACAAATTCAAATCTTGAGCCCAACAAATTACATTGCTGTCAAGTCCATGCATATTTATAAGTCTTTACTATGAAAGCAATAAATTCAAATCCCATTAACTACAGATCAGTGCAGCAAATGCAGTGGTTACACGGGAAGAACGATAAATGCATTAATACATGTAAACTTGTTAAAAGCAAGAGTTTTACAGTAATACATGACAGTAATAACAAGAGGTATTTAAAGCATGCACACCTGTGAGCTTTTTGTAGGGCTGCAGCAATATTACCCCTGCTCGTCAGGCCAATACAGCAGTCCCGAGACTTGTTAAAGTGAATTCAGAGAAACTTTTGGGAGTGTTTTGGAAGTAAAGATTCCGATTTTGTTTATTCATAATGACCACTATACCATAAAGTGTAAAGGGTGTATATGTGTGTGTGTTCACAAGTTGATTGCATGTGAAGCAGGCGATAGTGTGACCACAAATCACACACAATAGGGAACAAAACATTGTAAAGGTCTCCACAGGGCAATTTCTATAGATGAATAGGTCTCCACAAGGTTTTCACGAAATAGATATATGGGTTTTACTCAAAAACTAGGAATTTCCAAGGTGGGTTGATCAGTCGCAAATGGAAGAGTTTTAGAAAAGGGATATTAATTCCAAATTTCAGCCAAGGAAACTAATTCTGGTTAAAATAAGAGCATTTTGAAATTTCACTTTCAAAATTGAACACTTTACTACACGAGAACAAAGAAATGTCTCCACAAGGATACAAATTTGAGAATGTGTGCGAAGTGGGTGTCCGTGCATGAAGTGGGGGCGACTCGACTGCAAAGTGGGGTGCTGTGGTCCAATGGTTACGGTGTTCGACTAGTGTGCCGCGGTTCATGGGTTCGAATCCTGACGGGGAACATGGTGCTTGTGCGCTTGGGCAAGGCACTTTACTACGATTGCCTCTCTCCATAGGTTAATACAAGCGGCGATTAAGGAATGCCGTTGTTTAAGTTCATTTGAATACCCGTTTTAGACCGGTGTTCTAGAGTTGGGCCTACATGTAACTGAACAGTAGAGTCATTCCAGTCGACCCAAATACATGTTGGTTTCAGAACAGGCAAACTTCATTTTCGTTGACTGAACCCTACAGTAGAGATGAGATGGTCAATTGAAGAAGAAAAAAAGTTCGGAAAATTGGATGAAAGATCAGAAAGATGTGTTTCTTTCTATATTGATAATGTCTTTCTCTCAGATTCAATAAGTCTGATTTGAGACAAAAGTTTGAAAAATCTCCTGCCTGCCCGTTCTGATTGACTGCAACATGTGTAGCCACTCCTCATCGTATACAGTCCGACTTGATTCTACCCTCCAGAGTAACTTAGATCGGCGCGACTCTGAAATGCCTGTCTTACATGTAAATCAGGTCCAAGTTGACTCCAGACTAGATGAATTAGCATTGAATTGAGAAGCAACAAATACTGAAATAAAAAAATGCAATCTCAGCACCACAGACGGATGCTTCAACACATATGTGTGCTAAATTATACCTTGCCGTTTTGAATCTTTTAAAAAATAAGAAAAAAAAACCAAAGTTGAAACCTTTTCACATGTACAAACCTATCAACTAACATTTGACCACAAAAGAAAAACCTCTTTCCTATAATATTTCAAAGAATGATAGTGCATTTTTAAGATATAATGTCATATAATGTAAATACTTTCTGAAGCGTACAGCAGTAGTTGGTCTTGATGGTTAAATGAATTGCAGACGACCCTTCTTAGCGGAGTTTTTGCTTTTCTAGCTGTCCGTCCAAGTACTTCGTGACGAGGGCCTTCAGCTCATCGCTGGTGTACGCCTTCTTGTCGTAATCTTTGTAGATACTCTGAGACGAGACGTCGATGATACAGAGGAAAGGAACATTGCTGAACTCCAGCTTGCAGAACTCCGTAAGGCCTTCGATAATGTCGTCCTAAAAGAAGGGGACAAACGTATTTTTCAATTAAAGACCAGGCACTTTTTAGCTGCGGATAGCAGCTCTACCAGTACTCATGTCTCTCCATTTTTTATATTAGTCTGTAGATTAGTTAGTTAGTTACCGGTAGTTAGTTTGTACAACAAACGTTTGAATGCGCACCTGTGGACTATGACCTACCTTACCCAGCTCCTGCTTGAGGCCCTAGATGTGTCAGTTTTATGGCCCTCAAGGGAGGGCAGACAGAGTTGCATTATCGACGTCAAGTTTGCATTGTGATGTGAAATCCTTTATTTCAATGCCAGAGACATGTACATGCAAGAGCACCATCTGTCTTATACAGATTAGGCAGAAGTTGCCGGTACACATGTACGAACAAAAACTCATTTGCCGGCAGCTTCCGAGAATATATGAGCTTGTTTTCGATGGTCAATGATCCAATGCGTCAGAGAGCTAAAAGTGGCTATATCCAGCAAGTATGACTGCCAAACCGGTTGCTTGTACCAGGAAAATAGTGCCTTATAAATAGCTCCTAGACTCCCAACAACACAACTGCAGTTACACCAAGAGAGGTTGCTGGTGGCACCACACTAAAACTTTCATGCTAGATAAATTATTGTGCTCAACCGAAGACGAGACTTCCTACAGAATATTATAACGTTTTACTTCATCAAGTTTTACTGTAGTTCAATAAGATGTAATACAACAAATACAACGCAATTTATTTCAGGAAATAATATACAAATAATGAATGTTTATGAGTGCAATGGAAAGAATAATTTCATGAGGTGACAGATGGAACGTTCCATTTCACGAGGCAAGCCGAGTGGAATGGAACACTCCATCTGTCACCAAACGAAATGATTCTTTCCATTGCACGAATGTGAAATATTCATAATTTTTTTAAAACACCACCTGGAATAAATCCTCTGATTGGTCACGCCACCATTGTGAGACCGTGCATTGGTACTTCTATTTACCAAGAAAATTGTGCAGTGCAACCGGTCCGTGGGTTTGGATGAATAATTCAATGACATGTGATAAACGACCCACCAATCAGATGACGGGGATTTATTAAGGCGTTGTATAATGTACCTAATGTACCAACTCATACATATTCATGAGCCAAATGCACTTCTTTCATTGGTCAATGCATCACCGGGCAGCTACAATACGCCCTCCATCTTCTTAATTTTGCCAGGTAGTTACATTGGCGTAGCGGTACTTTCCTCGCCTTCCACCGCTGTGACCCGGGTTCGAATCCCGCCTGGGCCAACATGCGGATTGGGTTTTCAGCCCCAACCTGTTTTCGTGGGTTTTCCCCAAAACAATCTTCTGGGGGTTTCCTCCCACCTGTAAAACTGTAATTTCTTCTCATTGTCTTCTCTCTACAGGTTTCTTCAGGCTTGCGAGCTATAGTGCCTATGGCGCTTTTGAGGAATGTTATTACCAGAAATAAATAATAATAATAACAATAGTAATAAATAATAATTTACTTATGCTATAATAGGGCGACTTTCCCATAGACTTGTGCACAAACCTAAACCGTAACTTAATCCATGTTTACCTAATCCTTTTTCCACGAAGTTTGGTATTTATGCTAATTAGACCACGAGGAATCGATCTGGATGGGTCATGACAGTAAAATTCCTTGTCCCTATGGTCAATTGAACAATAGGCAGACACCAAATCGTCACCTCAATGAGGCGTGTCGCCCTAATCCAGACAACACTTGAGAAATCTGTCACCCTATTGCGGAAATTCTTAATTTAAATCAACCACACCTTGAGATTAGTAATTTATATAACAGCGTTATAGTCTGACCTCATCTTCATCTTCACATGCCACCAGGAAGTCCATGGGCGGGCTTTCACCCTTTGCCTTGGCTGCACTGATTATTCCCTCAGCTGCTGGTATGAGCAGCTCCTTGTTGGCTGCAGCCCCTGCGCTGTCAGCTGAGGAAGGAGTCCAGAAAATCAACGAGTATAAAAGATTTTGAAAAAACACCACATTTTTCGCAGCCATTTTGAACATGCACATCACTTCTTACAAACAAATCTCTTATGAGGAATCCTTGGTTTCATTATCATATTAAATAATAACGAAGCCTGATACTTTTGGAACTTACCTGCAAACCAGATGAGAGTAGTGTTTTCATTGATAGCGCTGGCAGTGTCGCCAGACAGCATGTTGACCGGCTTGGGGTAGAATGGAAAATCCTGGGGGAAATTTAAAGGGAAAATACAACATTTGCAAACATCAAAAAATAAAACTACCAAATCATTTTGAAATACCTTGCTGGACTGTTAGTGAATGACAGTGTAGAGCATCCTGTAAAATCATGGCACCTGGTATACTGTCATTTTCAAGAAAAGTGGTATTTTTGTATCAATTTCCAATGCTGATCGGCCGATCAGCGTTGGAAAAAGCTGGCTTTTTTTTCAAATACTGGCCCCAGTTGACCATCGCACTTGTTTGCAATTGATTACACACATATGAACGGGTACAAGCAAGCTAGACTGGTTCCCTGACCTTACAATTCCCCAATATATGTAAACTGCTCTGTTTCTTCTTAAATGGAGTCAGGGAACCAGACTACAGGAAAATGATTGTTTTTCTTGGTTTTTATAGCATTTTCGAACTTAAAACCTCAAAAAAGTCAGTGTAACTATATTTGCTATATATTTCCAACCCCCCAATTCCATCCATTTCTGAAAATTACGGCAAAAGCAAATGATGTATATTTCCTTTAAGCACAAAGTCTTACATATCTTTTGCAACAATACATATTTATTCCATCATATTACATGTTTTTAGTTTCAGATAAAGATTATCCATATTTGTAAGTTAACAAATTCAGCGTGACAGAGTTAAAGTTGCTCTCCCTGTGATATTTTCATGTTTTATTATCCCAAACCTATATTTACTTTTCGAAGTGGATTTTTTTTTAGCAATACAACAGTTATTATAAAATTGGCCCAGGTTTGGATATTGAATTATTATTTTACAAATTTCAAATTGCGGCCCAATAATTAGTCTGCTCTGGCGCAGTAGCGTAGTTCCCACCCTACAATCCATATCAATAATATGCGGGCCATGAACCAGTCTGCTTGTTAAACGTGTATTAACCCTAACTAGGGACGAGATTGTCAATTTAAAAAAAAGTCTGAAAACTGCATGAAAGGTCTGAAAGATGTATTGCATACTGATAATGTCCTTCTTACAGATTCAAAAAGTCTGAATTCAGAAAAGTCTGAAAAATCTCATGCCGGCAGCCTAAACTTACCAACCCCATCAAAATCCATCCCCCATTTTCAGGGAATTGTGGCAGATAACCCATGTGTACCAAGTCCATCAAAATCCACCAGCACCACTGGTGGATTTCGATGGATTTGGTCCTGAAGCATTATGCGAAGCAGAGTGAGTGATGGATTTTGATGGACATGGTCTTCTACTTAGTGGAACCAAGTAAATAGTTTTGTGTTCGTTGAATTGTGTTGTCCATAAACCTTACTATGAATATGCATGACATGATCAGCATAAGTCACTCCAAAGAAATTCACAAGTTTAATTGGGCAAGTTATGAATAAACATGAGTATTACATGGATATATGCATGAGTGTGATTGATAAAGAACTGACTCACTTTGCCCTCAGGATCTTTAGAGATGGCTCCTCTACCGTTGGTTGTGATCACGTTCCAACTCTCATCCAGAAAGACCAAGGTGGGAATGCCTGTGCGGTGAAAAAGTTCAAGGCTAAATGAATGTATGCATTATACGCAGCATGCTTTGGCCAATGGGTGAATAGGCAGAGCCAAAAGTAGGCTGTGGCTGAATTTCTTGTCTAGGGCTATAGGTCTTCGCCAATTCCAACTTCCTTCCTTGAAAGTGCAGCCTCATGAGGATAAACGCACTTGCCAGAAACACCGGGGCAAACCCCTTCTCTTAGCGATTATTGTTACTGGGTTCTTTTATGTGCATTATACAACGCACGGGACCTACAGCTTTACGTCCCATCCGAAGGACTAAGCAATAATGGTTCAGTGTCTTGCTTAAGCACACAAGTGTCAAGACCGGGACTCGAACCCACACTCTGCTGAACTACATGGGAACAAGCTGACAATACCCATAGCCATAGCTCTTGATGCTCGTTTTGGACACGGCTGTACATACATGTCCTAGTACATGTCATATTGTAAACTGATGTGATACAAGTCATATATAGCCACTGGAAATTGGTTTACTCAAAACAAATTTTCAGGTTAAAAATAAAATCAAGGTTTATATTTATCTGCTCAGCAGCCCCGTAATTGTTGGGTCAAGGGCAGAGGGCCAATGAGAAGCAATGTACACAGTATGAGTTTTCACAGGTAACCTGTTTGTCCTAACAAGGATTTCCTGCCCTCAACACATTCCACTGCTCGGCCATGCATTGCACATCAAACTCACCTAGCACGTCCAAACTTGCTTGCTTATGCTTGTCACCGAACGACAAGCCAGTTACACACAGTGTAAACATCGCAAGATTTTTTCCGCTGGTAACCCGCTTTTTTTGCCGAGCAGTTGTTTGCCATGCTCACCACATTTGTGTCCTCCGCCCCTGAACTCACCTTGCACATCAAACCTCTCAGGCAGTGTCTGCCTGTGCTTGTCACCTCGATTTTTAACACTAGCCAGTCACAAACAATGTGCATTGCATGATATTTTGCCCAGTTCCCGTTTTGCTAAGCAAAAATTGCCAGTGTTTCATAGTCAGCAGGCCTCGTACATTTTTTTAAAATGTAGTTGCCCTTCGGGCAGGGGTGCTTGAAATCTGGTTGCCCTAATTTCATTTTCAGTTGCCCAATTAAGAGCTTTTAATATCGCCCCAAACTGAAGGCCAAACCCTAATAATGTACATGGCTGCTTTCCCTGAAGTGGCTGCAGGGCTGGCAAAATTGGCTGTCCGACGTGCCGGGACGACCAAAATATGTGTACTCGGCTACTGCGCTATCGCCATTTTGCAAGCTTGCGTGGCCGGCATTGACCGATCGTGGTTGTGTGCGTGTGTACGGTACCCGCGCTCTGCGCCGCGCTGGTACACAGTGTACAGCGGTCCAGTCATAATATTTTTTGAAACACACGTACACACAGGATTGCATTCACTGCCTACACACATTACGTACGCGAAACGTTACTGCACAATGTAGCTGGACTGTACAGAATGAGATTGACCGCTGTTCTGTTTTGGCTGGTACCCGTTATTGGTTTATGTGTAGATTACCAACATTAAATGGTGAAAGCGCAGCAGCTGAGTCAAAATATTGATATTATCATGATTATTGTTCGACGCTGTGCACATGGGTCATTCCATGTCAGACCAACGCACTTTTTTACCTCATGTCTTCCGATTTTAATAAAAATTGCTGTGCTTGTAGGTCCTAATGAGCAATGAATACACACCAATTTTTAGCCCGATCCGACCTACCATGTGGTCAGGGCAGAAGCCACAAAAAAATGGCATTTTTAGAGTAAAATACCACCCTTTTGGTATAAATATGTCAAAACTATGGCAATTTTCATCGAATATATGTGAATTTGGTTTTAAAATAATGAGGATTGCATGCTCAAATCACTTTTTTTGTCAAAATTAAATTTTGTGAAAAGTAGGTCACGTGACCTTTAATATGCTATCGTGACCTTTGACCCAATTTTTGTAATAATGTATCATTCCGAAAATCAACGAAATTAAAATAACTTGCTAGAGCATGTCTTCCTCTATCAGAATCTACTAAAAATCAGTTGGGGTCTTCAAAATTTACAACTTTATGACTACTTTTGTACAGTTGGTAGGTTACAAATGAGTCAATTTATAGACTTTACATAAGAAATACACCAACACAACTTACCATTCTGTTTCTTAAGTTACTAAAATTAATCTAGATTTTTATGTATAAAGTACAAAGCCAGGAAAAACAAAATTCTTCCTTCTGATTCCAAAGAAACTGTCTAATCAGAATATCTGGACTCGGAAGTGTGCTAACCACTAACAGTAACCAGGCCTTCACCCAGTACAGCGGACTCACGTCCAGGTGAAATTCATCTCAAAGGAACAAAATGCCAAGTCTGTGAGAGTCATTAAAGTTCAAGAAGCACAGTGATGAATGAGTAAAGGTAACTTTGATTGTAATATTAAGTATTATCTTCAAGCAAACTTGAATCCTAGACCCTGATTAGTCCATCTATAGCAACAACTGTGTGATTTTATATAATATTGCACAGCTATATTGCACCCCAGATATTAAAAATGTACGTGTACATATGTTGTGTTATTTCCTGCAGAACGGACCAATACACTACATGTATGCACGTACATCTTCACCGCGTGTACGCATTTGATATCAAGTTTGCTTGAAGATAAATTGGTTATAAATCCCACTTGCGCTCGTGGAACACGGAATTATGTAGTGCATCGAGTGGCATATGGGTCACAGCAGCATTGCATTATTTCATATTCCAAGCGCGCTCGTGGGATAACTAATTATCAGTGGCACCCAGGAGGGGGGGGGGGGGGGCTTGAACCCACCCCCAACATTGTCAATTTGTTTGTTTGATTTTAGGCTAGTTTTTGTTGGTCCAATCTTTTACAGAAATTTGAACAAAAAACGCCAAATCCTGGGTGCGCCACTGCTGATAATTTACACTATGAGTCTGGTTAGACCTCATCAGCCCTCAGAATGAGAAATTCACAAACCAAGATATATTTTAGTAACTTTAGAAACAGAATGGTAAGTTGTGTTGGTGTATTTCTTATGTAAAGTCTATAAATTGACTTATTTGTAACCTACCAACTGTACAAAAATAGTCATAAAGTTGTAAATTTTGAAGACCCCAACTGATTTTTAGTAGATTCTGATAGAGGAAGACATGCTCTAGCAAGTTATTTTTATTTCGTTGATTTTCGGAATGATACATTATTACAAAAAATGGGTCAAAGGTCTCGATAGCATATTAAAGGTCATGTGACCTACTTTTCACAAAATTTAATTTTGACAAAAGAAGTGCTTTGAGCATGTAATCCTCATTATTTTAATAACAAATTCACATATATTCGATGAAAATTGCCATAGTTTTGACATATTTATACCAAAAGGGTGGTATTTTACTCTAAAAATGCCATTTTTTTGTGGCTTCTGCCCTGACCACATGGTAGGTCGGATCGGGCCAAAAATTGGTGTGTATTCATTGCTCATTAGGACCTACAAGCACAGCAATTTTTATTAAAATCGGAAGACATGAGGTAAAAAAGTGCGTTGGTCTGACATGGAATGACCCACATGTATGCATTCTGGAACTTTCGAAAATCCCATGGACTTAAATAAAGTGCAAAAAATGTGTGAGTATTGGTGAAAAAAAGTGGTTGACTGTCGGGCTGTTAACCTGGAACTTTTGGTTGTCCGACAAAATATTTTGGTTGTCTCGGAACGTCAGGCAGCCGATTTCGCGAGCGCTGGTCAGTGCGTCACTCACCTTGCACATCAAACTTCTTGGACAGGGCCTGCTTGCGCTTGTCACCAAACGGCAAAGCCAGCCAGGGCATCTCCTTGAAATACTCCATGAAGCTGGCCTCGTCACGGTCACTGGAGCAGAAGACTATCTCCAGGTTCTTGCCAGCTTCCTTCATCTTGTTGTAAGACTCGACCAGTTTGGGGGTGAAGCCCCTGCATGGCCCGCACTGTGAGAAAAACAACCATAAAGTAACGACCATTATTTACTAAATTTGTAGCCTTTTACATCAATTTGGGCAATTCACAATGCAGTGCGCCACCTAGAGTTTGCCAGGGAGAGTTAATTTTCTCCAGTGCATTGTGGGAGATGGTTACAGGGCATGTGAAAATTGTTAGTTTTTTCCCGGTCAATAGTTTCGTAAGCGTATGATTCGAGTTTATGTTTGCCATGTTCTTTTCTTTTTATCAATCTGGTGTTTTTGTTAGATGGCAGAGCGATATGCCCCAATCTATAACAAATTAGCTTAAGTTGTCTGCTGACACTCATTCAAATGGGTCATGTTTTGTCGACCGTAAATTTGAAAAATTGACTCTTGAAACTTGACTCTCCATGGCAAACTCATGGTGGCGCTCTACATTGTGAATCGCCCGAACTGATGAGGTTGGGGGGAAATTAAAACGCAAGAGATATTTGGCAGATGTATTGAAGGTCCCAAGGAGCCCCAGAGCAACGGAGGGTATACAACAATATTCTTGTTTGAATTTGCAAAAAGGCACCTCTTGCAACACCTATTGCTTTTGCTTTATTAAAATTTCTATAAAAAAAAGTACAGACACCTGTACGGCAGAACCCCAGGAATTCCAGCTTTCAAAGGGGATTCTCAAGAATCCTGCAATCAGGAGAAATCCAGACAAATGTAATCACTGCATTTCATGGAAGATTTATGTAAAAAACACCTTTAATACTTATGTCTCAGGCATGCAACTTGGAATTAAATCAAATTAGGTTTTGCCCTTCACCGACGTTTTAAACACTGTATACTCAGTGTGTTACCTCCCGAGTGAAAGTTGGAAAAAATCACTCGGGTGGGACTCGAACCCATGACCTCCTGCATTCTAGTGCAGATGTTTTACCACTTACCACGGTGAAGGGCAAAACCTAATTTCATTTATATCACCATGATCACCCCGGCACAAAAAAATTCCATCTTATAACTTGGAATTAACTTTAAAAACCGAGGAAATTCCTATCTTGACAGGACTTTGTACAGTGATTTTCAATTTTAAATGGCAAAAATCTGAAGTGAAAAGTGAGGAAATCAGCTGATCCGGGGAAAAGTTGCATGCCTGATGCCTTTCAACTACCAATGCAAATCAGTGCACCACCAAATCACCATGGATACATGTATGTAATTGGGCTATGACATTTTTCCTGGAAATTTTGAGGTATAAATACCGGGTAGAGAGAGCGTATGTGGTATCTACAGTTACAAACAAAAACAGGAAACGCTTACATTTCAGGAACTTTATCCTGTGCCACAACGATCACAAATCAACATCGAGATTTCGCTTTATTTTTTTTTCTCAAAAACATCCCTGTTTGTAAAGAATATCTGACTCGCGAGTCACAAGTCCCAAGTGTCAAGTCTAATGCTGGACACCGTGCTCATACTGCCAACTTATCTGCAAATCTAAAATTGTTACGAATTAAAGACACTTAAATTTAGGTAAATTTATGTATAAGTACATGAATAATGCACTACCTGGTTGTTTTAGCTCATATTTTTCGATATCATCAAACATACATTCACACAATGCTCGAAGTGCTTCTAGAAAAAATATCCATGTTTGTTACTTGTTTAAAAACAGTCTTGTTCAACGTGGTGCAAATTGCTGAAAAAGTCTTAGTGAATCTATGAAAAAATCACCATCACAGGCTGTAGTTGTCAAAAAACTAAGAAAACAACTTCTTGATGCATATTTATAACTGTAATGTCTAAATTATCTGGTATTGTTATGTCTTAGTACCTGCATGCACACTCATTTGCTGTTGTAGTCCTTTGTCCTGTCTGTCCCATTGTCTGTCCCTAGGTTAGGGTACAAAAGCATTTTTGCTTCACCAAAACCTAAATGTTGTTCTTTGTGTAATAATTTGATATCAAACTTAACCTGTAATATTGTATTTCAACCTATTGTAAACACTGTACATCCAAGGACAGCATTGGAATAAATGTACTACTACTACATTTTTTTTTGTATGTCTCAGTCACTGATAGTCTGGTCTGAGTCTGAGTCCGATTCTTTGATCAATGTTACTCAAGTTGAGTCCAAGTCACCAAAATGTGACTCGAGATGGCCACATGTCCGAGTCCTGGACTTTAGGCCCCGTGGATTAATTCCGATTTGCGTGCGCCCCCGTGCGCCCCCGTGCGCCCCCGTGCGCACGCGTGCGCACGCAGGCAAGCTCGAACAAAGGAGATTTTGAACCCACTGGCCCGCATCGGCACGCATCGGCACGCATTGGCACGGACTTGCACGCAGTGGCACGCAAACGGGCTCAGTGCCAGGCGGTACAACATTACAAACAAACCGCAGAAATGCACAATAGACATCGTCTTGGACTTTAGCCATTGTGTCCCTTAATCCGCTCATTAGTTAATTGTAAACACTTGGCAGGGCCAAGCATGACTCATCTACTCTGGTGGTACCAATAATTACACGCGTTCCAAAAAGACAGGAAATTTTAACGAAATGATAAAAGTGCCCAGGAAAGGACAAGAAATGCCCCAAACATTACCGCGTGAGCCAGTACTTTCATTTAAAACACCGTGTAGAATTAAAATCTACTTGAAAAATCGAACTGTCTTTATCATAACTTTATAAATAAAAATGGTACGGACTGGTACACTCGTACCCAGAACTAAGTGCAGACTTTTATTGAAACAGTGGTATCAAAAGAAATTATTAAAAGCTTGCTGCACCTTGCCGCAAAGAAATTTTAAAGGTCGGGGTACAGGCCGGTCAGCCTTGGCAGATGAGCGTTCATTAGTCCGGGTTTTCAGGGGAAGGGAGGTATGTCATTGGAACTCCAGCCCTTTCATCGCAAACCTTTCATTATTTATCACAACCTCTTTGTCTGGTGCCGCCTTGGCCGGCTACCCAATTTCTTTTGTCAGCGTTAATCTAGGGATTAGTGTAGCAACCCTTGCCTGTGCTCAATAGCCCGCATAAGCACGCAATGGCACGCAGTTGCCCGCAACGGCACGCAACGGCACGCAATTGCGGGCAGACCCGTGCAGCACGGGGTAGCACGCATGAGCACGCGTGCGCACGCGTGCGCACGGGGGCGCACTCAAATCGGAATTAATCCACGGGGCCTTAGTCATACAACTGTGATGTCTACAGAGGGTTCACTCACCCAGTGAGCTGAGAAGTACAGCCCGACCACCTTGCCCTTGATGTCATCGGTTGTCTTTTTCTCCTCCTTGTTGTTGATAAGAGGGCCCGTGAATATCTCTGTTAAGACAAACAAAGTTACAGTTGTCTTGTCAACAAAACACTGATTGGAGACACACTAGATACTACTACTAAATATGCGGTACTTATAATTACATGCTTCAACCCTGTTGAATTGTTTTGTGAGAGGATGCCAAGGTCGATTGGTTATGGTGTTTGACTCATGTACATGTATGATGATACATGGGTTCGAACCACTGATCTCTATTTAAAAACTGGATAGCGGATATGCATACACCAGTCACACAGTAAACTTTGCATATTGACCAATTCGCCCCGGTCTCACGAAGATGGCCGCGTATATTACGAACGTTCTACGCGTATCAAGAGTTGACGCGCATTTTGGTCACGTACAGGTATTATGATGTTCTAAAAAGGACACATTTCCGCAGTGATTATTTTTTCCAAAACGCCGAAAAAGGAACTGCGGCATTAAAAAAAAGTAAACCACGACGTTAGAAAAATTGTAAACCGAGATCAGTGGTGGTGGTCAAAATATAAATCAAGTGAACCGCGATGTTACAACAGTAACCATGGTGCTATGAAGACGGCAACTTGTCCGTTGTAGATCACCAGCCGGTCTCACCAATATGGCGTCAAATTCATTCATTGTGCGGCTCTTTATCCGCTATCCAGTCTTTATATAGAGATCAGTGGTTCGAACCTGCCAGGAACATGATGTGCCCTTGGGCAAGACACTTAACTACAATTGCCTCTCTCCATCCAGGAGTATGAATGGGTACCTGTGAGGGTAGAGGACCAAATGTGCGCTGATATCGGCCGCCGCGTGGTCTATTGGCCTGATGAACGGGGGAATAATTGTAAAGCGCTTTGAGATTGTCGATACAATGTAAAGCACTACATAAGCATTGCAATTTATTAATTTTTTTCTCACTTAACCAGTTCACGACAGATGACATGCATACACAGAAAGGTTTTGCGATATTCGGAACAGATGACGGATAAACACGTAGCGAGCGAGGCCGGAAATATCTATCTGCGACCCGCTCGCAGCGAGCGAGGCTGGAAATATCAGGGTGTGCTACCCGCAGATGACGGCCTGAACCCGTCTGGCATCGAGGTTCGTGAAAAACAATCCCGCGTCTGGGTCCGGTCAATGTCAAAATAATCCTGGTGCGAACTGGTTATAAGTCATACTTCATGGGAATTCAAAGTAAATTGGGCATCACAAAACAATTGCAAATTGCAAATTTAATTTTCAAAATTTTGCAAGTTCCCAGTGCAAAAACTTGCCACGCGTTCGTGTTTGCTTTGACACAGAGTACGCAGAGGCCTTCAGGCAGCAGTTTCAGAGCAGTTTAATCAGTTTTCTTCCCTTGCAATTTACCAAAGTAAACTGCTGGGTGAAAAGGAAGCAGTTGTAGTAAAGTGTCTTGCCCAAGAACATCATGATCCCCCTCATGTTTTTTAATCCTCATTCTGCTGAACATGATGTAGATAACATACGAATAAAACATTTCTACCACTTCTTACATTCCGTTTGCTGCTCTGTATATGGCATTACTTCAGGTGTTTTCTTGTCTTAACACTGACCTTCAAATGGCTTGGGCGTCCAGGGAAAGTTTTCCCCCGTTGCGTCCTCCATGACCACGCTCCTCCCGTCGCCCTCGTTCACCTTGCCCGTGGCCGCATCCAGGAGAATTAGGGTGGGGATTCCAGACACTTTGAACCTCTGGCTCAACTTGGCCTGTACATGTACAAACACAGAAAAATGAAGTTCTTGCATATTATACCCAGTTTGTACATAGAATAACAAAGTACATGTTGTCGTATCTTTGCAATGGCGTGTGACGTCAAGTACGTGAAACACGTGTTTTCAATGTCAAAAGGTTGTATCTCGCTTAAAATAACCCGGATGTACCGGTGTAGCATGAATTTAGGTTTTATGAAATACGGACTCATTGGTGGTATTGTGCATGCTCATGCATAGATAATTAGGAGAGGGGCCGGTCACGTGAGAGGGTTTAACCAATAAAAGAGAAAAAGAGTCCAATTTTCATACGAGTCCGATTTTCATGACACCAGTACACACAAAGTCAATGGAATCCTTGTTGAACGGAGCGTATTCGCGCGAGCTAAATACAACTTTGTTGCAGAATCGTATGACGACCTTGTTGCACTGACGTGACGGTGTATCACTTTGGATGATATTTACTTTTAAACATTCTTGTTTCAAATCAGCAATGGTTAAAAATAACAAAATTTGCACTTACATAATGTAAAATCTGAATGGCACTGTTTGACATCATAGTGCCATCTGAGATAAAACATCACGAACACTAAAATGCACAATATAGAAATGAACATGCACACACTGACGATATTATACAGTGCTAAAACAAAAGGCATTTAAAACAGGACTTCATGACTAAAATAAACTTTCGGCAAAAGTTTCTTCCCGGATAATTTTAACACACTAGAAATAATAACGTAAGTTTTACACCTCTGGGTTTGGGTTAAGGCACTGACCTACGGTAACTCTGAAATGACAGACTTCTTAGAGTCAGACCAACTGCTCGTAATCAGAGGCTGTTGCAAAATCAAATTTTAAAAAATCCGCAACAAGTTAATTGGTTGGGATGATTGCAAGATGTTAATAACCCCAAGGCCTGTGGCTTGACACAAAATTAAGAGCCATGGCAACAATAAATGCATTGCATTGTAATTAGGCCCACTGTGCATACAAAACCCACACCGAAACTGACCACATCGTCTGTCAAATTGCTACACAAACAAGATTATCTCACTGACTTGATTGAAAACACCAACATGACCAAACTCTGTGATTCTAGGAGCACTAATTCAAACGTACGTCTTACAATGTACCTTCTATGGTGAGACAAAATCTTATACCGGTAGGTTTAGGTTGCTTTACCGAACACTTTAAAAACATAAAATACTTGTCTCCATATAAAAAAAAGACCTACATTTTGAAATTGGAGCTTTTGAAATCTTTTCAATTTTTGAAATCGTATGGGTTAAGGCCATTTCAATTGTGCACTTTATAACTTACAGTATTTTTTTATCCGTTTGGGATTTTTCTTGTAAGGGAATAAATGTGTGCTCGGGAGGTTTTAATCACTCTGTTTAAGACCGCTTGGAGTCTGGGTGCTGATAATTACCCGAGCCGGAGGCGAGGGTAATTACATTGTATCAGCACCCAGACTCCAAGCGGCCTTAAACAGAGTGATTAATACCGACCAAGCACATACTTATTTCCATTCATAATATACCTTTTTGGTCAAAAAATCTAAACTTTTCAGTCAAAAAACCTGATTTTGTTCAAAAAGTTCACTTCATTTTCTGAAAAATCCCTCTAGCTAAGTAATGGAGTGTCCAGCTGGCGAGTAAGCATGGTAAGATGTAAATAACTCCTTTTATGGAGATTGCCATGCGCGTCATGCGCGCTGTCGCGCAGAATGCACCTGGGGCGTTGCATTGTGAATTTAGGACTATAAAATTCTCACTCACTGGTACTATTGCGCATCCCTACGTGAGGATTGTGAACGTTCAACCAATAAAACAGTAAGAGGCACTGGATTTTTAGGAGTCCAAATTACATGTACAATGTACATGTACATGTGACTGGAAAAGCTAGGGTTTAAGACCGGCCAGCCATGTCTTTATCATCCGTTTAAGACCAGCCACGTGATGGGCTCTCGACCAATGGGAATGGGTAAACTGTATTAGGTATAAATGGATGTACGTATGTTTAACAGACGAGTCCAGATTTTCAAATTAGGGCTCTCTAAATTTCCATAAAAATTCTTTGTCAAAAGTGATTGACTTTCATCTGACTGATTTCAAGCAAAATATGAATTACTAAACAACATAATTTGTAGTTTCGTGGCTTCAATGCATGTTTTTGTGGTGCTTTTGCGGTCTTTTTCCCAAGTAAAATATTTTACAAAAAAATCAACTGCCTACCGGTATTTCTAAACTGAATCACCTACACATATTTCTGTTCTAAATTTTGGTTTCAATAGCCCTATTTGATGTTCCGAATCTCACTTTCGGTTTGAATAGGCCTACAGCTCTTACAATAAACCGCATGCCGAACTGCATGTCTACACATGACAGACAATGCACAATACAGTGTAGGCCTACACAATACAGTGTACAATCATGGTATTGTAGCTGCCTGGAAAAGGTTTTTTCACAATCGTTTGTCCGTGGCATGTTATGTCAAGCTGTTTTTTTTATTATGACTTGAGTCAGAGAAAAACAATTCTGGGCAGCAAATTATGAAGATTGATTGCATTGACAAAAGGGTAATGTTGTTGGCACATGTCATGCATGTGTACATGTACAAACATGTCGCATTCGTTGGGAATTACGTCAATATTTCAAGAATTAAGTTTTTCTGCACATGCGTATTCTTGATCTTCCTACAGACAGTAGGGGTGTGCATTTACGGGTAGTACAGGAACCGGATACCCTATTGAAAAAAAATGCGGGTATCCGGTTACTCGTTAAAGAAACCCAAGCCCAAAATTCAAATCTGGGAAGTTGCTGTTCAGATTGTTTATAAAGGTGCGCATGATAATACTACCACATCGGTGCGGCAATACGGCTAGATAGGGTGTATACAGTGAGCTCTTTAGCTATGTGGTGAAAACTGCAACTTTCACAAGCAGCAGAAAATGTGAAATTGGTTTTGGTTTTCCATGTATTGCGTTTTTCATTGGACATCAAATTTTTCCACTGATATTCGAAACATTTCTTTTTCATTGACTGAGAAGTTTTACCAAGTAATTTGTAAAGTTGGTTACGGGTACCCGATTCCATAATCTAGCACCGGTTCCTGACATCAGCGGTCGGGTACTCGGATACCCGGTTCTGATGCACAGCCCTAACAGACAGGCAGCTAACTTGGAAGTTACAACAAAAGAGAAACTTCCAAGCTTTGCAAGACTTTTATACAAGTGTTTTAAAACTAGAAATTTCATCAGTGTAAAGTGTAGAACAAGGAAATCAGCAGAGAGGACAATTTGTATGCTTTTAAAGATGAGCGAAGAAGAGGATACATTGTAGGACCAGATGAGATTCAAATTTTGAGGCCAGTGAATGAAGAAAACTTTTGTAACAAATCAAATCAACAAGGTAAAGTTTGGAACAGGACGAGTTGCGTGTCCGTCATCATGCCCGACACAAGTAGTGAAGCTGCAGTTGAACAATGATGATGATAATGAAAGTTTTTTTTCCAAATACAGCATGTTTTTGTGTGAGGCATATTCTTTTGTTACGCATTTTTTTCAATGAGTTTGGTTTGTTACTAACTCTGCCAAGGAGGTTAAGTTTTCATCAGACTTTGTTGATTGGTTGGTTGTTTTGTTTGTTTGTTTATAACAAGATAACTCAAAAATTTATGGACGGATTTGCATGTAAAATTTTTTAGGGGTGGTCCTTGGTACAAGTACAAATCCATTAGATTTTGGAAGTGATCCGGATCTGGGTCTGGATCCAGGATTTTTTGAAAGGATTCTTCACCATTTATGCGAGTATTTCTGTTGGATGTACTGACAATATGGTGGGGAACTGTTTAGCCTTGGCGGAGGTTTGGGCTCTCTGAGTGCTTTCTAGGTCGAGTGTGATTTGTTGCTTCAAACACCTCATGCAGAACATGCAAGAAATCTTGAAGTGGGCGGGGAACGATAAAGAGTCTTAAGGCAAATGAATCAGGGACGGCTTTGAATGTGACCATGTGTGCATCACGTACATACCAGGAAGTCTGCTGGCGAGTTACATGCAGAGAACATGAGTAATCAACTGCAAGAAAGCCATAATGTGTTCCATGTGCATGCAACAGTACAAGTGCGAAGTCATCATGACTTTTACACAATGTTTTAGAATTGCCAAAAGGCAATAAAGCGAACTCTGACGCTAAACAGTTTTAAAACAAAAAGAATCCCCAATCACTTAAGAAAAGTGGCAGCTAAATTCTTGCGTTTAATTATAAAGAGTAAACAGATGTGAAACAATACTGTTAAACATTTTCAGGAAAGAAAGACCAAGTGGCAGGTTCTTACGATCTTATCAAAAGGAAGTCACTATTTTCGAGAAAGCTACCGATTAAATGACACAGCCAAAAACCCACATACACCTCAATAGCCAACAAAGCTGGCCTTGTTCACCAGGAAGCAATTTGTGTGTCCGCCGCGAAAAGGGACATGTAGGCGTACATGTACACGTAACTGATTCCACAAAAGTAGGCGTGGGGTCAAGGTGTTCTACAATACATTTCTACATTTGAAATAGCATCAGCATTGGACTGATCAAATTAAATATTGTACCAGCATGAATAATTTGGAACTTCACATTTCAACCTTATGACTTCCGTCTGAAAAATTCATGCTTTGCAGAGTTTGCAATAAATCATTAAAGGGAATGTACAACATTTGCGTTTGCTGCAATTTTCAGAAATAAATGGATTTGGAGGATTAGTATGTTATAGAAAATAATGTTAAACTGACTTGTTTCACATTTTGGGCTTGTACAATGTAGATGCTGAAAAAACCAAGAAAACCTATCATGTTCTTGTAGTCTGGTTCCCTGACCCCACTTAAGATGAAACAGAGCAATTAATACCCTTTGGGGAATTGTAAGGTCAGAGAATCAGTCTAGCAGGTGTGTACCCCTTCACAGGTGTGTAATCAATTGCCAAGGAAAGTCAGAATAACTTACCTTATATGAAAAACTAGGAACAGTTTTTGAAAAAAGCCAGTTTTCTCCAATGCTGGTCTGCTGACCAGCATTGGAAAAAATACAGGTTTTCTTTAAAATGTCAGAACACCATTATTTTGAAGGATGCTTTAGACTGCCTTTCCCTAACAGTTCAGTAAGGTATTTTGTGATAATTTGATCATTTCGTTTTGTGATGATGGCAAATGTTGTATCTTCCCTTTAAGTTCTGTCACATACACAATTCAATTGAATATGATTGATGTTTTGATCACCTCATCATGTACATTGCTATGTCACTGTCCTTGTAATTGCACTTTGTGGGTTGGTGGCTTTCAAGGAAATTGCCGAGTGTTTTTGTCTGACAAGTTTGGTGTTGTAAAGTGCCATTCTTCATGCACGTGGCAGCTGAAAATTGATTTACATGTTGGTGAGATCACTTTTGTCATAGCAGTTTTTTGTATCTGGGATGGCATTTGTTTAAAGGGAATATACAACATTTGCAAACATCGAAAAATAAAACTACCAAGTTTTTATGAAATACATGTACCTTACTAGGATGTTTGTAAATGACAGTCTAAAGCAATAAGCATCCTGTAAAATTATGGCACCTGGTGTGAAGTCAGTTTCAAGAAAATGGTATTTTTGTATATACGGCCGACCACCGTTGGAAAAACCTAACTATATTTCAACTACTGCTCCAAATTTACCTTTTTTCAGTCCAAATTTTGTTTGGTATTGGTTACATGTTCATGAATGGGTGCAGGCCAGCTAGACTGGTTCCCTTACCTCACAATTTTCTGGCAACTATAAATTGATCCATTTCATCTTTAGTGGGGTCAGGGAACCAGACTACTTGAACAATTTTGTTTTTCTTGGTTTTTCCAGCATTTTCGAACATAAAACTTCAAACATGTCAGTGTAACAATATTTGATATATTATACTAACCCCTCAAATACTCCATTTCTGAAAATTACAGCAAAAGCCAATGATGTACATTCCCTTTAAAAGGAACAGCTTTCTTCAAGGTAGAAAAAAATGGACCATTTGTCATTGTGCATTTTGTTTCGTTTAACTCTAACCACCCCAACCCCATAAAAATCCATCCCCCCATTTTTGGTGGATTTTGGGGACCTGGACTAGAACGGTCCGGCGTGACTAAATATTGATGGAGTATGATGGACTTGGGCCTAATGGCCTGAAGCAGTGCTAGGGGTATCCAATTGATTTTGCTTAGCTTCGTGTGCTGCTATTGTGATAAAAGCCATGTGTAGCAAGTCCATAAATGTCAACCAGGGTGTCAGTGGTGGATTTCATTATGTCATGTACAGTTTTGAATTGGACGCACAGTGATCGATGGATTTTGATGGACTTACATGTAGTCAGTTCCCAGTAAAAGAGGCTAGAGAGTTAGGGCTAAAGCAACAATCTTTAGCTCAATATATCTAAAGATGGCTGCTTAACAACTAACCCAATGAAGTTTTAGCTCTGTGAATGCTGTATATTTCGAGAAAACACGATGTTTGGGAACTTCCATTTCAGTTAAAAATTGCCATGGATACACATCAGATATGGAATTGCGCCCTCTCATGACACAATTCTGAACTCGGCATTCCCGGGACAAGATTTAGCCGATTGTGCGTCCTGTCAACGCTTGTACCCATTCACGGTTTTGCCCAATTACAAACCAACTACAAACAGACAATTCCAAAAATGTGTCACTTGACACATCTTTGGAAATGACCTTCTCTTATTGTTGTTGTTGAACTTGCCAGGGTGAGATGGTTCATTTTAAGCCCAATCATAGACAGCCAGATGGACCCCGCCGTGGTGCTTACCTTCAAGTCTCGCTTGCTAAACTCCAGGGCTAGCCAGGGCATCTCATTGAAGTACTCCTGGAAGGACGTCTCGTCGCTGTCCGAGCTGACAAAGACGATCTCCAGATTGGCACCCTTGGCCGTGGCCTTGAAGTTCTTGTACCACTCGGCCAGCTTGGGTGTGAACCCGCGGCATGGCGGGCACCAGTGGGCAGAGAAGTACAGGCCCATTACCTTGCCCTCCCCAGACAGGGAGCTGACGTCCACTGTGGACTTGTCCTTCTTGGTCACCGTCTCTCCGAGGAGGTCCACTAAGGCCATGGTTGGTTGATCTGCAATGTGGTAGCTGGTTGGGAATTTCAAACTGGAAAAAATGGGGCAAATGTCTTACAAGAAAAATTCACTCACTTGTAGGCTACTGGGCTCTTGGAAAATTAAAAAAAAAATATGCCCAAACCACAACTCTAATCATCTCTTTAAAGATGAATATCGTGAATTTTGCATCCCCTTTCCAACTTTTTGATTGCGACTAGCGTTCGACCGACAGTCAGCCCCCCCCCCCAACTCTACCTGTTTACTAGATGTATTAATTCTATTCTAGCCAGATGAAGCAGCTCAAACCTGATTTACGATGTACACCACCTGTGTCTGCAAGTGATTTCTGACCATGCTGACTGTGTTACAATCGTTCACCAATCAAAATTACAAAGTGTTAAATACATCCCTCATTTTTTTTTCTTTGGGCATGTGCACAAATACATGTGTCATATGTAAGATAACCAACTATTGGTTCGAACTGAGCAAACGTGTAGTCTATGTAATAGACCATGGGGAAGAGCCATGGTCTATGATATGTGAGCAGATTCGCTGATGGGCAATTCCACGGTTACTCACGTTACATTTTTGATGTACTTTAGAGTTTCCTTGGGCTGTAATTACCTTACTGAAAAGGTTGAATAACTGTTATCCCCATGGTAGATAGAGTAGACCTAGACCTACCTAAGCACCAAAGATGACATCCAGAAAAATGTGTTATGTGTGATAAACAAGACGCTCAAAATAGGTCACTCGCGTTGTAACGTGGAATTGCCCTAATTAATTATGCAAGACAACCACCTCTTGACCTCTAGATTTTGACCAATCAGCAGGTGCTTTCTATATCGGGTCTTCGGTCATTCACCCGTTGTCGCGTCATAGACATGGATTAAAAAAAAACCTAGACACAGCAACAAAGGCTATCGTCATGCGCTCTTATGTTAGGCGATACGCACAAGCTTGTCTAGATTTTATCAATCTAAATGCCCGGCCGTAATTGGTAGGCCTATATATTAAAAACACTGCAATCGAATTGACCAATCAAACATTTAGTCCTGATTTGGGAATGAAATGATGTCACGATTTAGTAAAGTCAACTCTGATTGGCTGAGTCGCGGGATCACATAAATCTGCATGCCTAGATATATCATTATCAGACGTTATACAGGAGACTGGGCTCCGTGGATAATGGTTAATACTAAGACTAGCAAACGTGCAGCTTGATGGGAGAACGTAGGACTGCGGGTCCGCTGTATGTAGTTGAGACCCATAATTAACACTTTCAATTTTTTTTTCTTAGTGATCCATGGCTTTTGAAAATTTTTTTTAAAGGGAAATAAAGTCAGAGAACAATTCAGTTGATGGTCTGTTTCCAAGAGCCGGAGGACCTGACGTTACACGGTCGACTGCCGTAACGATAGCCACTGCGTAATAATTTATATAGGCTAACTGCTGACTTTACATTAAATTGAGTTTACATTATATCTTGCAAATGTAGTAGGATAGGACGCTTTATTATCGTGGTACTTATCACGTTTCTCGATTGGAGTAGAGACTGCTCGCTAAACCTTCCATGAACTCTCCTGTCTTCTTAGTTTACTTTTCACATTGATATTATAAACAAAGTGCTTCGGTGGCTGTTGCATGAGTGTCATTCAATTCTGGTCAACAGCGCACGCTGCAGGCGCACTTCATATCTATGATTACTGTATGACAGGCAACAGCCACAGACGTACGGTACTTTGGCAAAGTTTACGCACGTTCGGTAAACTCAAGCAGATTACAGGAAAATGGACGCCATCATGTTCGAGTGTGGTCGAATGTCATCGGAATTCTGCCCGAAATTACTAATTAGACCTCTGAAGGTACTGAATTCAACAGTTTGTTTTTGCTATAAATGCTAATATTAGTAATAAACAGTTCAGTAACGAATGGACAATAATCAAGTGACAAGATAAATTCATTTTCTGGAAAGATTCCCATTTCTGGCCATCACCCTGTGCACAAACCGTATGATCTAGCAAATAGTAATGGACATTTCCACACATTTTTGAATGCTGTATGGTTCTAGCTGGAGTTACCCAGCCCTGAGTTTTATCATTGGGTTGTCCTAGATGACAACCCAATGATAAAACTCAGGGCTGGGTAACTCCAGCTAGTATGGGGCTATACTGTACTATTTTAAAGGGAATATACATCATTTGCTTTTGCTCTAATTTTCAGAAATGGATGGAATTGGGGGGTTGGAAATATAAAGCAAATATAGTTACACTGACTTTTTGGAGGTTTTGGGTTCGAAAATGCTATAAAAACCAAGAAAAACGATCATTTTCCTGTAGTCTGGTTCCCTGACTCCATATAAGAAGAAACAGAGCAGTTTACATACATTGGGGAATTGTAAGGTCATGGAACCAGTCTAGCTGGCTCGTACCCGTTCAAAGGTTTGTAATCGATTGCAAACAAGTGCAATGGTCAATTGGGGCCAGTATTTGAAAAAAAGCCAGTTGTTTCCAACGCTGATCGGCCGATCAGCGTTGGAAATTGATACAAAAATACCACTTTTCTTGAAAATGACAGAATACCAGGTGCCATAATTTTACAGGATGCTTTAGACTGTCATTTATCAACATCCTATTAAGGTATTTCGCAAAAACTTGGTAGTTTTATTTTTCGATGTTTGCAAATGTTGTATATTCCCTTTAAACTACTGTGTTGTACTACTAGTACAATGTAGTAAGGCTATCGGTGATCGCACGACTACACTACGAAGCTTAAGTACAGCCTGGGCGGCAGGCCTGGGGCGCCCGACGAACTCCGGGCTGTCCTGTGTCGGGAACGTCCTGGTCCTGCAGGCTGCAGTGCTGAACACACTCCAAACGTAAACGGGCACGTTACGTTAAATTTGCATTTTCCATGTTTTCTCTCTGCAATTCAACCAACACTGTGTGATACGAGATGCAAAATGTTAACTCATTAAATTCATGATCATGGGCCTACCTATCTGGTTTTCTCCGTCGATTTTCTTTCACTTCAGACTTCAGATCGGAACTCCAGTCTAAAAAAGCTAGGGATACGTCACACCAGGTGGAATGTTACCCCGGGAAATGGCAAAATCGTTGAAGCGTGATGAATGTAGTCAATGCGCTTAGCTTCAACTTGTAGCCTGTGTGGCACTTCTTAGTGCACTCTTATACCTATGTATGTCTATCATCAACTACACGTTAAGAGGTTTACTACCGCCCGGCTTTCCTGAAACTAGTCTCGTCAGCAGTCGTGCTAAGAGGTCATGACTATAAATAGTAATGATGCCTAGCCTCGACACGTTGTCAACTCCATCCTACTCAGGATGGTGCAACAATAGAATAATGCATTGTAATAATTTCCAAAGTGATGTGAAAGTATAGGCATGGAGCTAGGAAAGGCAACAACTCATCGATGAAGAATTTCAAGTGACCATATGACCATTGCGCAAGTTGTAAGAAGATAGTGCTAGTAAAAGAATAACTGAGTCATTAAAAAGTGTTCAAATAATGCCATGCATTATAAATGCGTCTTAGATCATAATGTTACATATTGCACCCCGTCCAAATCTTAGATTAAAAAAAAAAACCACTGTGTTATTATTACGAGGAGTCTTATGCTTTATTTGTACGGCCCCTTATGCTAATAATTCCGGATGGGAACTGAGTATTTTTCTGACGGAAGTCAGCTTTTGCAAAAGCTGCCAAACAAAAGGTGTTGTGACAACCTGTTTAACCCCAACGTATATAAATCTTACGTTTGGTCTTACGTTTGCAGTGGCGTGGGGATGATTACTGACCAACAACTCAACTTATTTTTGGCTGCATTTTAAAGTGACTCCATCACAATAAAGTTTCACTCTCTCTCAATCTGTCTGAATGACGAGTTTTGTTTTTGTTTTTAATATCATTGAAATAATATTCAAAATATATGGAGTCATGACAAAAGTGAAATTTTAAGCATTAACTGCACTGGTAAACTCAACCGTGAATTTTTCTGATTATCAAATCAGACATTGCCGATGAGGGCGCTGCACCGATCTCGCTGCTGTTAGGCCAACAACAAAAAAGTCTCCGGTTTCTGGTATGGAGCTTGCCCAAAAAGTGGTGCGGCTACGCGGCTTTTTTTTTTTTACCTCATTTGTTTGCTTCAAATGTCGGCTGATGACTGCAAATGGTGCAAATATAATGGGAGTCCAGAGAGGCCACATAAAGCTTATTCTCGACCATAACCCAATCTAAAAACACGTTAAAATTGTGCAGCAGCAGGATTTCAGTCAAACCAGTGAGTTTGGCGGTTTTGAGACATCATCTTTCATTGAAAAAAAAACTTTTTCATTTTGCCGATTCAAGCACTTTTCTCAACTCTAGCCGGTTTGTAGTCTCTTTCGTAAAAGTTTTGGTTTTTACAATTCAGTGTTGTTTTCTTTCATTTTGTCATTTGTTTTTCTGTCATCATCCTTCAGCATTCTTTTGATCATGGTAATTTTTGTTATCTTTCCCCGCTTAAGTCACCTAAGATATTTTTTTTGTTTTAATTCATTCATTGTTTTGTATCTTTGCCTTTTAATCATCCGTCCCCGTTTTAGTCATATTTGGTGTTTTTTGATCTCGGTAATCTCCCCGCAATTTTTGGGTTCATGTTTAAATTCATTGGGTTTTTTTTCTGTCAGTGTCTTTCTTTTGGAACGTTTTAGTGCTTGTCTATATATGTATATATAATGTACTTGCTTTTTATGTATTAATATGCTTTTTTATGGCTTTTTAATTTTTTAATTTTTTATCTATTTTAGCTTGTTTTAACAGTACTTGTACGTTGGCTGTTCCTTGCCTTTCTTTATAATGTTGTGAAAATGGCTAAATAAATAATAATAATAAAAAACTTAGGGCATTTACGAAACGAACAGGATATCCTGCTTATAAACCGAACCTCGTGTTTTGCAGAAATAGTCAAAATGGTCTATAGTACGGTAGCTAGGCTAGGTCTGCAGGCTGCACCACAGCAACAGCCACGCTCATAATGAGGATAAAAATATTGACATAATGATGCCTCGGCATGTTCGTCACCGTAGCAACCAGATGCTATCAACAGGGAACTGTTGCGCATAACAAATGGATAGCTCAATATAGTACGTGTTCCACGAAATTGCGGCATTTTATCATTGAATCGAAAAGCGTCTTGAATGTTCTACGAGCTCGTCGGCTTGGTAGACGGACGAGAATTTAAAAACGATAACGTGAAATTATGGACAAACTGTTTCTGTGAGTATTCCATAATATTCTATGTGTTCCGTCAACGCCGGGAGACTGTAATACTAACGCGCGAAACACTAGATCAGTAGGAATTGACATTCCAATGGACCTGTAGATAAAAATAAGAATAATCTGTTTGCAATATTATTAAAACACAAAAAAAATGGGGAATGATATTGCAGTACCTGTCCTCCGTATTCAAAAGGTTGGCAAGTGGCGTAAACCTGGGGACATCAACGCCTTTGAGAATGAGGTACAATCAGGTGATAGGCTGGAGTTCCAGCGCAGATGGTTTAGTTGTTACTCACACTGGGGTATATACGTTGGTAAATATGAAGGGATGGAACACGCTGTCGTTCATTGCAGTGTAACCGAAGGAGGTTGGACATTCTTCAAAGAGAAGACATCAGGCAGTGCGTCTTCTGCCAGTCAAAAGCCAAAGATACTAGCTGATACGATTGGGAATATTCTCAACGGTTCTGGCTGGGTGAGGTTCAACAACTCAAAAGACAAAAATATACAGCCTTTGTTTCCTGGAGACATCAGTGAAAAAGCTAAGAAAATGCACCGAGACGAAACGCCGATTGATTACAATCTCATCAAGAGAAACTGCGAGCACTTCGTCAATCTTTGCCGATACGACAAAGCCTTCAGCGAGCAGGTTAACAAGGCCGAGTGGAACATGATGGGATGCTTCTTCCTGGGTAAATATCTTAATCTTAATTATGTAAACCATAATTGAAAGGTTGGCCTGGTGTTTTCCTTTTAAATTCACCATTTAGTACGACTGTTTTTACTTATGTTTGTCCCCAAAATCCCTTCGCGCTGCAGCAACTACTCGAGGTACAATTCTTTGTACGTATATTCTACTTTTTAAAAATCTTTCCACCTATTATCATTTGGCGCGATAGATTTACTAAGGGCCCAACATGGACTTGTGGAGCACTTTTTAGAGCGCATTCCGGACAAAAATGACCTTTTATGCAAAACTGGGGTTGGACCTCCCCATCACCCCCTACTCCGCCTCGATTTGCGCCATATTCCGAATCGCACAGATGAATAGTGGTACTTTACCACCCCTCCCCCTTCAGCCCACCCAACCCCCTAAAAACCCACACAAAAAAACATCGCTTCTGATTGTCTAGTAATAATTGAATTCTAGTCTAGTAATAATTTCGTTTTCGTTTGTAATTGTGTTCATTTGCAGGCTGCATAGTGTGCCTCGCAGCTAGTCTTGTGGCTTCTTATGCTGTGTTGGTTTCAGATGCGTGATCACATTGCGTTGCATACCCACGCTATATTGGAAAAGCTTGAATCACTGGAAAAAGCCTTCTTGTCATAAATTAAGCAAAAAGCAGGAAGAGTATGAAATTCAAACGTTTTAGTTTAAGCATATATGACTCTGCGCAAATGCATCCTTCAGGGATCGATATATTTCAAAAGACATTTCATTTACACGTCCCTTCCGGTCATGGGCGTCGCCAGGATTTTTTCTAGAGGGGGGGGGGCAAACATATTTTTGCCCAAAAAATCCTTTATTTCTCACTCCTTGCCCCCCCCCCCCTCGCGATGCCCATGCTTCCGGTTTGATGACGTCATAAAATTTGTAAGAGAATACTCACGTAGTTTAGACAGGTTATGCAAGATAAAGTGAACCGAACTATAAACATAACACGGACGTATATAATTATATATGTATTAATGACACCCAACTTCTGGTACGATCACGTCACTAGCATTAGGATAGCCGTCGTCAATAATGAAGCTGACATTATTATTTGGCAACAATGATCCCAATAGGTACCGAATGATGGATTTTAATTAATTAAGTAATTAATTAATTTATCTATTTCATTTCTTTACCCAGGGTATGCCTAAACAGTTTAAAACTGGGTTCCATTGGGGCCCTGAAAAAATGCAAAACAAATATCATTTCTGCAGTCTCCCTACAATAACTTCCGGCATGATGACGTCATTATTATGAAACTTGCAATGTAATTTTTTATTGTCCAAAGAGTGTTTAAGGGCAATTTGGAAACATTTTGAAAAATGGTTTTTACATTAAAAAAAATTAACTAGAGGGCGCCCTTTCAGGTGATGACGTCATCATGACTTTTAAAAAGTTTCCCACCCCTCTTTAAACACTTTTTGAATTAGTATTACTGCAGTACACTGCTTTCGTTTTGAAGTTATTTTCATTTATCATTGGACTTCTGGCAGAATAAAAAAAATGTTGCCCGAGGCAATGTATGCCACGCCGCTAAAACGAACTGAAATAAATTAATTTCAAGATATATAATTCGAAGTACTTTGTTAGATTTTGACTGTAAATAGCTTGTAAATTTATATGTGATGACGTCATGATGGCGTCACATTCTCCCCCCCCCCCCCCGCATATTTGGACAGGGGTTCATGTTTGTACAAGGTTTCATCTTAATCACTTGAACCATTTGTGTGAAATCAATTTTGTTTTAATATTGAATTCACCAAACTTTGACCTTCCTTTAATCCCGGAAGTATCAAGTTCGTGAGTAATGGATTGATTGAAACATAGGGTTTTGATTTAATACCTGTCGACGTCATCATGACGTCACACTTGTATGCACACCTCTGTATCAGGGTTGATGTTCATACCTATTGAAGTTCATGCGTTGTTCCGTTTGAGAGAAAAGCCGCGGAGATGTAACGTCCAGGAAAAACTAAAAACAAAACACGAACACTACTACTAAAGAAGAATGAAGACATAACCGAAGGTTGAGCCAAGTCACCCTATTACTAAGCACATATTAACTTATAAAAATATTAGTAGATGATAACAATGTGAACACATTTTTGGGTATGGTATAAATCTGATGATCTTGCGTAAGAAGCATTGATACCATTTTTGACTTTTCCTTGGTGCACAAAAAATAGTTGTAATATAAAATGAAGATACAACTTAAACAACAAACATGCTGTCCGGTTGATAGTTTCTGCTGTTTGCTAAAATCCCATTTGAAAATCTTGATTCGGTGAGTTTTGTAGGATCTTTTGACAAAAAAATCGATCCTAAGTTATTCCTAAGTTTGTAATTTTTAAATAATTGTTTGAAGGAAATTGTTTGAAATTTGTTGACCAGTTATTTAATTAATATATTTTCCCATTGTTCCATTAACGTAATGGTTTGTATAGGACGACTGCATGGTTAGATATGTTTAAATCAGTAATCCTATATAGATACCAACGGTGTTAAATTCACATCATAGTTTTTACATTGTAATAACTTGTATAATTCAAGTATATCAGTGTACTTTTTGCCGATTTCTGGTGCCTTTTTGGAAGCATTTATAAAAACCACCGTGTCTCTATCATGATGGCCTAATTCAAATTTGTTACATGGTTTGTGTCGCTTTAAAGTGTTCTGCTTTGAACGCGTGTTACTTTGAATTGATTTCCATGTATTCTATATTGGTGTTTTTTAATGAAAGTTGGGCGTTCAATTCACTCAATTCAATTCAATTCAATTCAATTCAACTTCATATTTCAGTTTTCTTTACCGCTTTAATTTTATGGGTGTTTGATTTTAATGACGATGAGATTGTACATCATGTTTTAGTGCTCTGTATGAAGCTAGCTAGTATAGTTTAAAACGTCAGAAGCGTTTTGGCAGAGGTGGATTGTGTCGTTTTGGTAAACCTTTATTCTTGATGCACTGCACATTACAGTAACTATACCGCAATTATATTGTACAGTATTGCATTCTATCTAGAATTACTGACTTGTATGGTATCTATAAAAAATTAATGAGCTGCATTTTAGTGTCATTAACATTTTGCAACAGTGGCACATGCCTGCTCCCCCTCCCTTGACAGGTACTCCCCTCCCCTGAGCCCAAACATGATCCGCCCCTGCATACACAATCAGTAGGCTATCTCATCATTTTTAATAGTGTCATTGGCAATAGAGAAATTAATGCATTAAAAGTAGTGGTAAAAAAGCTGTCTTATTTTCATGCAGTTCGTTGTCATGGAAACTTGCACTAATTTTACGGAAATGTCATGGCACACACCAAAACCGATGCAAAATAGGCCGTCAGTTGCTTCTGACGTCACCACCTGCGTACACCACCCACCCGGGGGCAGCAGGTACCCTCCGTCGATGGGGGCGCTGTTCAAAACCAACGATTATGCACACAAACGGCCAATAATTTTCATGGTGCTTTTCAGGGCGATACATGTGTGAAATTCAGAAAAAGGCACACACAACGGCAGTTGCAAAAAAGGCACCACTTATTTTTGAAAAAGGGCACTTGTTCAGAGCAAAAGGGCAATTCGTTGAAAAAAAAAATGGGCATTTGAATGGAAAAAGGCAGTCTTTATAAATTAGTGGGGGAGGGGGGAGCCTCAATACCCCCCTTACCCCTCCGCTGGCTGCGCCTATGCCCCCCCCCCCATAGGGGGCATCGTCTGGAAGTATATAGCATCGTAAGGTTCTTAAGTGACTGGGCAGTTATACATGTTTTATGTTGTTTATCACATTTATTTGCTTTTTTTTTTTAAGATGATAACATTTTTTTTTATCCAGGTCACTTTCGTTTGACTCGCACTGTAGTTTTGCAAAATGTTGGCACGATCGGTCAAAATTCAAACACTTTTATTGTCATTTCGAACAATAATTACAAAACAAATCTGGCAATCATTTTATGAAAAGGTGAAATTTCGAGAGACGATCTTTAGGGATTAAAAACTAGAAACCTTTAAGATTTGAATCGTGCATCAAATGTTGTATTCGATATTTCATTTGCCTGTAAATATTGCGATGCAAGTTTAAAATAAAAATGGTTCAAATGACCAATGACATTGAATAAACCGAGTGACAAGAACCAATTAAGATTAGACTTGTTTCAGTTTTATCTTAGTTAATTTGTGTATGATACTCGTAGCCTTTGTACAGTTGAAATTAGGCTTTTGAGAATTACACTTTCAAAATGATTAGCCTACTTGTTCAGCAACTTGATGTTCTAGTTTGAAAAAAAAAAAAATAGTGGGACCGATGAAATGATTTACTAAATCGTCTTCACGAGGAAAGTTTGGTAGGCCTACACCTTGTCGAACCCTCAGATTTGTTTTGAAAAAGAAAACAACCTGGAAAGTATAGTATTTGAGATATATTTGCTGAATGGAAACACATGCTTTAAGATGGGTGGTCAGTATACCTGCCCCCCTTTCATGGACGTTCAACGGCAGATCCAGGGGAGGGAATTTTTTTTTTAAATGACGTCGCAAAAAAGGCAGCCACTGCCTACACCACCATCTTTTGCTAAAAACAATTGGTAAAAGTGGTCAGAACTTGCCTCAGATCGCACCACAGAGCATCTCGAATAGGCGGGCCCCGGACCCAACGCCGTAAATATTTTATTCAATTTGTTTTTGGGGGGAACAATTTTTTTGCCCCCCCCCCCCTCCCAAAAAGATTTTGTTGTGGATCAGCCCTTGTTGACGTTAGCCTATACAACTAAATGTATAACAACTACGCGTACAAGGTTAATTTCATGTATACGCAATTCTACCAGAGAATTTGCACCCAAGTGTGGTGATTATTTTGTGAAGTGAAGAGAGCCGTCGAGAGTTACTCGGGGTATCTTGAAGCTTGGTGGCGCTCTTGCAGAAAAACGGAAAAAGTGGAAATCCCACCCCCCTCCACTTTATGGAATCTTCGAAACTTCAAAAGTACCCCCTCAACGGCGAGCAAAATAGAGGAATTAGAGGTGAGGATGGGTTCACAATCCCATTATTATATTTTCATCATTTTTTTTGTTGTTATCAACTTGCCAGAGCCTTTTCTACCGCAATACTAATCTTATTGATCCTCGTTAAGTTTCATCGGATAAGAACAGTGATGAATCTACGGTAATATTCACACCGTGCACGTAACGACCTGGATCCGTGATTTAGCAGCTTCGGTCGATTAAGTCGGCAGCAGCGAAGAACGGAAGACAAACATTACATTGGAGCACGGAGAGATGAAATCGATAAACTTGTATCATTCGTCAGTGACGAGGCTGAACACGGAGGCCAGAAACGAACTAATTAATATAGAGGTTTTTGGGGGGCTGCTGGTTTGAGAGGAAAATGAATCACACGAATTATTCAGTATTGAGATGCGACAGACAGCCTTTACTCCAGGAATTTCATAATTAGGACCAAAGAGGTAGACACAGAGGAGAAAGGAGTGATATTTTATACTAGAATATTAATGGATGTGTGATTGACGTTTTAAGAACCCTTGCCTCCTTCCCTTTTTCAGGGGTCACTCAATTCACCAGCTATCCATAGGCTGGTATAGGATGGGGTGAGAAAACCAGACAGATATATCTTCTTTAGAAGACAGTTCTTGTCATTTTTCTGTTGCTGCATAACTTTGCAAATTAATTATGGAGAGTGATTGAGGAAGCTGAGGGAGATTCATGCAATTACAATACAGCGGCTAAGTGCGCTAGCTGGTGTTGACAATACAGGAAGTATCCCCGATCTCCTCAAATTACTTTAGCGAGTAATAGTAGCATCCCCTCCCTAAAAGTTGAAGCACAGTTAAATCATAATGCAACGCCATCTCTATTGCACGCATTGTCAGATCTATGTTTGCTCTAACCACTGTTTAATGACAACGTGGTGCTAGCAGCACGAATACCAAGGACCCTGTCCAACTTTCTCTTGTTGTTTCCAATCCTCTTACACCTTTTGTTGGTCTCACTTAGCGATACGGGGCCATAGTCAACAAAGTTCGACCCTATTACTAGGGGAGCTGACTATATCCAATAATAAAATTGCAATGAGCCGCAACAACAGAGCTTCATGAATAATTCATAGATGATGGGCCTTTCGGCCTGCGGATGTACCGTTAGAGGAGTTGAGTAAACGAAGAGGATGTACGATAACAATAGGCATCGTTCATCATCTGTAAACTACGGTAATCTAACGGTATGCTGTGACTGGAGACCTCGGGCTAACACAGGGCTCTCACTGCGCATTTCTGCATACAAGCACACCTGTCTCGCCTCCCCTTGAAACCAAAAACATTTCTTGTCATCTCGGTGAAGACGAAAAGTTCCGACAGGACGGTATTACGGAGTCAGGTTGGAGCAGTCTCGCTCAGGATGGCCGGCCGGGGGATAGCTCCGTCAGCAGGTGCGCTGGTGTTGCTGGTGACATGGGCAGGTGTCGGCTGGATCGCAGGTAGGTGGCAAACCAAGTCTATGCATTCCTTGATTGGAAAGTGGCTCAATCGAGCATGGAGTTGCCGCGTTTGCAAGGCAGAAAATTATAAGATGCTGTACTACAGACTATAATATAACAGTTAGCCTTGACTCAACCAACGTCTTAAAGTTGGAGTGTGAGCGGCAAGGAAATTTCTACTTCACAGAATCCCCTTTGTGAAAAGTTCGACTCGTCTCCATTCCATGTTAGTCCGAAACAAAAATCCTACATTCTACCAAAATATCTCTTCGGTACTTTAAAAACCAATACACAGTTTTATTGCTGCTGACAGCATTGCATGGAATACGTGTGGTGGAGGCCTTTGGATAATCTTTGGTATCTTGTGGAAAGCTAAGTATGAAGCTTTTCACTCACACTATAGAGACAATTTATGTCATTGGGCGAGGGGTGGGAGGGGGGAAGGGGAGGGGCATTGAGCTTTCCTCCCTGATTATGACACATAAGCCCGTCTTAACCCCAATCATATGTCTGCGAAAAATGGAGGTTCCAGAATAATTACTTGCAGAATGATTTAAAATGACTATTGTTTCATTTAGTGAATGTCTTACACGATATGTTTCGAAAGCCACCCCAACCCATGAAAAGTCTGTGTTACACTTTTGATAATTTACGTTTAATAATGAATTTTGTTTATCACTTGGGTTTAAAATGAACTCCGAGTCAACATTGGGTGACTTTTCAAGATGGACGGCACGATCATAACCGTTTCTTTTGTTCGCGACGAAACATGTTGACCAATCGATTGCAATTATCGATGTATTAGGCGGCAGACGCAATGTGGGATTTGCATATCGGAGATAGGCTGATTGGGACGCATCTGTGCAGCCTGAGTTGCAAAGGGAAAATGGGTTTTATGGCTAATAAACGGATTTCATTTTGATTAACTTTTGAAACAGTTGAGCACTTCATCTGACTCATAAGCTAAAAATGTATTATTTTAACCCTGAAGACCCTGAAGAAGCCGGGTTATTTCCCCCTCAGATCTCGGTCATTGAGTGACCAAAAAATATGAAACTTGGTGCATGCATAGAACAACTTAATATAAATACACCCAAGAAATGTTATGACTATAGGTTAAAGGGTTTTGGAATCATCGGCTAATTAATTATTCATATGCACCAATGTTAATTCTGCTTTGTGTACACTACATATTGGGAAATCCAGTGTTCACGGCGCGCAGCCATGGTCGGAATTTTGTGTTTTTGGTATCAAAAGATGCACAAGACTCGAAGCTAAAAAGTCAGGAAAGCTCGGGTCGGGAATTATTTTTTTTTGCAAGGGTATCGCGGAAAAAGTTGAGGGGGGGGGGGGCGGATTCGATCCGCCCGGCCCTTTTAGGTTTAAGTATCATGCGAATGTTACCTCGCTCGAAAAAAAGGAAAAGGAAAGAAAAGAAGATTTGCATGTTTCCAAAGAACAGACAGACACTGAGTTTTCAAAGAAATTGTACGGAGATGGTTGTTACACAGGGATCTAGATGTTTTTAATTAGACCTATAGTCTACATCTATGAGTATGAAACCACTTGTCTTCCAAAGATGCACAGCGCTTGGCACGAAGAGAAGACAATGAAGAAATGTTAGTTGACGATGTAGAAATGTCAGGTTTTAGAGACGAGGGTCAATGATGTTCCTAATAGAAATTTGATTTTTCTTGTTAGACTGCGAGGCTTCCAAATCAGCACAACAACTCCTTGAGGACAAGATGCGGGGCTATGACCCCTTGATTAGACCGGTGCAAAACAACTCCGATGTCGTAAGCGTCCTCATCTCACCAACAATCTCTCAGCTCATCGACATCGTAAGTAATTCAATCGGAGCAATCGAGTTTCAACTCAAGTTTCATTTGAAGGAACTCTTTTTCAAAGTACATGTATCTCGAGCTTAAACTCGAGTGAGTTTCATTCTTCATCGTCTACAGTCTGTAGCAGTTACGAGTAATTCTTATTTTGCTTTGCCATACTCAGGACGAGCAGAACCAGGTCATGATCACGAGTCTGTGGTTGAAACAGAAGTGGAAGGACAACAAGCTTACCTGGAACCCAGCCGACTACCACGGCATCGAGCAGATGCAAATACCCATCGAGCAACTGTGGAGCCCGGACGTTGTCCTCTACAATACGTAAGTCAAACTGGAATCCTTGAATCTTCTTTAGTATATAAGCTCATAAGTTGAGACGGATTTTCATTTTGTTTGTTTTTTAAACAATGACTCTGAGAAACTATTCCGAACAGTTTACATGCTTTCTGCTTTCGTCGATTGGTAGGAAGATTTAAGAAACGTTTATGACAAGACTTTTCTGCTGTACTCTTTTGGAACTGGTAGAATCCCCCAAGAACCCCCCCCCAAGAAAAAATGTATATCTAAGCAAGAACATAACAGATGTAGCTTTCGTTTATTTCATGCCATTGATGTAGTCCTACTTATTTGTCTTGTTAAAAACAGAGCCAATGGAAACTTTGCTGCGGATCTTATTAACTGGGCAACGGTCAAGTACGACGGTACGGTCCACTGGAATCCTCCTGTCATCTTCAGGAGTTCCTGTCTCATCGACATCTCCTACTTCCCCTTCGACGAGCAGCGTTGCAAGATGAAGTTCGGCACCTGGACCCACGACGGCTCGGTGGTGGATCTGAACCCTCTGACTCAGCGGGTGGAGCGCGAGAACTACCGGCCCAACGGGGAATGGGACATCGTGGAATCGCCGGTGGAGAAACACGCCATCAAGTATCCCTGCTGTGCAGAGATCTTCATCGATGTTACTTACACTTTCGTCCTGCACCGCAACCCGTTGTTCTACATCATCACGCTGATCATGCCGTGTATTCTCATCGCTCTCTTGACTGTCTTGGTGTTCTACCTCCCGTCGGCTGCCCAGGAGAAAGTCACGCTGTCCATCTCTGTCCTCATTGCCCTAATTGTGTTCCTCCTTCTTATCCCTTCCATCGTCCCTCCTACATCCACTACGGTGCCTCTCATCGCTCGCTACATGCTCTTCACCATGGCCATCGTGTCTCTGTCCATCTTCGCAACCGTCTGGACTCTCAATCTCCACTTCCGCAACAGCAACACCCACGTTATGGGCAGTTGGACCAAGAAGATCTTCCTGGGTGTCCTACCAAGGCTGCTGTTTATGGAGCGGCCAGGCGCGGCTGAGGAACGCAAGGAGACGGCCAGACAGAAGCAGAGGGAGCGGTCTCTCATCCGAAGCAACGTGTCCTCATCTTTCATCTACTCGCCGGTGGACGGTGCAGGTGGGCGCGGGAGAAAGGAGCCCAGAGGATACTCCAAGATGGTGGTATCTTCCTCTACCATATCTCCTTCCCTTCGAGAAGAGATTGAGTACCGGGAGCGGAGCAGCACACTGAAGAGATACGGAGAGCACAACCCTGTAAAGAGGGGTTGGGATGATCTCCTGGAAGGTCTTCAGTACATCCAAGAGAACTTGAAGAGCACAGATGAAGTAGAAGATGTAAGTTTGAGACCAACTTACATTTGGTTTGTCCAAAAGACACGTTGACCAATTTATTTTCAATTTTTAGCTTTGGTGTTTCTTACCATCTCAAGATTTTGTTAACCCAAACATGAAATTCACATTTTATTTCGTTCTAAAATGCAAAGCATGCTAACGACACACTAAAAATGTGGGTGTGAACTAACGCTCAAAGAGCCACCTTCACAGTAGTGCGCCTCCTCTAATAAAGTGTGTAAGCCCCCACCCCCCACCAATGGCGTGTGTCCCCTCCAATGGGTCGAGCCTCCTGCAGGGATGGGCGACCCTCTAAGCCTGTAAGTGGGCTCCCTTCAAGAGTGTAAAGGGTTGAGTCCATTGGTATTCACCTCCTCTAAGGCTGTGAGCATCTGAAAGGGCATGAGCGTCTTCCAAGTGCTGTAGACCCTTCCAACATTTTGATCCCTCTCCAATTATGGTATGAACCTCATCAAAGGGTGTGAGTTCTCTCAGTACGATCCCTGCACAAGATGGATGCTTGCTGCTCTTGAACCTGGGTCCACCCGATGTTCCCCAGTCCTTTTCCCCCCTCCAGTTCCTATGTTCCTCAGTGTTCCCCTTGGGTCAGGGTATAGGGTTAGGGTTAGGGTTAGAGTTAGGGTTACTGGATATATCAATGGGGTCACTCTGTGGAGAACATAGGGACTGGGGAACATGGGGACTGGGGAACATCGGGACGGGTGCGAATATACCTATGTTCCCCCGTCCCTATGTTCCCCAGTCCCCAATCCTAACCCTAAACCTAAGGACTGGGAAACATATAGGATTGGGAAACATAGGGATTGGGGAACATAGGGATTGGGGAACATGGGTATGTACCCCTTGCACCAATGTATTCAATAATTGCCCCAAACCGGTAATTGCTTCATTGCACCACATGTTCTCATTTAATAACCCAAACTCTGTTTCATTTCTTTCTCTCAATAGTCTGAGGAGGACTGGAAGTACGTAGGCCTCGTGGTAGACCGCCTCCTCCTGTGGATCTTCTTGATCGTGGTGGTAGTGGGCACGGCAGTGTTCTTTATGCAGGCCCCGATCATGTGGGAGGCACCAGACGTCCACAAGAGAGAGGTGTTTGAGGATCCCGAGGTACTACTGTCCGCGAAGTATTACGATCTCTATCCCACGGTGCCTCCCAGCCTGCCAGCTGACGCACAGTTGTCGTAAGGAGTTCAAGACCAACGTGGAAATATTCTTCATCCTCGAAGGAGGCCTAATGGTTCAAGCTAAAATACCGGAGCAAACTGGGTGATGTCTATATACCCAAGGCTCTGTCATCATCATCATCATGTCGGCCACAGCCGGGCTCCGATACAACTGCCCCACTCCCTCCGGTCCTCCATAAGGGTGGCAAGCTCTCCGGCCGTCTCCACTCCAGTGTCCCTCTTCAGCACCCCCACATAGGACATAGCTTGCCTACCCCGCCTCCTCCTGCTATAATGTTTCGGCTCCCACAGAACCACCTGATGGGCCCTGAGCTCAGGGTGGCGCTGGCAGTGCCCTGCAAGTCGAATCCGTAGTGCCGCCAACTACAATCCTGGCCAAATCTCGCTGGGCCCCCAAACCCCCGGCTCCCGTTCAGTGTTGTCTGTCATTGCGCGGTGTGTGCTCCATCAGCTGGAGAGAACAACATTGACCGGGGGAGCGGGGGAGTGGGTGACCGTGGCAGGCTCAGGAAGTGTCCCAACCATTTTGGCAGGGATTGTAGTCACCCACCCTCGGGAGGTCGCCGTAAAGGCTCTGTGGTATCGGTGCTATTGTTTGGACTCTTCTGTGACAGGACTTGTAACTATAAGACATAGTTCATCTTTCCTAATGACTTTTTGAGGGTTTGCAAAGTGCTGTAAAAAAGTTTTAAAATCACGGTTACAAAGGATTCAATAAATCGCTTTACAAGAAAAAATTGCCATTTATAATAAATTTGGTTATTGTAGTTCACAATCAGTCCTGTGTGGAGTCAAATGAAGACTGTGATGCATTGAAACGAACGCTGTGAATCTGAGGTATTTTGAAAATTTCTAAATAAATGAAATTGAAATTTTAAATGAAACTAAATAAATATTTGTTTATTTGAGTGATTTGTAACTCGCCCACAAGACGTATTTGATTATTAACTGTATGCCTGTCTTCTAACTGAGCGGCATAATTATAATCGTCGCCAAAATGGTACCACTTTTTCTGAGTGGGTGTATAATGCAGTGCTAATAATAAGAGCATGCCTTCGAGATCAAATTTATGCAGAAATTCACAGTCTAGATGGCCTTCTCTGTTTTTGTATATACTTTATTTTATATGTATAAATCGTTGTTTGATATAATCCGTTTGGTTTACAGATAATTGATTTCTTTTGTGTGATACTTTCCTTTTTGTGGCTTCCTTTAAAATATTCTAACAACCGGACTCGTAAAGTTGGTACAATTAATTTTGTTGAAGAAATTGAACGTGGACTGTTATCCTTTACATTGAACAAGTGCACAATTTATGTGTAATCAAACCTTGTTGTTGACACAGCCTATTTATTCACTAATATCGAAATAAAAGTAAATAGTAAAAGTAAACCCCCCAAATAAAACAAGTTTAAAATAAATACATTGTTCTAATGTTGCCATTATCGTTCCTTCAGTTAAAGTCCCTTAAGTTTTTAATTTGTTTCTCCCCTTCTGTTATTTATGAAAAAGTTGCATTTTTTACCCAGAAGATAACAAATAATATGGATTTTTGTATTTTGTTTTATATAAAGAAAGTGGGTGAAATGTTAGAAAAAAAAAAGAGTGTATAACACAAGCGAGTTCTGTTTTTTTTGTAGGTTTTATTATCCAGTGCGTTCATTGCAAAATGACTTGTCCTAAATAAAGTGTTGAGAAGACCCACACAAAGCATCAACTGTCCTTTCCGGAAACAATCTTGGACAGGCGGTATCAAACACCTTTGTCTTCCTGACCGAAACATCGCATATTCTACAGAAAATAAAACTTACAAGCATAAGAAAGAGTGAACATATAGGTACAGGAAAACATATTACCAAAATGAAAAAAAATTCAATTTGTTTATATTGTAGTTTTGATTTCTCATCAAGTAAAATACACATGACACACTCCGCATGATGTCACCTGACACTCGATCGATCACACGCACGAGATTTCATTAAAAGCGGTACATTCATGAACAACATGAGAGTGCAATCAATACGAAAATGTAGTCCTGTAATACATCGTGTGACTTTGCGTAATGAACATTATGGATTGTAGCTTCAGCTGGAATGAAATCTAATAACGAGTCATGCAGTCATGTGAAAAAAAATGTCACTGGCTAAAGCATTATCTTTATTGACTATAGAAAACACGGTAGCAGGATCCTGGAGACAAGACAAATAAAACAAGCAATGTATCATATATTGTTTGATGTGCTGATTGATTCGTGTCTGTTTCTTAGTTTGGTCTTATTGTTTGTTCATTTGTCGGTTTGCTTGACTGTAACTGAGAGAAACCAACCCACTGAATTTGAACATATTCGAACATTGTCATCTTGAGATTTGTATTACAATATCGGTAGGCCTACATCTCGTCAAAATATGTGAGTATTATTTTGATGGAGGGGGGGGGGGGTGTTGGGGTGGGAGTGGGTGAGGGCCTGAGGGGGGAGGTGTCATGGTCCAAGCTTGCTAGACACTGCATGGGTTTATAGAGATGCAATCCTTGAGAGAAGAGTCCCATGAAACAATTCTCAGGGAGGGGGCAGCCATGGCAATTTCCGACACCGATGGTGCAAAGATAACACCCCTGTCGTGTCTTGCATATTTTTCTGGAAAACAAAATGACAGTCTCTCAGAATGAGCAATCGAAAAGTTTCAGCAAGAAAACTGAACGCTTTTCAGAGTATCCCGACTGCGGTGAAATACATGTGTAGCAGAACGGGAGTACATGTGGTCATGAACTGTACACATATTGTGATTGTATTAGCTGATACTCAAAACTTACCGGAGAACGGTTGTATACTAATTTACAATAGTCACATTATACATAACAAATTTATATTCAAATCATAAAATGGGAACATCAACGACCACATAACAACCCGCTGCTTGTTTTGTGGGTTTTAGTGGAGGGAGCATAACCTGTTTACTTTGACTTTTGTACGAACTCTCCACGACTTCGAAAGTAAACCCTACAAATCGCTCTCAGTGCAATGTCTACTGACAAAAAGACGCAAAACTCTCCTCAAGGTTCATCCTGTTGTCATTCCCCAATCCTCTTTGCCTGTGACTATTGTCTCCTTCTTGGCTTAACGGCACACAGGTAACCGTTGATCCCCCCTCGAGCCCACTTGAACAATTAAACCTCACTACGGCAACCGTTTTGGGGAAGCTTCTGAATAATTCATCGGCGGCTCAGCGATATACCCTCACCAAATAAGAGTTAACGGCGGAGCACGCGTAAATATGCCGCACAGCGGTTCATCAACTACCACCTATGCGCCTATGGCTATACGCGCTACATTACGTGATAGCAAAGTTGACTCCCCGAATGAGTTGAACTGCACAGCCCATTAGAAATTGAAGATAATTTCTCCGACAAACGGAGCGAAAGAAACGGAAAGACCAACTTGATTTTGGAACCAGGTGATGTAGTGGAACCTGGCAGGATGGCCGGCCGGGTAAATGCTGTGGCGGCAGGTGCGCTATTACTGATGGTGACATGGATGGGAATCGGATGGATCGCAGGTAGGTGAAAATTGAGCTGAGTGGACCATTGATGAAGTCTGGAGTTTGAGATGTGGGTCTCCAATTAGTAGGCGGTTCTCTTGAACATTAAAATTGTCGTGTTCACCATGGTGTCAAACGAGTTGTGTAGAAAGCATTACGATGAATGGAGACGTACGCTGAATACATTCATGTTCGAGCTTGGGTCCCGTGTATTTACTATTTTTTTGCAAAGTGAAAAAAAATCCACTTTACTGGATTTGTTTTGTCCAAGACTGATAAATAACGTGGTAAATTGTGGTGTCGTAAAAAACTGTCCACGGATCACAAAATAGTAAGTGTTCTTTCAGCAAAAAGAACACATTCTCATAGGGATGTACTTGCCTATTTTGTGATCCGTGGACAGAACTTCAAAACGGTGTTTGTGTTCAAAATTCCGTAACTTAAAAAGTACATCAGTGATTTGAATGATTCTTGTACTAAAAGAAAGCTCATTGATTGGGCTTTCATATTCTAGAATTTGAAAGTGCTACAGGCAAAACCTCATACACAAATTGGTCCTGTCATTTGGGTTTCTTTTTCTATTCACCCTGTATATCAACTTAAAGAATATTTGGTTGTTTTTAAAGTATACCATTCCACACGCCGCCTGTAACGTCTGAGTCACAGTTTGGGAAAGCTTAACAATTCACATATCTATTATTTCAACTACCCTATCTACTAAAGCAATTTCATATCGAAACAATGTTGTTATTAATGTTTTGTAAATGTCAGTTATCCGGGATCCAAGACTGTGTCTGGTACCTCGACTATTTTCTTTTTATACAGTGGTCGCAATTTTCTAGTGCCCCATTAATAATATTGTCCAACGACTTCTTTTTGTTTGGGAGAAAATCGATTGCAGAGTGGACGTTACTCCTTAGGACTAAAGACCGGCCAAAAATCAATAACAGCTATTGACCATTGAATTCCGTTTGGGTGATGCATTCGAGAAAAAAAATATGCATAGGCCTAATGTGCCTGGTATGTTTTGCCTTAGAACAAGATCAAGCAAGATACAAGAGAGTTCCTGCAAAATATAAAATTATTGAAGGCAATGGGTGATCGCAATTTTGCTTGCATCCATCGACCTAAAGGTGCTGGTGTTTACTCGTCTCTTCACAAAAATACATGAAGAATGCGCAAAGCATTGTGGGTATAGCTCGTCGCCCTGACTTGTTCCCAGACCACAAGATTCTCACTAATCTGGCGAATCTTATGTTTTCAACCTCGTTTACAATAGGAACCCCTGAATTTAAAACTTTCTCCCTGTATCCTGATTCGATACAGAAATAGCAAGCAATGAATTTATATTGTGAAGGCCTACTTGGTGTTTATATTTACAACGTGTTTTACGTATGCTAACGTTTGCTGTGAATCATTCCGTCCACTCCACCTCCAAAACAATGTCCCCTTTTCCATTTTGCCCATATAATTATGTAACGGGTATTGGCTGGATAACATTGTAACACTTTAACATTGAACAAAAATATCGTGTTTTCGGAACTCACGCCGCCAGGAACGGATTCTGTTTTCACCCCAGACACCGCATTCAAATACGAACGCTTTTAAAACATAGCCGGTCACCAGACTGTTCCAAGTTTGCATATATACAGGTGCAATATTTTTGAACATGCAAACAAGCCCATGCCAGGGTGAGAGAGCAGGTTGTGGTGGGTGGGTACATCTGCTATATAAATCTGTCCAATGAGAGCTCAAAGATTAGTAGCCAGTACCAGCACGCAAAGAAGCAGTTGTGGTACGAGAAAAGTCCACAACCTGTTCACACAGGGCATCTGATTGAGGTTCTCTTCTGGTACAAAACCCCAGATGTTTACTTTCAGTAAACTTTCCCATGTTTGCGCACTTTCAAGGGATCCCTTTAATTACCATCAACTCTAAGTGCATGTGATCTAGGACTCCATTGTTTTCGCATTAACCTGTCCATTAGGTTTAACGTCGGTTTCCTGTTGTAATTAACCCCAGTCTGTCAGGAATTTATGCCCACTTATGCCTAACTGCTGCGAAAATGTCTGGGGAAAACCAGCCTTACTATTCGGAGTGTCAAAAAGCAAAGGTTATACAAGTCTAACTTTAGTAGTAAAAATCTCTGTTAATTTTACTTGAGTAATTAGGTTTACAGTTTGATTTTTTTTCGAGGATGTTGTCTATCTACTAACCCTCAGTTGTTGGCAAATGCAATTTAAGTATGGAGTGGCAAAAATCTATGGCGTAAATCAGTGTCGGGCATGCAGCGAGTGGGCGATGGAGGGGGGGGGGGGGGATTGGGGGATGACCAAAAATCATAAAATGGCCCGGCCGTGGAAAATAGGAAAAATAGGGTGGGGGCCGGGGGAGCAACCCTCGAAACCAGGGGGCGCTGTTCATGATACAAATCAACATTTTTATGCAAACTGTCTTGTGCGAGCTTATGGCCTACGTCCCTTAACCTTACCGCAAAGTGGTGCATTTTAAACTTGGTACTGTTTGTTCTCCAAATTTTCTTCTATGTATAGGGACTAATACATTTGGACTATCGGAATGGTGCAAGATCACCTTAAAATCTGCATTTTTTTTGTTTCGCCATACAAACATCTGGGACATTATCCAGTGCCCCCTCCTTCCCCTGGTCAAAAAATGGGGGGGGGGGGGGGGGGGGGTAAGTCTTTCTCACCAGTAAAATTAATTTTCATCAACAACGTTTTACATCACTAAAAAAATCCTTAGTCTTCATTTCAAGGCGCACGGTGCGTCTTGCTAAATTTTTTATTGATTTATAACACGCTGTTAATTGACATGATATTGGAGTTTTGTGGCCTATAGAAAATGTGAAGGAGTTTTCTTGTTTCAATAATAAAAAAACCCAGAGAAAACACTCTGCCGCCTGAGATAACAACAAATAATTATTGGGTGCATGTTAAGTCGAAAGATCAACAGGAAATTAGCATTTTATGAAATGCTATGGAGTTTGTCACTAACAAAAACAACGAAAAGGCAGTATAACAAATAATATTGAGCGTTACACGAGTAGAAGATGTGAGAGGTACCTAGGTCGATATATCCGGATCATATGTTTTTTTCTTTTTGATAGATGTGTAGTTTATTTTTAATACCCCCCCCCCCCCGATGAATTCCCTCACTTAAGTTACATTTTTCAGAAGACTCCACTAACTGTACGGGGATTTTTTTTATGTATAATTATTTTAATTAAAAATCCGTTTGTTTTTAGTATAATTGGGTGTTGAAAATCGTATGGGGATAAGATCAAATGGCAAAGCGCTCGCTCAGCATGCGAGAGGTACCGGGATCGATACCCGGATCTTCCAGAAATTTTTACTTTTCCGAAACTAAGGAGATTTTTTTTAATCACCTACTTATGTTGATAATCGGATATATAACTATTATAAAGGGCATTTAATAATCGAATGGGGGATTAGCTCAAATGGTAGAGCGCTCGCTTAGCATGTGAGAGGTACCGGGATCGATACCCGGATCTTCCAAGCACCTTCTTGTTTACGAAATTGAGATTTTGTTTAATATAATCACCTACATCAGTTCAAAATCCAGCTGTTTTATATTAGGTATTACGTACGGTTTAATAATCATAGGGGGATTAGCTCAAGTGGTAGAGCGCTCGCTTAGCATGTGAGAGGTATCGGGATCGATACCTGGAGCTTCCAGAAAATTTCATGTTTACAAATTTGAGTTTTTATTTTAGCACCTACTTAAGTTCAAAACTATCTGTTTTATATTAGGTATTACGTACGGGTTAATACTAATAGGGGGATTATCTCAAGTGGTAGAGCGCTCGCTTAGCATGTGAGAGGTTAGGGGATCGATACCCGGATCTTCCAAAAGTATTATTTTTTTTCGAGCGAACTGTTCTCATTACCTGAAAACATGATTGTCTTAAGTACGTATTAAAGGCGTCTTGCAGTATGGGGGATTAGCTCAAATGGTAGAGCGCTCGCTTTGCATGTGAGAGGTACCGGGATCGATACCCGGATCTTCCAAAAGTATTTATTTTTTTTTCCGAGCGAACTGTTCTCATTACCTGAAAACATGATTTTCTTAAGTACGTATTAAATGCATCTTGCAGTATGGGGGATTAGCTCAAATGGTAGAGCGCTCGCTTAGCATGTGAGAGGTACCGGGATCGATACCCGGATCTTCCAGAAACTTTCCTGTTTGCAAAACTGAGATTTTGTTTTTATATTATCACCTACTATAGTTCAAAATCTATCTGTCTTATACAATGATTAGGTATTACGTACGGTTTAATAATCATAGGGGGATTAGCTCAAATGGTAGAGCGCTCGCTTTGCATGCGAGAGGTACCCAACCTCGTCCCCAGTGCTTACTTTATTTCCAACGTTGTTTCCAATAGTAAACCCTGGATAGGAAACTTCCTTCCTGCATCCTGATTCGATACCGCAATTGGCTAGAAATGGATTTATATCGTGTACTTGGTGTTGTTATTCACAACGTGCAGTACGTGTTTTCGCCATCATTCGTCCACGCCTTCTCGAAAATATTCATTTTCTTTCCAGTTTGTTAATATTAATATGAAATGTGATACTGCATGTTGTCTCGTTAAGATCGTAACAGTTTAATTAAAATTAAATCATGTTTTCGTAACTCACTCCATGCTCGCGCTGCGACGAATTGTTTTTACCCCAGACACCACATACAAAAACAAACGCAAATGTAACGCACAGGCAGGCACCAGACTACTCCTAATTTGCATACGTGTTCAAAAATCTTGCACATGCAAATGATCCAATACCAGAGTGAGAGAGCAGGTAGTGGTGGGCGCGTACTGCTCGACACCCTGGGGACGAGGTTGAGAGGTACCGGGATCGATAGCCGGATCTTCCAAAAGTGTTTTTGTTTTTTTCGAGCAAACTTTTCTCATTACCTGAAAACATGATTTTCTTAAGTACGTGTTACAGGCGTCTTCCAGTATGGGGGATAAGCTCAAA